ATGTTGGACCAGTACACTTTGTCAGGTAAGTTTCTGGAGCGGCTATGGTGTGCTCTCCTTTTTAAATAGCGCAAAGCAGGGAGTCGTCAAATACCGTATTTGACGACTCCCTGTTGTGGACTAAAAGACATACCATATTTAATTCGAGGTTCTTTTCCATTTAAAAAAAATACAAATGATGTAATATGCATGATTCACGTGAGAGTGAGCCAAATGACCTGTCCGCCGGCATCTGTAGGAATGGATCACCACCACTCTCAAGGACCAAGGCACAGATGTAGCTCCTAACTAAAGCTGTGGGAGATGAGTTCATGATGGCCCGGCGTTTTACCGTTGAATTTACATCATGATTCCATCAGTCGCCGCTTGATTCATACCACCTGAGTGGCTGCCTGTGCACTGTATCGCATTCTGTGTTGATAGTTATGATACGGAGATTCTGTTCGTTCGCCGGGACCTCGTCCAGGCGCAGATGGACTTTCTAACGGCAGATCTCGAGCACGCGAATCAGCCCGAGCAGAGAAAGAAGGTGCCGTGGATTGTCGCGTTTGGCCACCGGCCGATGTACTGCTCTAACCTGGACCTGGATGACTGCACAACGCTTAAGTCAGTTGTGCGTGCAAGGTAACACCATACCCGCATTGTACGATATTATAAGTAATTATGGTGAAATCTTAGTAGAACCTGTACCTCTGTGGGCCGTAAAAGCTGTACTTTATACGTATAGCCAAGGTAACGTTGCTGTAACGTTATAGCCAAGGTAACATTGCTGTAACGTTATAGCCAAGGTAACATTGCTGTAACGTTATAGCCAAGGTAACGTTGCTGTAACGCTATAGCCAAGGTAACATTGCTGTAACGTTATAGCCAAGGTAACGTTGCTGTAACGCTATAGCCAAGGTAACGTTTCTGTAACGTTATAGCCAAGGTCTAGTTACTGGTATAGCATGATGGAGGGTCCTCCAAGGCACTGCTTTGTATCCCATAGCTTATAACATCCAGTGGGGTAATTTATACTGAAGTTTCATTGTACGGTCTTTGCAGTACCCCCCCACCAGGCCCTCTCAGCTGTCTTATGTGATATCTACGATGCATGGACACGTACATTGTAGTAGATGTATAGCTTTCGTGTTCTAACATCTCTTACAAAAGTGCCGCCTGTTCAAGCGACTTACTGTTTCAAGACACCACCTAGCCCCTAGGTGCCTATCCCGTTGGCACTAAAGTGTTGCTGAATGTGCGACGATCACCCTGCCGTCAGAAATCGCATGCGTGGAAAGGCTGTGTTAGGAAGGTTACGGTGGTTGCCACGCCAAGCTCGGTTTAACTTTTGTCTTGTTCAAGATGGAATTCACGGTAGTGATATTTCATCGAATGAATTTGTGGCCAGTCACATCACTTCATACCCAGCTGATGGTAGCATCCACATTAATATTATTGTACAGGCACCCAATGAACGCGTTGGGTGGCATTTTTGGCAATGCTCTCATGGTGTCCATAATTATCGTACTCATTCTATATCTCTGTGTGCGGTGTGTGTCCGCTGTACGGTGTGTGCAATCGCGATGGCTAGCCTGGAAGCTCTCTTCTACGAGAAAGGTGTTGACTTCATTGTAGAAGGACACGAGCACTCGTACGAGCGCCTGTGGCCGGTATTCAACGGAAGTGTGCCCCAGGAGAACTACATCAACCCGCGCGCACCCATACATTTCATATCCGGGCAGGCTGGGTGCAATGAAAACTTTGGTGTTTGCGTCGACTGGACGTTTGGACCGAGAGGTGAGTCGCTTCAGTTGTCCAATATTCGCCATTTCCTTTGACATGACAACAAGTAACCTTGCAGTATTATTGTGTGCCGGTGTAGCAGGCACATCAGTGCTGCTACATGCCGGAACATGCATGCACGAGTATTGCTGCTGATGCATGGAGGTTATGCAAAAAAAATGAGTGCCAAACCAGTTGCTTGTGATGTCACCCATACCAAACACCTAAAATGATGATGTAATCATGTAACCTCCTGCACTCATTGCAATAATATGTCATGTGTTCACTCCTGGTGTTGCATGTCACTGTGCTCCTGTGTGCTGCACTGCCGTGACTGGCCCCATGTGCATAGGCGCGTGGTCTGCGTTCCGTTCCTGGCTACCCGGCCTGTACGGCTACGGGAAGCTGAAGGTCATGAACGACACACACGCCGAGTGGACGCAGATATTCGACGTCACAAACCGCTCCGCAGACACCGTCATGATCATTCAGGAGAACCATGGGCCGTTTAGAGGTCCTACAACCAGGCTTTAGAGTGCCATTGCTCTGTCGATTGTCTCCCAGCTGCTTGCCAGCAATCTGATAGGCAACATATGCACTGGATCATTGATCGTGTGGACATGCTGTGAGCTTGTATAATCAATTAATCATCAGATAGCATTTCTTTCTGGCGTCGCAATAACAAGCAGATGAAATACCCTCCGACTGAAACTAACGATTTTTTATAGATGCAAGAATTATATTCGGTATTGATGATCTCTGCGAATGGACGCAAATTGAGTCATTTATTTGCTATTTCGCTTTTAAAACAGTGTCACTGTGCAATATGCATATGTAAAGTCCTATTTGGAAGGCAAAACCCATCCTCCAAGTCCTATAACCGAACTTCTTTCACACCATTAATTTTAGTAATTTTCACCGTGCCGCTAGGAAGTTGAGCATAATCCTATTCTATCCGGCTTGAAATGAATCGATCTTACTAGAGTACGGCATTTCACTTCATCACCAACTTGGCTTCATCTTATGTCACAGCACACCCCCCGCCCCCCCCCCCCCCCCCCCAAGCCTGTACCAATCTACATGTTTACTCCACTATTTCTGTACTTCCCTTTGCATTTCAGAACACGGACAGATTTTTAAATCGCCATGCTATGAACTAACTCACTCGCTCATCCACATTTTACCAATTCATTCACGTCCGCCTGTTATGCAGGGAAAACAAAGGTTCAGCAAAAATCGTGTTCAATCTTTGCCAACATCAGTTTTGACTGGCGGGTTCTGTAACTACTATTTCAAAACAAAACAAAAAACAGCAACCCGACACCACCCAAATGAAACTTACCGATACAGTTGAAAAACAATTGGTAACCATGGACTGTCCCTAATTTTAAAGTCGAGCAGAACACTTCAGGTGTACGAAAATCATTCACTTTCAGCTTTCACATCCCAGTCGATCAGAGAAAACTCCCTTTTAATAGCTGCAACTTTGTAAAACTGAACAATCATAGAAAAAATTCGTTGAATACTGATTCAAGGTGCATGTCCACTTCAAAGCCAAAATTAATGCTCAAAAATCTGAATTGAAACTCTTTGATTGAGAAAACCAATCAAACACTGATCGTGAGGAAAAAAATTGCGAGTACACAAGAATCTCAAATTTACATTTCTCTCCACGAAACTTGTCATAAAAATAAGAAAAAATTGATTGTGAAGATATAGACACCTACTAATATGACCGACACACGCTTCCTAGTCGGACTCAGAAAACTGAGGTGCGCCATTGGCCCGCCAATATTCTCTGAAACATGTGCTGCAAGCTGCATGGAACCATGTGCAGTGCGCAGAAAGTTGCCAACTGCTGCCTATGCAGTTGCAGCTTACTTCGCTGGAAAGATTCAAGAGAGAAAAGCTCGGCAAATCAACTTAACACACAGTTTTTACTAGTAAGCGTAATCATGCACTCTCACTCTTGCAACTCAGTGGTACAGAATATGTAGGTAGACGGCCGCCGATTGCTGACGGCTGCATCAGATTGTGAGTACAGTACCTGAGGAAGCACCTCCAGTCAAGGTGGATATACCATTGCTGGCATTGTAAGGACAGTGACAGGCCTAGCAGAGTCATGTTGCACTATCCTCTGTGCATGTTGACTGCAGTTTATTAGCTGCCGGCCCGCTGAGCCAACACCAGGTGCTCTGCAGGCCAGTACACTCGATGCAGTCTACGAAACGCTCCTCGACGACGGCATCGGGCACAGGTTCCGCGGCACCAGGCGTCGTCATGGTTGCTTTCGGCACATAGCCAACCTCGGCAGCCTCAAAGCAGGTCCTGATCTCCAGGCTCTGGAACCAGTGATCACGCAGAGTAGATGTGCAGTCTAGGACGAAGTCCAGCACGTCGTTACACAGCTTGGCAAGCTGCAGGGAAGTGCACACAGAGCTCTTGCGGAACTCACCTCTCTTCTCACCGGCAAGCTTGTCACGATCCTCCACCGATGAGAGGCTGGCTTCCAGGCTGTTCACCTCTACACTGGCATTCAGGTCTGCAACATCGCTCGTTACGCCCTCCGAAGCCTGATAGCTGGGTGGTGGGTCCGCAGCCTGTTGCTGCAGTGCATCGCACACAAAGATGGAAATACTGCCGCTGCCGGTTTCCTGTATGGTGAGCTGCCAGTCGCCGCTGTCAATCCAGAACTGTGCACTCTCGGTGGACAGGGCGGCACAGTGAGGCTTCCACTTGCGCATCACGTGCACCAGGAAGCGCTGGAAAAAGCCGAACACAGGAAGACTATCCGGGAAGACCAGGTGAAGAGGCGGTACGGTGGTATCGTCATCCGACAACGATGTCGTCCTGTGTTTGTCATCGTTGGTCACGGCACCCGGCACGTACGTGACAACTTCACCGCCCAGCTCATAGCTGGCAGCCAGATCGAAGTCCTCCAGGAGCGAGGTGCCATTCCCAAGCTGGGAATACTGCTCAAAGTACGGGCCGTAGTGAGTAAGCAGCACCTGCTCCATTCGACCCATCTCGTGCAGCGTAACAACATGCTCGACAAGCTTGGAAGGCGATGCCTCGGCCAATGTGCCCAGTACTTTGGCGAGCAAGTTGATCAAGAACGGCGGGTCCAGGAAAATGGTGTTTGCGAGGCAGGGGACCTGGGGAAAGTAGGCAATCCAACCCATGCTGTGGAAGTAGGTCAAGGCACTGGACAGGTCAAACACTTGGTGAATGACATTGCTTGTTACTGCCCTGGCCATCTCCAGGCACTCGCCCTCCACTGACATGAAATAACAGCCAGTGTTGCGGATACTGTGAAAGCTATCCTCGAGCTTGAGCCAGGCAAGTGGTATCATGGAGTTGTTACCCTTCTGGCTCAGCAGGAGACGCGCGGTCAGATCTATCTCCCGCCGCAGGAAGCAGATGGAAGGACAGAGCTCGTCATGGCCAGGCGGCTGCAGGTGAAAGCTTGTGCCGCCCGTGGACGCTCCCGCCTCATGCGGTCCCACGGCCGAATCACGGATCTTCTCCATCAGTGGCAGCAGCGTTACTGCTTGCTGTTTGCCGCCGGTGTTCACCATTGCCGGTTGAATGCCACACACAATGAAAGTTGGCATGGGCTGCTCCTGACCTTCCCAGCTGCAGTGGATGTAGTTGTGAGGCGGCTGCTGGCTGACGATGGTCAGGAGCTGTGAGCGCAGGGTTCTCTCCTGCTCGCTCAGTGCGCCCGCAGCAAGCACAGCAGGTGCCTGCGAGTCAGCTGACAGCGAATCTCCCTCCTTCTTCTCCCCTGCGAGGTTGTATGTGGCAAGATATAGTGCCGTGTGAGAGAGGAATGGCGAGACGATGTTCCACAGGCGGTGTGAGCCGCCAACCTTGCTGATGTGGATTTCAGTGAGATCGGGCTCGGCATCAGCAAGAACACTGACCCCTTCCTTCAGTACCTTCCGCCAAAGGACAGTGACGTTTTGTATAATGCTTTCGGGCATGGCATCACTAAGAGACATGTCCAAGAAGTCATCATCTCCGTCACTCACGTTTGCACTGACAGCAGCGGGAGATGCAGGCGGCTGTGGGCGGTGACTTTGCGAGCCGGGTTGCTGTTTTCTCCTGTCCGTGTCCCGGAACGAGGTACTTAGCCCGGCACGACCACTGGGATCATTAGAACAGTGCTCTCCTTCAGACACCGTTGATATGGTTATGTTACGCAATGGCTGCTGCTGTTGCTGCAGGCGCTGGGACACAGACAAGGAGTCCACGAGCGATACGGATTCATGGAATTTGCGGTCCTTAACCTCACGCACCAACTTATCCACAAGCTGCTGCATGCGATCGTGTGCGAGTCGATTGCTGGCCACTTTGCCGAGTGGTGAGCGCAGGATATCCAACAGTAGCAACCGAGCAACTTCCTGGTCGTGCTGTTCATAGATTCTCTGCGTTGCTTTACGGTGCCCGCAGCTGTTTGCGGCCCAGTTGGTGAACTGTCCTTTCTTGAGGTGGTACACCTGGGTAATGGCACAAAAACAATGCAGAGGGAATTGCAAAACTTCCTTCCTTCAGTTGAAGGAAGGCTGTTCATCATGTCCAACAATAGTACTGTTGTCCATTGCAGTGTTGCAAATGCACTGAGAAAAGGTTTGTGTCACTAATTTCAGACTAAATGCATAGCATGTGTAGCATACCATATGCGCGTGACTGCCGGAGAACCTTCATCATCAACTGTGTTCCACAGTGAAATCTAGCTCCTCGAGTAGCTCAACTCCCTGCCCTCAGCAGCATATCAAGGACTCCTAATGTGTGACATCCCCTCCCCTCCAATACACTCTATGTGCCCCCCCCCCCCCAAGGACAAGGATGTGTGCGTACCATGTCATCAATGAAGTAGGGCTTGTCGGCCATTTTCGGCTGCTCGATTTCTTCCTGTTCGCCCAGCAAGGCCGACCAGAGGTGGTGCTTGCCTGCAAAATCACCCAACAGAGAGCAGAACAGAGCATTGTGAAAGGAAATTGATGTTGTGATAACATAATACTATTAGTTATTTTATACTTCGAGTTGTTGTTTGCACAGCGCAACTTACCTATATTCTTGAGTCCCACATAGTAGTATCGAATTGCCGTTGAAGTTGGGATCATGGAACTGTGGCATGTTGATCTCTAATCCGTTTGTAGCGATATGACTTCTTTCTATTCTGTTCTCTTGTGTTTGGCTTCCTGACTTGCATTTTGGGGTTCCTGTCGTTGTCTTTTTCCTTGTCTTTGTCGTTTTGCTCTACATACATTGTCAACGGTCTGACTGGAGTGCTTGCTGTGTGCGGAGCGTACTATTCCATTACAATTGCATCGGTCGTGCAGCTGATCAGCTTTCAGTGCCATGGAAGTCACAGTAGCAGCACTAGTCTGCCATTCTCTCACTGTTTCGTTTCCCAGCCAGGCATGATTGCACTAAGCAGACGGAGATGAACATGATCGTGACTGTCTGGGGACACTGTTGTGCTTCAGCTCAAGATAGTACATGTATACTGATGTTGTTTGTAGAATATACAAGTTTTCATGTTGTTGTTTGGCACATTGCCAACACTGCGGTCTCGTGCATCCCGCAGTCGCAGGCACTTACAGTCCATTCATCGGAAACAGTCCCTGTTCGGTCACGGAATCTGGACTCCAAAGAAGACTGTATTTATTTCTGTTCTTCGTAACTGAACGAAAACCTCTAGACTAATAGCAAGAGTACATAACCCCCCAGAGTGTGCAACTCCACTATGGGTGCTGTCCCGACAGAATTTCAAGTTGACGTCATTTTGATGATGCAATGCGCACTGTACACGGATTATCAGACGAATCCGGAACCTGTGGTTGAGCGAAGCCGATCGATTCTGTACAAATTATTGCAAAGAAAAACGTGTGATGCGTTGACACCCGTACATATGTTGTAAATCACTGGTGCAAGGAGCATTGCGTCATAAATAATGACGTCAACTTAAAATTCTGTCGGGACAGCAGGGTATGTGGGAGTTGCACACTCTGAGGGGTTATGTACTCTTGCTAATAGTATGCACCAGGGAGTAGTAAAATACAGGGAGGTGACACGCCACTAATCGTGATTTTTGATGGGTGCCTCGCGCTTGTTTTTTTTTCTTTCGCAAAAAAAGATGATCTGCTGAATCAATCTTGAGTATTTGTCGAAGAACTAATTCCGTGAAAAGGTCTATCCATCTCATGGAACAGCATTTGTTTTGCTCTTGTGATGCATCTGTGTCATCGTCATATGGAAAGGTACCACCCTTCCGAAATTCGTCCCGATCGACGGCATGGAGCAATAGAACGAAGGTGATTTCCTTGTGAACAATACGTGTACGATTGGAGATGAAAAGCGAGTGCACCGATTTCGAAGTCGAAAAAATCTCTAGGACACCACACGATCGGCACTAATTTCTCCTCAGTTGTGATCAACCAGTACTTGTCTACCTTCTTTGTGATGATGAGCATTTCATATTATGGTATGCTAGAGATTCGGGAGTTCACTTTTCAGAATGAAATGTTCCTAAGTTTGTCAAGGATTGAAATGCAGGCTACTTCGTCGTAAACAGCTTGTATCGACACAGGAAAAATCTACGGCACGCAGGGATATCTCCCAAAGTGATACCACTCTTGCTGGACTTCCATCCTGACGTAGTGGTAATTATTTGGTCGACTACCAACCTTTGTGAAGGCAGACAATTGTTGGAAATTCTCAGCGCTGAGTTTCTACGGGCTGCAGTAGGAGTCTCTTTGGCGGTAGGTATTTTACTACTCCCTGATCAAGAGAATCCTGATCCGCGCGCGTGTCTACACACTTCGGTACCCATAGTACCCCAATCTCACCCGCCGGGTGAAAACGGTGCTGAGGCAATCGTCAAACTGGCCGTACATGCTCGTGTCACCTCCCTGTATTTTACTACTCCCTGGTATGCACACATCATCTATCGTGCCTTGGCACGGACATACCAACTCTGCTATTGTCCTCTCTCCAGGACAAAAAAACTCTCCTTTCCAAAGTGAAACTGGTACTATAACAAAAAGCCCAGCTGATAAAGCGAACAGACCTACAGCCAATCAGCCAACCAGTTCCGTCACATGATCCGGCAGGTATTGCATGCCATGCATGTACAAGATTAATGCTACGGTACAGACAATCGCATGTCTAGACAGGTCCTAACAGTGTCTAGTCAGTACTAGCATCATGCTCACATGTGCCGGGTCAGCACACAATACATCGACCTAGCAAACGGTAACCTACGGGATCTACTGGAACAGTCCCGCTGGCTTCTGAAAGTCGGATTTGGGCCGAATTGAGGATCAAAAACCCACTTTAAATCTCAATAATCTGGGTTTTGGATCTGCTTCTCAATACATTTTTCCATGGCATACCTGTCCTAATTTTGTAAAACCTGGCTGAATTTCTATTTCCTTGTTCTTGGACTTTTTTGGCCTCAAATGTGGCAAGGAGTAATTGCACGGGTCACACATGTGCAGGATGCACTGTTATTTTCACGAAATCTGCAACTATGTGTGGGAGACGCCAAAAAGGTTAGGGTGCCAGTTTCCAATGAATGGACTGTAAACAGTTCTGTGTAAAGCCCCGGCGCTTTTCATGAACTCCATGAATGATCTTGCCAATCCAGGTGTGCATTAGAGTCGCAAACTCCAGGTTGGGTGTATAATATTATATGCATGTGTGTGTGTGGGGGGGGGGGGGGGTTATGTCACTTAACAGTTACTTGTACGTGCTCAAGCTACTTTAAAAGTCATTTCTACACCTACCCGAGTCCTGGTCACCAATGATGATGATGCGCTGCCGCAGGAGTCGCTTTCGGCCCTGGTACAGCGCATGGCGGTACGCAGCCAGGATCTCTTGCGTATACGGCTGCAGCTCCAACGGCAGGCTAAATTCTGAGCAGAAAGCAAACGGATGAGCATGATCACGATGAATACGGCAGCTGCCTTTCTATGACCACACATTGCCACACAGACAAAGGTGATGCTGACCTCTACTTTCAAGGTACATACGTTTTACTCTGACCATGTACAGATAACTTCCAGCGGTGCACAAAACAACAAAATACAACGGATGTAGGAACAAGGTACAGACATGAACTGAGGCATTTCTGTAAAGTCAGACATAGCGCATCCGTGTTCACGTCCTAATAGGCGAGGGAATTGGATGCCAGTAACTGAGAACAATTGAGAAAAAATGGTTCTGGCTGGTTGGCGAGCCTCTAACGCATGCACTTACGCACACGTACAGCTCTGGAAAGTCGACGCATTCAGCGGGCAGTTCACTCCGGCCTGTCTGGCAGGTTGATGCACGTACATGTACCGTGCTTTTTCTACCACGCAGTCTGTGTGTGTCCCTGGACACATGTTCTAGCATATAGACGCAAGCTCAGTTAAACCACCCCTATGCAACCAATATTTGATCCTTCTTGCCGGGTCGACATGTTCGCATAAGCAAGTCACATCGGCTTTCAAGCAAGTCAGGATCTGCATAGGAAGCACCCTGGACGTACATGTATGTCTATTGTTCCAGAGTCTGTGCAGTGTCCGCTCTGCAACTGTAGGATTTCAAACCAACCTGGTACACCTGTACCTGGCACAAGTCTTGCAACCGGGTCAGAGCCAGGTACTAAGTACATGCTTGCAGCCTGTCACTGACAGATCAGTGTGTACCCCCTTGAAGTACAGAAAAGGTACTCGACATGACTATCATGTATAATCCCAACCGGGTCACAAGTGACCCTGTGTTCATTTTCCAAACGGGTCCAAACACCCCCACAACCGGGTCGCTGACCCAGCTCTGGAGCAGACACTGCTGCGCCATTCTGAGCTGTGCCTACGTGTGTGTACCCACCTCGCTGCTGGATGATCTTCCCCAGCACCTCGCACACCTCAGTGCGCTTTTCCTTGTGAGCAAGGTCCAGCGGCGTGCATCCGTTCTTATCAGTAGACATCAGCTCGGCACGATGCTGCAGCAGCACACCGACGACATTCATACATCCCTGTATAGCAAGCACATAACAACACAGCAGCAGCAGCAACGGCACATAGAGCATGATCAATGGTCAATTCCATCACTCAAGAGATCGAATGCCATCACCAACAGAGGAGTTGCAGTTGTCTGCGTCTATCTCTTAGTTTAGAAAAATAAACCATTTGACAAGCGGTCGGCCATGCCTAGCTCATCCTCGAGTTGTTCTCTGTTGGCAACTCAGACTTGGCAAGCTGCCTGGCAAGCTTGCCACGTCTTACATGGTTGCACACTGGGAGTGGTAAGGTGCAAGGGGGGGGGGGGGTGTATACCGCCCCACGTCTCTATGACTGGCCGTGACTCTACCAATGCATCATCCTGGGTCTGGCCCTCTTCAACGTTTATACATGTGGTGGTGAGAGGAGTGCTCTTTGCCCAGACTTGCAGCTCAGAACGTAAGTCGACGGCAAGATCTACATGACATTGTATAAATCATACAAACTGCGATACCACCCCTGCTCCCACCCAGCGCATGGCTGTGATAAAAGCAACCAACTGCAATTGTTCACCTTCTCGTACTTTGGGGGTTTGTAAGGGCTCCGCAGAAGGCCCGCATGATATGAGCGTAGCTCTGTTAGTGTTAGTGTATATGTATACATGTAGTGTTCATGCGCCATTCCTAAGTTTAGTTAAAAAAAAACAATACATACCGCTTCAGCAGCTATGTGGAGGGCAGTTTGACCAGCTTCGTTTCTCAGATCTACGGGTGCAAAGTCCAGTAACACCTCAACAACATCGTCAAAGCCGCTCTGTGCAGCTCGATGCAAACATGTCTGTCCGAACGTATCCAGAATGCAATAGTCGGCATCGCGCGATAGCAGCATTCGACACACTTTAGCGTGTCGTTTCTCCGCAGCGCACATGAGCGGCGTTCCGCCCCAGTCCGCGCATGGTTCGTTCACGTTTACACTCTGGCTACGCAAACACTTCATGACGGCCTCCTCATCGCCAGTCATGGCAGCGCCTAGCAGGCTGCTGTCTGTACCACCAGCAAACATCGTCGCAAGCTACACTAACTCACTAACTACAACTACAAGTTAACTCGCTAAAATCGCCCACAGGCACAGGCGCTACAGGGCTACATTCTCTGGAGAAATCGTTGCTCATCTGAAGCTTTTGCCTTGGTCAAGACTCAAGACGACGTTCCCGGTTTCCTTTTTTTCAACTGTTGTAACTAACTTGAATGGAGATTGTAGCCAGTAGTAGTAGCGCTCTTGAGAACATCTGTCTTCATACGGAATGAAGTCGACCGGGAAGAAAAACGCGGCACTACAGGTAACGATAGGTACTAACCAAGCTAGGTTGCTGCCAGAGAACAAGACTCCATGCCCAAACCTTTGCTCTTGCAGCCTGGCTATTTTTTGTCGAGCAAGGAGAAAAACCAGCGCGCTGCACATGCATGCAGCGCTTGCGATGCGTGTCCTTTCGGACTCTGGCGAACACGTGTGCTCACTGCTCACTCATTATTCTGCTGCATGCAGCTGGTGGTATGTGGACTGTGTGGTGTACTATCGACCTGATAAGTGATAAACAAGCACATAACAGCGACGCACGTGAGTTATGACTTATGTCTCATGATTATGATGACTCTATGACTAAGAGTCCTGACTCTGGACAGGCTTTTCCGGATTATGCGTTTTTCCTTGGTCTAAAATGGAAATGGAAAGTGTTTTGAAAAACCTCTATAAATCAATTTTTTTTCTAAAGAAAATGCAAAAATTTACCCAAAAAGCACAAAAAATGCCATCGTTGTCATGGTAACAAAATGGGGACAGCTAGTCGCGAAGGACTAAAGGGACCGTCACTTAATTTTTGCCGACTACCCGCCAAAAAAATATTTTCGCTTCACGTGTCAGACACGTCCGCGAGCGCGTATACGCGTACGATCGACTCGCGCGCGCCCGCGCTACCTTTCACGTCAGGCAATCTGTTCACGCCACATGGCTGGATAGCGCCATATAGCGCGTACATGCAAACATGATTGAAGACTTGCAAAATCAATTTTTTTCCAAGTCCAGGCGCTAGGCCTAGGCAGCACTAATCTAGTAATCAGTCTAATGCCTAATGGCGTAATGCCCAGGCAGCTGACTTTATTTTCGGAGAAACACTACTCATTGTAGTAAAAAGTAACAATAGCGATATCATCTAGGAAGGACCGCTACCCTAACGCGAAGGAAAGGCCTTGCGCGGCTGCTCTACGAAGTGTTGAAGAAAGACTCATCAAAGTTTAATAGTTGGTGGACGAACAACTCGCTGGCGCCGGAAAACTTGGCCCCCAACGATGGTGTTTGGTGAATCATCAAGCATAATGTCTTGTAGCAGTGTTCACCGAGGAAGGAGAACGCTCTAGCCGCTGCTGTTGTCCGTTTCATCCATGTTGGGCGTTAGCTGCACCGCGCCTATTGTGTTTTAGTATTCCATGGACACACATTAGCATTCAGAGCGATTGTGGAGCCACAATTTACTTCACACAGCGTTGTATTGTCCACGAGCGCAAACTTCATTATCAGCAGTAACTGTTACTCTTCATCCTACATGTAGACTTGGAGTATACACGGCCTTGTCACGACAGCGACAGCTCTACAGAGTGTTCAAGTGAGAAACATTAATTTCTATTGTTGGTGGACGAATAAATGGCTGGTTCCGAAAAACGCGGCCTGCACCGACGGTGTTTGGTGGATCATCAAACAGGGTGACCAGCAGTGTTCACCGAGGAAGGAGAATGCACTCGCCACCACTCCGAGTCATCCAAGTGGGCGTTAGCTGCGCCGCGCCTATTGTGTTTTAGTATTCCATGGACGCACACTAGCGTTCTCAGCGATTGTGGAGCCACAACATATCTTCATGCGGCGTTGCACTGTCCAAGAGCAGAAACGTCAGCAGTGACCCATCATCATACATGTAGGTTTGGAGTATACACACCATGCGCCAATGGGCCTTGGCACAACAGCGGCAGCTCTACGAAGTGTTCAAGTGAGAAACATTTGTTTCGACTTTTGGTGGACGAACAAATCGTCGGTGCCGAAAAAACGTGGCCTGCGCCGATGGTGTTTGAACCATTGAGGGCTCCGGAAGCAGCAGCTGAGCCAGATCAGCCAGTCTTGCCAACTCTCAGTTGCCGGACTCCGTGCTGCAGCTAGCAGCACTGGCACCAGCCGGAAATATTTTTCCGCCGATACCCGTTACTTCCAGTTCTGTCAAGGGCATGACTGGAATCCATTGCCAGGTGATGACTTTTTACTTTATGTGTTATTTTGCTGCCGAGTTGTTCAGAACTTTTCAGCCCCGATCTGTCCATGTCTACATGTCGGCCATCCGCAAACTTCATGTGGAAGTTGGCTTTACCTACCCGTCAGGCCCAATGACTCTCCTCGCAAGGTTCCTGTCGGGCATCAACAGGTCATCATCGACACAGCGTTATCGCCTGCTGATAACCACTCAACTTCTCAGGGAGATTAGCCGGCATGTTGCCTTTCCACGGATGTGGCACCCTCATGACAAGGCCATGCTAAGGGCAAACTGACTGCTTTATTTTAGCTTTACATTACCGCAGTCAGTCCAGCACAATACGCCAATCGTATTTCACTATTACTCGCGTGTCATAATTGGGGATATGGGCTGCTCCGCCCTATATCCCTGATATGCCAACTAGACGAAAAGTGTGTTCTGAGCCTGTATCGCGTATAATAGGCTCATCGTAAAACAAATAATAAGTCTTAAAAATCAGGGTTCACGTGACACTCGGGCTCCAGCCAAGTTTTCCGCATCCGCAGGAACGCTACCCCCCCCCCCCCCCTCTTGAATCATAGCATAGTGGACTCTGCAATGAACAGATTATGAAACTCCCTGCAGATTTACTACGGTCATTTCTGGTGACTGGTCTTGGGGCACCGTGGAAGCTGTGACTGGTTGCCAAGTTTTGTTTTGTGACTGATCATGGGGCATTTGTGACTACTTCGAAGCACAGCTCTGATTGATCACAGAGTCTTACTGTTGTGAATATTTATATCGATTGAGAAGTCAAGCAGCCACGGGGCGCTGGCCTTGCAGCTGTGAGTATGCATACGGTACATATTCACATGACTCTATTGTATGCTGGACACTGCTGGTCCATTGTTGCAGTGTGTAAGTGAACTGCAGAACCTATTCCGTGATGAAACACCTACTCCTGAAAGACTGAATGTTTGAGCTAATAGTCTTTTACTTCACTCTCATGCTGCTCATATAATTATACCATACGCCAGAAGACCCTAAGTTACAAGTAGTTCTAAGATTTTGTGGACCATGTGACCATGTGGTACTTTCACTCTACAGCCAAGTCAACCTCTTCGTAAACACACAGGGTTTTCCTCAGACACAAGCGAATGGTTTACTCCACTCTGGAGAAGAACACAGTTTGCTCTCTCAAACACCAACCGCAGAAAACTACGGAATGTACTTCAGAAGTAGGAAGTGCAACAACTGCTAGAATATTGAACTGTCGTCCACACAAAACAAATAAAGACAACTGAAAACCAAACACACATGCAACTGCCAACATGCATGTAACAGCAACTGCAAGCCAGAACTACAGACTCCGCGCAGGGAGGAACAGGGGAAACAGAGCTAACGCTTCCGACTCCGAGAGCTTCGAATAGCAGCGGACAAAACAATCCATCAACCTTGCGTGTCACCTTGCGCTACCGCAAACGAACACCTATGGATGCACAGTGCAGCACAGACTCAGTGCATGCACGGTGTAATAACTGGAGTACATGTAAACCGACAACGGTCACCTTGCACCCTATGCAGTAAGTTACATAGGCGGTGCCAACAAAAGAGCAGGGTTCGTGTATCGTGCACACTCCAATGGCACAGCAGAAAATGTTCTCACCAACAGCCACTGCTAGCTGTTTTGTCATCTTGCTGTGCCAAATGATGCTGTATAGACGCGCCAAGCAGAAATGGACTGCTTATGAGCGTGAACAGGCTGGATGGGGTGACTGATGGACTGTCGGAGTTGGCGAACCACAGAAATCGTGTCGCAACTCTGTATGCTGGGTTGGCACTGATTTGTAAAATGGCCTTCTCAGTATCGCAGGTCATGACGATTGGTGGCAGGCAAAATCGTAGAACAATGATGAATTGCCTAATGGCTAGGTCGTTGTTAGTAAGATTGCCTTAATCCTGGATGTCAACACAGTCTAGGTCCCACAGATCTGGGATGGTGCAGGAGTCGGAAGTTGCATCAGTTAGAGAAACGATAGCTGGCATGGCTGCTCATCGGCGTAGCTGAGTGCTTGGAGTGACGTGTTCGGCCAGTCACCACAAAACCGACTGTGGTAGGCAGAAACTGTAGTCCTGGCGGAAGTCCTCTGGTGCTCCACGTCAACTGAGACTCCCAGAGGAAATCTGCACCGATCAAGACGACTGACTATCTTACGGTCAATGGCGATACTGGTTGATGCTGCACTAGCTGCTGTTGCGCTAGATGCTGGTACCTCGTCAGCCACAGGCTGGTCAGCTACTATGTTGGTACTGCTGTCAGATTTCTGTTGAGATTCAGGGCAGATCGTGACATGATGGTGACTCTGATTGGTGACCCATGCGAGAACACACATTACACTTGCGGGTGGCCTTGCACTGAGTTGACCGGTGCCCTGTGCGCAAACACACAAAGCAACGCTTCTGTTCAATCAGTTATTCTTTCCGCTGTGCTACTGTTGTGTATTTCGCGCAGCTCTTGTCCAGGTGAGATCCGCCGCAGAATGCACACCCTCTCATACTGCTGGCATTCCAGTTAACATCAGACCGCTTCCTTCTGGTGAACTTGCATGCGCCTGTCACCAGTGCACCTGCAGAATAGTGAGTGACATCTTCTGCTGTAGTACCGCCTGTGTTTGTGCGGCGCAGAAAGGCGTCTTGCATGATAACATAACGCTTCAGTGCTGTTCTGAAGTCATTCAGTTTCCATTGTGTCCCTGCATCTGAAAAGCCTCGCGATTCGTCCAGTTGAATCAGCATTCGGCATGATCCGTATCTTGGTCACAGCACCGTGTGACGATCTGGTGACATCAGACGGATATAATACACAAGAGACAATTGTGATATTTCTACGCTGTGTTTACTTCAGATACATAATCTAAATAAAAGGGGGGGTTGTCAACCGACAACCGCTCTATTTAGTTGCTTTTCACTCTTTAGATGAAAATTCTTTTATTAATTATGTCGAAAAATTATGCGGTTGTCAGTTGACAACCACCCTTTAATTTACACTGCAGTTGCGTGATGTCCACCACTTTCTGTACATAATCTAAGAGTACTAACAGCCACTGACTTCCAACTACCAAGGGAAAGCAAGCCCAAGCGCAGGAGAACCGTGCGCGCGCGCGCGGGTACGTGACATGTAATATCGTAGTAGAGCTGGCAGGCAAGGCATGATCAGGGGTTCAGGCCCTGCCTGTAAACGCTCTGATTGGCTCAAACCCTGGCAACAATCACGTGACATGTCTGAAAGTACAAGTAGTTGCGATTTATGCTGAAGTTCTAACTAACGGAACACGTGCAGCGCTACACCATGAACTGTGTGGAAACAAAAATAAGTAGAGGAGACACGGGATAACAGACATGAACTCAGGGTCAAACTGATAACTGTGAAACGTGAATGCATGCAGTATATGGAGACAAAACAAAGTCACAGAATTCAGTACGTAACAAGTACTACACACTAACCTCGTACATGAGAATGTCACGACACCACATGAATTAGCTCTTACACCCCACTTATGTTTCAGTCAGTAAGAGTACACATGCGTACTTACGTTGACTCTATTTTATCTGACTTGTCCAACACCATCGTTGTGAGCCTTCGGCACTTGGGAATACACAGGACGGATAAGATAGCAGCAAGAGCATCTCCCCGCTCTGTGAACACAGCTCAGACGCCATGCTTCATGATTGTGTGCCCATGGAATACAAGGACACAATAGACTTGGTGCAGCTAACGAAATGGATGAACGGTCGACGGCCTAAGTGTTCTCCTTCCAAGTTCCTCGATCAACACTGACAGTCACCACATACCATGCTTGATGTTTCAAGCACCATCGGCGCAGGCCACGTTTTTCGGCACCGACGATTTGTTCGTCCACCAAAAGTCGAAACAAATGTTTCTCACTTGAACACTCCATAGAGCTGCCGCTGTTGTGCCAAGGCCCATTGGCGCATGGTGTGTATACTCCAAATCTACATGTATGATGATGGGTCACTGCTGACGTTTCTGCTCTTGGACAGTGCAACGCCGCATGAAGATATGTTGTGGCTCCACAATCGCTGAGAACGCTAGTGTGCGTCCATGGAATACTAAAACACAATAGGCGCGGCGCAGCTAACGCCCACTTGGATGAATCGGAGTGGTGGCGAGTGCATTCTCCTTCCTCGGTGAACACTGCTGGTCACCCTGTTTGATGATCCACCAAACACCATCGGTGCAGGCCGCGTTTTTTCGGAACCAGCCATTTATTCGTCCACCAACAATAGAAATTAATGTTTCTCACTTGAACACTCTGTAGAGCTGTCGCTGTCGTGACAAGGCCGTGTATACTCCAAGTCTACATGTAGGATGAAGAGTAACAGTTACTGCTGATAATGAAGTTTGCGCTCGTGGACAATACAACGCTGTGTGAAGTAAATTGTGGCTCCACAATCGCTCTGAATGCTAATGTGTGTCCATGGAATACTAAAACACAATAGGCGCGGTGCAGCTAACGCCCAACATGGATGAAACGGACAACAGCAGCGGCTAGAGCGTTCTCCTTCCTCGGTGAACACTGCTACAAGACATTATGCTTGATGATTCACCAAACACCATCGTTGGGGGCCAAGTTTTCCGGCGCCAGCGAGTTGTTCGTCCACCAACTATTAAACTTTGATGAGTCTTTCTTCAACACTTCGTAGAGCAGCCGCGCAAGGCCTTTCCTTCGCGTTAGGGTAGCGATCCTTCCTAGATGATATCGCTATTCATTGTTACTTTTTACTACAATGAGTAGTGTTTCTCCGAAAATAAAGTCAGCTGGCTGGGCATTAGGCATTGGAAAGGCTTTCTGTCTAAAGCCTTTCCATACTGGTGCTCGATGTTTTCAGTTTGGGGACACCAAAATTAGTGTACCGCTAAAGACACGTGGTCGACACGTTGTTGACACGTTGTTGACACTTTGTTGACACGTGACCCAATTACCGGCCTACCAAGTGCCTTTGGCGACCGCTAACAGCAACTGTGGAACAGTGCAGTGCCCTTTTTTGGAGCAACGTACGAGTAGTGCCCATGGATTATGACCCCGCGACCCCAATCTACGTGGCGGTCCGCAATTCGCTACTTCATACTGACTGGCGTCCGGCATCGTCCCGAATTTGGCCACAATCTGCTCTCGGGACCCCTATAGGGCTCCCTGACCTGCTCCATCTCCGCCATCGTCAATGTACTGCGCATCCACCCAGGCCAGGACTGCACTTACTTACGAGAAGGAGTATTTGCAAGATGGAACCTGGGAACTGGAAGACGACGAAGAGGAAGCGTGGGAATCCGGCGGCAATGGCTGGGATGTAAGTCCAACATTGCTCGTGCCAGAGTTGCCACTGCTTGCTTATAAGGGAATCATGTGTGTTGCCTTTTTGCCTTTTCCGACGTCCTCCTCCGACTGTACTCCCGATCCCAGGACTGAACTTACGGGAAGGAGTGCTTCCAAGATGGGAGACGAAGAAGAAGAAGCCGCTGAATCCGGCGGCAATGGCTGGGATGTAAGTCCAACATTGCTGGTACTAGAGTTGCCACTGCTTGTTTATAAGGGATTCATGTGTGTTGCCCTTTTTTGCCTTCTCCCATGTTCTCCTCCGACTGTACTGGTGAACGCTGTCACATATGTTGCCCTTTCCAGGCAGTAGAAGGGAGGGGCGGGGGGGGGGGGGGGCAGCACATCCTGGCATCCAGGAATACTAGGCCCTAGGAACTAGGCAATCTGACCTTTCCTCTTACTCCAATAATGGTATGGATGGGGAGTTCTTGAGCATCCTCAGTCTTGTTAGAGTGAACTGTGCAACTCGGCAATCGGTGATAGCAGAGGACCAATGCCGATGGCGATGCTCCTTCCTTTTTCTCTGTCACAGCCTGCGTTCTCGAGAGGAAGCGTTATTTCTGCATTCCAAGAAGGACGGCACAATGGTGAGTGGAACCTCGTGGGTGTGCAGCCTTGCTAGTTGAATTGTAAATCAACCATTCTTCCTGTCTCTGACTTCTTCAATGTCCTCCTCAGTGTCGGACTGTCCGCGTCGCATTGAACTGGTCCGATGAGGCTGCTATTGCACACACAGTGTGGGCACTCCCATACGGGAACTCGGAAGTACTGCTACAGTACAGGTAAGGTGGCCATTGCTTATGTGCGTGCGCCGTTGTTGTCAACTTCTAAGCCAGCTGTACTCCAACCTACATGGAGTTTGAAAGTAGTCAGCTGGCGAACTACAATTGAAGTTTAGACGTTATATGCCGCGGCTTGGTCAGCTTTTTCAGTTTCACAATGCATTGCACTCAGCACCGCTTCTCGGAATATCTTGTCAGGATAGCTGTGGAATGCACCCTCCCCAGTGGGGGGACGGCAAATGTGCTGTTCATTTTTTAGGCTTGCTTTTATGGTACGTACAAATCCCCATTGAAAAGACATAGTGGAGACCAGAAACTGCAAATAGATGTTGGGAACCGCGAAGACCACCCTTCCTTGTCAAGTTCCCTGAGGGTGTGGAGGGGGGGGAGCGGAGGAGGGACATTCCTGCACTGCTTAAAGCACGATTCACAGGAGCATTTTCAGAAATTGCTTGTACATTTGTACCAGTTGTAACCGACAAACGCATTCTCATTGAGCTTTGACTTGAGGCACGTCAGCAAGGCGCTGTTGCATCGCTGACGTCTTGTCGGATTCTGTGAATGGTATTTTGTGCGAGTTTGCATCGCACGCAGAATCGCAGGTCGTGTCGCATTACGCAGCACACTGCCAAATTGCTTCTGTGAATCCCACGTGAATGGGAATTCCAATGGGAATGTAATCCATTGCCAACAGGTGTATTCCCGAGCTGCGCATCATACTGCAAAATTTCTCCTGTACATGCAAATGGATTTCATTGCTCTTCTGTAGTTTGGGAAATTCTCGATTATGATAATAGACCAATCCCGAAAAGATTGTCTGGGTTCGAAAGGGGGCATGTCAACTGAGAGTACACTGTACAACACATACATGGCACTACCTGATCAGCATGCGGCACAGGACGTGGTTGATAGTTCGCGTGTGACTGCGAGGGTAAGTACACGGTTTTCTCGTTAGTTGCATGCAAGAGAGACGATGCGACAGAAAGCAAAGCCCTTTGTAGTTTTCTCTCTCGCACTGGTAATGGTCTGCTGTTGGAGTGGAAATGCTAAGACATAATCCTTGTTTCGCTCTTCTGTGTAGTGTGAAGAGGTCAACGAACATGTAGAGCTCACTGTGAGCGCTGTGGCTCAAAGCGATAGGCCCTAAATCTTATGAGATATTTCGAGTGCTATTGTTTGTTGCGAGCGCTTCGTCTTCGATGAGTCCTGCCTCTTTCCTGGCAGCTGCCCTCCTATAGGATCAACCACGAAGTGACTGTACTCATCTGCCGCCGATCAATGTTATATTGCACAAGAAGATATCGTTTTCGCCAAGCCAGTGCCCCGCCAAAGACCATTGCCGCGTTACACCGTCGGAACGAGTTCATGATGAGAAACATCATTCGCGCGAGCGTGATGAAGAACTATTTCGAAAGACAACATAGTCTTTACCCCCGGGACGACAACTATGTGCACGTCCTGCAAGGGGAGAATGTCACCAGCGACGTCAACGAAGACGACGGCAGTATTTCGGAAACCTGGAGTCAGCGGAGGTCGTCAAGCTCCTCCGCGATCCGCGACCCGGTACATGTACAGTATAGGTGACATGTCGACACGAGCGGACGGAAACACAGCATACACTGTAGTAATGTTGCGAGAGTTTGCGGAAGGAGTCCAAGTCGGGAAATCCATCAGCTCCAAAAGCTACCTGTAGGTGGGCGATGAGACTCCAGCTTCAGACTACAACAGTCAGGACTTGTAAATAGTTGAACTTTGTGAAGCAGCAGATCGAGAAGTTAGTTAGCTGAAATCGTGGCTGTTGCAGTACGTCGGCGCTATGTAGCTTGCATTTTTTACGGAGAGTCGATCGCCATGCGAATGTTTCTCTCCTCACCGAGAGCTATCTGGCCTCCAAACTCCGTCAGGGTCTGCCTAAGGTAACGAAGGTCCTTTGACTAGCTGCTGGCAGGACTCCATCAACTCCTTTAGCTTCAGCTCGGCGAGCAAAAGTCTCTCTCTCCTCCGCCATGAGCTGACACACACAAACTGAATACAAAACGATGCATTTCACACGTGCTGGCTTGCACGCGTGCCCCCTTTCACGAACCCAGACAATCTTTTCGGGATTGGTCTATTCTGCGTGTGTGTGTGTACACCAGCCCTTAACATACATGTAGGTGACCCATTTGTGGTGTCTCATAGCCTACCTCACGACCTTATGCTTTCTTTCTGTATCACTTGTATCTTGCAGGTATATCACCCCGTGACGACCACATCGAAGTCTGAAATTGAAGTGTGAAGATGCTTCAGCAACCCCTTCATATTTTTCCATTGCTTTTATTGTGCTTCTACTGTGCATGTGTGTAACTTGTGGGGTATGCATGTGATGACAATGTATGCCGGTGGCACAGTCAGATTTTGTCAATGCGTGTAACGTACACCTGCATGCTATCGTTGAAAAGGATCTGCCACTTACGATCTTCGGACGAGTATCAGGTCAGCTTGGTTTTGTGTGTGCTGTACCAGATGCTGTTCACTTCTCTATCTGTTGGATATGTGACTTTCTGCAAGTTTCTGGTGTATGGTGGCCACTTCTTTGCTCGTCTTTAAATGACATTACCATAATTCTGTATTCACTGCTTCCATGGTGTGGTCTGCAAACTGCAATCCTTAGGCAAATATCATCACGGTTTGCAATGTTGTGCTTTGGCCGCCAGCTTACCTACACATTGTAGTTGAATTATTTTTGTTTCACAACTGACTTCCTGAAGTATGGTGGCCACTGCTTTCCATGGCATTATACAATGTTCATCAAGAATTTCCTGTTTGGGTTGTGTGTGTGTATGTATGTATGTGTGTGCGTGCCCATGTGTGTGTGTGCCATGTGCATGTGCGTGTTTGTCACAAGGTGTCTGTGTGCGGGGTAGCAAGGTGGGGAGGGCTGGAATGTTTCAGTGTGCTACTGCAGTTGCATGGCTACATACAGTGCATCGCGCGCGTGCTCACCATGTTTATCTTCGGAGCTGGGCTGGGGTGGGGAGGGAACAGAAAAAGAACTGAAATTACCCATATAAAAACCGCTCTGTGAGCGGTTCTGAAAAACCTCTACTGGTGCAGCCCCGTCGTAAAAGTAAGAAATTAGAACTGGCGCATTGTCCTCCCAAATGTGAACTGATCCACCTAAATCGCGATTGACGGGACCCGAACGCACCAGTAGCACGAGGTCGGGAGGGCACAGGATCACAGCCGGCGTCGGCGCTGATCAAGTTACCATACAACACTTTAGATCTACCCCGAAGCCCACCTTTGCCGCTTTGGCTTTGGCTATGGACCAGCGTCCCCAGCTGCATCTGTCACGACGTTGACATGATGTTCAACGTCATGAGATTATTTGCAGTACACGTCATAGTTTGTGTTCTCTACCCCGGTTTGTTTCCGCGTTCCCACACCGAAGCGGGGCCGCGTGTTTATTATTTCTACTGACTCACTCGCCTCTTGGCGACTTCCTCCATGTTTTTTCCTCCTTTTTTGCTCTGCGCAAGCGCCTTGCGCTTTAGTCGTCGTCTTCTTTCAGTTCACAGCAAGAACAATAATTTTACCTCTTGTGCAGTGTCAGTCAAATTCAGTCAAATCAAGCTCTCCCGATCCCAAGAAACTGTCTGGCGTGTGCACAAAGTGGTGCCGAAACCCGGGACATGAACCGCACCGGAGCTCGAAACGAGCCGTGCGTACCATTCCAATCTTGAGAAAGATAGACTCGACTCAAATAATTTGTAAGCAGCTTGCCCGATTTGGGTCGTCGAGCTAACATGCCGAAGAGAGCAGTGACGACCGGCACGCAGATCATGCGCCGGGCCAAGATCGCGCAGCTGCAAGGATCCATCGACGAACTCGTCAAAGAGGCCGAACTCCTTTTATCGAAGGAAGGAGGTCAAAGGGCCGACGAGTTGTCGTCAGAACACGTGGACTCGGATCCAAAAAAGCTAAGTACACTTGTGGATTGTATTGTTGAAGAATTGTACGCATATGATGAGGCGTGTGATGCATTGGCCAGTGTTTTGGACTCGGAGACTCTGGAGGGTTCAGATGAGGCTCTGCAAACGGAGATCTGCGATGTGGTTGCGTATTCGGTACGCATCAGAGGGTCAATTGTTGAATGCAAGCGATCTCCGCAGTACAGAGCCCAGACGAACCGTCCAGAAGCTGCTACTACTAGTACTAGCTCACCAAGTAGCACCAAGAGTACGGGCAGTGCGGGTATCAAACAAGAAACTAGTATGGTTGATTTGTCCAGCATCCAACAGTCAATAGGAGATCTTGTTCGTACGCAGTCTATTACACATAGTCAACACCAGCAAGTATTACAGTCGCAAGAGGATCTAATCAAACAACACCAACTAGTCGTACAACACATGCAAGCATCATCACCTCAACCACAACCAGCTCCCACAAGTTCAGTCAATTTGCCCAAATTTGAAATACCAACATTTTCTGGTGATTTCCTGAAATGGGCTGAGTTTCACGATATGTTTGTTGCGTCTATTGATGCGAATCAAGGGTTGTCGGGTGTCCAGAAACTGTCGTACCTAAGAGATCACGTAACGGGTTTGGCTCGGGATGCCATAGCTGGCTTGCCCATATCAGATACCAACTACACAACCGCGCTTGACATTCTCCGCAAACGTTTCGGGAATGATCAGCTTCGCGTCAATGCACACTACACGGCAATCATGGACTTACCGCCTGCGTCCAACGCTACTCCATCTTTGCGTAGGTTGCACGATGCGTTGGAGGTGCACTTGCGAAGCCTCACAGCGCTTGGTGAGAATGTTAATCAGGCGGTGTTTGTGTCAATGATTACGAACAAATTGCCACGCACCACGCTAGCGGCTTTGGAATTAAAAAAGGGGCCACAATCCTGGACCGTTTCGGACTTGCGCGCTGCAGTAGCCAACTTCATAATAGCGAATGAAGCAGCAGATCGCCTCAGCCAGCCACCGAAAAAATCGCACGAATCACCATCTGCCAGTGCGTCCGGTCAATCTCTTGTTGCCTCAGCTTCAGCTACTTCAAAAGCGAAGCCCAAGAGAGTGTGTGTTTTTTGCAGTTCGGAGGCACATTTCTCTGACGAATGCAATAAGTACACTACAGTAGAAGCGAGGAAGAGCGTAGCTAAACAAAGGTGTTTCAAGTGTTTGCGATCAGGCCACTCCGTGCACGATTGCTCTAGCAAACGGCGGTGTTTCTATTGCCACAATCCTGCACACCACAGCAGCTTGTGTCCAGATAAATTCACTGCCGCATCCACTCAGAGGCAAGCTTCCACTATGAGCCCGAATGCTCAGTCCTTCAAACCCAAGCCTGCCACGAGCACGGTCGCAAACGCCGATCACCAGATCATGATGCAAACTGCTGTGGCACCGTTTCTCTCCTCCAAGCTGAAGCCGATCAATGGCCGTATTCTCTTTGATACCGGCTCCACCAAGACATACATCACGCAAGCTTATCGAGATCAGCTCGATTTGCCCACAATCGGAAATGAAACACTCTCCTTGGCTACATTTGGGAACAACAAAAGAAAAAGTACCGTGTACGCCAAGGTGAGTTTGACCATGCAGTGTAAGGATGGGTCCACTCGTGCGATTCAGGCCAGTGTACTTCCGAACATAACCGCTCCAATTGCGCGATGTCCACTTGCTTCTTCTTTTCCTCTTCTACAGTCTCTGCCACTTGCAGAACCGCTCTCCAGCAGCGCAGAGCCCATGGTCGTAGACGTCTTGATTGGTCTCGATCACTATTATGATATTATCGGCAAGGACCGCACCGAACTAAGCGGTGGTCTGGTCTTGCTCGACTCCGTTCTTGGTTTTATCTGTACCGGCAGTCTGCCTGTGCCTGCCACCACAGAGGCGCAGTCATGTCTTGCTCATCAAACAGACACGGACCCTGAATTCGACCTCCGTAAGTTCTGGTCGACAGAGAGCTTGGGTACTTTTGACGATACGTCGTCGCAAGATCTTGTGGGCGAGCGCTTCGCCAACTCCATCTCCTTTGCCGAGGGTCGGTACGCGGTGAGTTGGCCCTGGAGGGACTCACATCCTCCTCTTCCGACAAACTACGGTCTGGCTTTCGGTCGCCTGAAGGCACAAGTGCGTCGCCTCGAAGCCCATCCGGAACTTCTTGACCAGTACGATACCGTGATTCAAGACCAGCTTGACAGGGGCATGATAGAAGATGTTCCACACTTCCTTGCCACTGCTGACCATCACGCCGAGCCAGCACTTGATCACCATGTCAACGTTGCCGCTGGGGAGGGTCCTTCAAGCACTTCGGAGATACCTGCACCTGTATCACACCCAACAGAGTCCACCGGTCCAGACACTGAGCTTGCACACGAAATGAAAAAAAAGCCTGATGCGCATCACGAACAAAAAAAAACATGTGATGAACCACCATTTGGTATTGATTGTGCCAGGTTTTCGTCTTTCAGTGCCTTAGTGCGTGTTTCTGCTCTGTGTTTGCGGTTTCTCTCCAGGTTGAGACCACAAGGCGGCAAGTCCTTCGGGGTGGATTCTAGTTGTAACTCAGAGGTCAAGGTAGCCAAAATCATGTGGCTACACCATGCACAACAGAATCTGTCAGACGTCAGTGCTGTCGAAAATTGTAAGAAGCACAGCCCGAAGGACAAGCTGCGGCTCTTCCTCGATGAGAACCGCCTCATCAGATGCAGAGGACGCTTGGAGAACGCCGAACTTTGCTATCAAGCAAAGTATCCAGTACTGATTCCCCAAACGCATCCCATCACCCAGCTCATCATCAACGATTGTCACCTGATGACGATGCATGGCGGCGTTGCACACACGCTATCAAGACTGCGTTACGAGTACTGGTTACCACGAGGGCGTGCAACAGTGAAGTCATTCATCACTAAGTGCCTGACTTGCCGGAAGCACCACGGTGGTCCATACCGCACCCCAGATATGGCCCCGCTTCCATCTGCCCGCGCAACAAGATCTATCCCGTTCACCCATGTGGGACTAGATTACTTCGGTCCTCTGCTCGTCAAGCACCAGCCAAGTACCAAGAAGGTATGGGTCCTCCTAGTGACATGTATGGCAACTAGAGCTGTCCATCTAGAACTGGTGGCAGACATGACCACAGAGGAATTCCTGCTAGCGTTCCGCAGGTTCGTGTCGTTGCGTGGTTGCCCTGAAGAGGTAGTGTCTGACAACGCGCCACAATTCATCCTAGCTAAGTCTGTTCTGGATGTGGCCTTTGAAGAAATGGCAACGAGTGATGATGTCCTGTCGTACATGTCGAGGACTGGTGTGAAGTGGCACTATAACCCACCGATCTCACCTTGGATGGGTGGTTTCTACGAGCGTCTCGTTGGAACAGTCAAACGAAGCCTGAAGAAGGTCGTTGGCCGCGCGCTCCTCACTGTGTCGCAACTGACTACCATTCTCATGGAAGTGTCAGCAGTCGTCAACTCGCGTCCACTGGTGTACGTGGACAATGACTTGCAGGAGATACTCACCCCAAGTCATTTTCTGTGCCTGTCCGCAACTACTGGTGGCGTGCAACCCACTGCTGATGACGGCGATCCGGACCACATCGAAGTTCCGACTGCAGCTCAGAATCTTCTCTCTGTCTGGAAGAAGGGTCAACGAACATTGGACCAGTTCTGGCGTGTCTGGCGAGACGACTACTTGGCTGATCTCCGCAACAGTCACACTCGGAAGCTCCGACAGGCACGCGTTACCGCTTCAGAACAGCCAGCCGTTGACGATGTTGTACTAATAAGGGATGACATGCCCCGTGGCTCATGGCGACTTGGTCGCATTGTCGCTCTCCATACAAGCAAGGACATGGAGATACGTTCCGCAACCGTCATCACTGCAGAGAAGACAGAGCTCAAACGACCCCTGTCTCTCCTGTACCCTATCTGTCCTGCTGCTAACTCCGAGGCTAACAACAACAGCACCGCTCCGGACACACACACCACTGGCCAAGCCGATCTGCCAGTTCCAGCAGCTGTTGCTCCACCCAGTCGTCCACAACGTGCTGCCGCTAAGAAGCAACGTCAGACGCTTCGCCAATTAATTGGCAGCGAACTTGTTTAGTTGAATCAGCTAGACAGTTGGTAGTTCACATCTGAACTTTCTCTCTCTCTCTCTCTCTCTCTGTGTGTGACGGTCTACTCTCTTTCACCCTTGCGTAATATATGCACTTATTGTGTTTTGTTTCCACGTTACTTTGTTACGAATTATCTCCTTTTCTCTGCATCTCTTGCGGGGGAGTGTCACGACGTTGACATGATGTTCAACGTCATGAGATTATTTGCAGTACACGTCATAGTTTGTGTTCTCTACCCCGGTTTGTTTCCGCGTTCCCACACCGAAGCGGGGCCGCGTGTTTATTATTTCTACTGACTCACTCGCCTCTTGGCGACTTCCTCCATGTTTTTTCCTCCTTTTTTGCTCTGCGCAAGCGCCTTGCGCTTTAGTCGTCGTCTTCTTTCAGTTCACAGCAAGAACAATAATTTTACCTCTTGTGCAGTGTCAGTCAAATTCAGTCAAATCAAGCTCTCCCGATCCCAAGAAACTGTCTGGCGTGTGCACAGCATCCACAGGTAGGAACCTCGTGCTACTGGTGCGTTCGGGTCCCGTCAATCGCGATTTAGGTGGATCAGTTCACATTTGGGAGGACAATGCGCCAGTTCTAATTTCTTACTTTTACGACGGGGCTGCACCAGTAGAGGTTTTTCAGAACCGCTCACAGAGCGGTTTTTATATGGGTAATTAGACTGATTAGTGTTGCCTAGGCCTAGCGCCTGGACTTGGAAAAAAAATTGCAAGTCTTCAATCATGTTTGCATGTACGCGCTATCCAGCCATGTGGCGTGAACAGATTGCCTGACGTGAAAGGTAGCGCGGGCGCGCGCGAGTCGATCGTACGCGCTCGCGGACGTGTCTGACACGTGAAACGAAAATATTTTTTTGGCGGGTAGTCGGCAAAAATTAAGTGACGGTCCCTTTAGTCCTTCGCCAGCTAGTCGCGTGACATTTGGCACCATGGTGATCATTCATGGTGATCGTGAAGTACCTATCGCTTGCAGGGAGTCGTAAAATGCCGGTATTTTACAACTCCCTAGCCCAAAGTGGGTCAAAATGGACAAAATGCATTTTGACCCCCAAAATGCAAAAATATGCAAACACATAATCCGGAAAGGCCTACAGTCCTGAGTCCTGACTCCTGAGTCCTGACTCCTAGATCATGGCTAGATCCTGTCGTCCTGATCTGAGTCCTGACATGACTACCGTCCCGTCGAGTCACATGATGTGTGTCAGACTCAGTCGATGTCACTAATCAAGGAAACTGTGTTTTCTTTGGGGCTGGGGATGCTGATACTGTGATAGTAGGGCTTGGCGGATAATGCCGGCAGAATTTTCGGCAGAAAACGCCTGTTTGGGGGGTCGAGCATATTTCGGCAGAACGGGGGCTGAAAAAGCATTCTCTGCCAGTTACCACGGAATTGGCGTGCGACGTTCTGCTTTTGCAGCAGATTTGCTGCGTTCTTCGACCCGCAGTCCATCCATCCACCAAATGTGGCCGGAACTGTTACTTTGCGGAAGGTAGCAGCCTTGAATGGCAGGCCAGTGGCAGAAGTCTACGAGTCGTAGATTGGAAAGGCTTTCTGTCTAAAGCCTTTCCATACTGGTGCTCGATGTTTTCAGTTTGGGGACACCAAAATTAGTGTACCGCTAAAGACACGTGGTCGACACGTTGTTGACACGTTGCTGACACTTTGTTGACACGTGACCCAATTACCGGCCTACCAAGTGCCTTTGGTGACCGCTAACAGCAACTGTGGAACAGTGCAGTGCCCTTTTTTGGAGCAACGTACGAGTAGTGCCCATGGATTATGACCCCGCGACCCCAATCTACGTGGCGGTCCGCAATTCGCTACTTCATACTGACTGGCGTCCGGCATCGTCCCGAATTTGGCCACAATCTGCTCTCGGGACCCCTATAGGGCTCCCTGACCTCCATCTCCGCCATCGTCAATGTACTGCGCATCCACCCAGGCCAGGACTGCACTTACTTACCATGCTTACGGGAAGGAGTATTTGCAAGATGGAACCTGGGAACTGGAAGACGACGAAGAGGAAGCGTGGGAATCCGGCGGCAATGGCTGGGATGTAAGTCCAACATTGCTGGTGCCAGAGTTGCCACTGCTTGCTTATAAGGGAATCATGTGTGTTGCCTTTTTGCCTTTTCCGACGTCCTCCTCCGACTGTACTCCCGATCCCAGGACTGAACTTACGGGAAGGAGTGCTTCCAAGATGGGAGACGAAGAAGAAGAAGCCGCTGAATCCGGCGGCAATGGCTGGGATGTAAGTCCAACATTGCTGGTGCTAGAGTTGCCACTGCTTGTTTATAAGGGATTCATGTGTGTTGCCCTTTTTTGCCTTCTCCCATGTTCTCCTCCGACTGTACTGGTGAACGCTGTCACATATGTTGCCCTTTCCAGACAGTAGAAGGGAGGGGGGGGGGGGCAGCACATCCTGGCATCCAGGAATGCTAGGCCCTAGGAACTAGGCAATCTGACCTTTCCTCTTACTCCAATAATGGTATGGATGGGGAGTTCTTGAACATCCTCAGTCTTGTTAGAGTGAACTGTGCAACTCGGCAATCGGTGATAGCAGAGGACCAATGCCGATGGCGATGCTCCTTCCTTTTTCTCTGTCACAGGCTGCGTTCTCGAGAGGAAGCGTTATTTCTGCATTCCAAGAAGGACGGCACAATGGTGAGTGGAACTTCGTGGGTGTGCAGCCTTGCTAGTTGAATTGTAAATCAACCATTCTTCCTGTCTCTGACTTCTTCAATGTCCTCCTCAGTGTCGGACTGTCCGCGTCGCATTGAACTGGTCCGATGAGGCTGCTATTGCACACACAGTGAGGGAACTCCCATACGGGAACTCGGAAGTACTGCTACAGTACAGGTAAGGTGGCCATTGCTTATGTGCGTGCGCCGTTGTTGTCAACTTCTAAGCCAGCTGTACTCCAACCTTTATGGAGTTTGATGCATGGCGATGCTCCTTCCTTTTTCTCTGTCACAGGCTGCGTTCTCGAGAGGAAGCGTTATTTCTGCATTCCAAGAAGGACGGCACAATGGTGAGTGGAACTTCGTGGGTGTGCAGCCTTGCTAGTTGAATTGTAAATCAACCATTCGTCCTGTCTCTGACTTCTTCAATGTCCTCCTCAGTGTCGGACTGTCCGCGTCGCATTGAACTGGTCCGATGAGGCTGCTATTGCACACACAGTGAGGGAACTCCCATACGGGAACTCGGAAGTACTGCTACAGTACAGGTAAGGTGGCCATTGCTTATGTGCGTGCGCCGTTGTTGTCAACTTCTAAGCCAGCTGTACTCCAACCTTTATGGAGTTTGAAAGTAGTCAGCTGGCGAACTACAATTGAAGTTTAGACGTTATATGCCGCGGCTTGGGCAGCTTTTTCAGTTTCACAATGCATTGCACTCAGCACCGCTTCTCGGAATATCTTGTCAGGATAGCTGTGGAACGCATCCTCCCCAGTGGGGGAACGGCAAATGTGCTGTTCATTTTTTAGGCTTGCTTTTATGGTACGTACAAATCCCCATTGAAAAGACACAGTGGAGACCAGAAACTGCAAATAGATGTTGGGAACCGCGAAGACCACCCTTCCTTGTCAAGTTCCCTGAAGGTGTGGAGGGGGGGGGGGAGCGGAGGAGGGACATTCCTGCACTTCTTAAAGCAGGATTCACAGGAGCATTTTCAGAAATTGCTTGTACATTTGTACCAGTTGTAACCGACAAACGCATTCTCATTGAGCTTTGACTTGAGGCACGTCAGCAAGGCGCTGTTGCATCGCTGACGTCTTGTCCTGATTCTGTGAATGGTATTTTGTGCGAGTTTGCATCGCACGCAGAATCGCAGGTCGTGTCGCATTGCGCAGCACACTGCCAAATTGCTTCTGTGAATCCCACGTGAATGTGAATTCCAATGGGAATGTAATCCATTGCCAACAGGTGTATTCCCGAGCTGCTCATCATACTGCAAAATTGCTCCTGTGCATGCAAATGGATTTCATTGCTCTTCTGTAGTTTGGGAAATTCTCGATTATGATAATTCTGCATGTGTGTGTACACCAGCCCTGAACATACATGTAGGTGACCCATTTGTGGTGTCTCATAGCCTACCTCACGACCTTATGCTTTCTTTCTGTATCACTTGTATCTTGCAGGTATATCACCCCGTGACGACCACATCGAAGTCTGAAATTGAAGTGTGAAGATGCTTCAGCAACCCCTTCATATTTTTCCATTGCTTTTATTGTGCTTCTACTGTGCATGTGTGTAACCTGTGGGGTATGCATGTGATGACAATGTATGCCGGTGACACGGTCAGATTTTGTCCATGCGTGTAACGTACACCTGCATGCTATCGTTGAAAAGGATCTGCCACTTACGATCTTCGGACGAGTATCAGGTCAGCTTGGTTTTGTGTGGGCTGTACCAGACGCTGTTCACTTCTCTATCTGTTGGATATGTGACTTTCTGCAAGTTTCTGGTGTATGGTGGCCACTTCTTTGCTTGTCTTTGTATGACATTACAATAATTCTGTATTCACTGCTTCCATGGTGTGGTCTGCAAACTGCAATCCTTAGGCAAATATCATCACGGTTTGCAATATTGTGCTTTGGCCGCTAGCTTACCTACTCATTGTACATGTAGTTGAATTATTTTTGTTTCACAACTGACTTCCTGAAGTATGGTGGCCACTGCTTTGCATGGCATTATACAATGTTCATCAAGAATTTCCTGTTTGGGTCGTGTGTGTGTATGTATGTGTGTGCGTGCCCATGTGTGTGTGTGCCATGTGCATGTGCGTGTTTGTCACAAGGTGTCTGTGTGCGGGGTAGCGAGGTGGGGAGGGCTGGAATGTATCAGTGTGCTACTGTAGTTGCATGGCTACATACAGTGCATCGCGCGCGTGCTCACCATGTTTATCTTCGGAGCTGGGCTAGGGTGGGGGAGGGAACAGAAAAAGAACTGAAATTACCCATATAAAAACCGCTCTGTGAGCGGTTCTGAAAAACCTCTACTGGTGCAGCCCCGTCGTAAAAGTAAGAAATTAGAACTGGCGCATTGTCCTCCCAAATGTGAACTGATCCACCTAAATCGCGATTGACGGGACCCGAACGCACCAGTAGCACGAGGTCGGGAGGGCACAGGATCACAGCCGGCGTCGGCGCTGATCAAGTTACCATACAACACTTAGATCTACACCGAAGCCCATGGCCCACCTTTGCCGCTTTGGCTTTGGCTATGGACCAGCGTCCCCAGCTGCATCCACAGGTAGGAACCTCGTGCTACTGGTGCGTTCGGGTCCCGTCAATCGCGATTTAGGTGGATCAGTTCACATTTGGGAGGACAATGCGCCAGTTCTAATTTCTTACTTTTACGACGGGGCTGCACCAGTAGAGGTTTTTCAGAACCGCTCACAGAGCGGTTTTTATATGGGTAATCTACATATGGCCCAGTTGCAGCGATTTTCGACCTTCGGTGAAAAAGCCCGCTGTGTGAAAAGATTCAAATCAAATCATCTTTTGCTGCGCAAGCCGGGCCGCGGACGGGTATTCCGTGGATCACGACACCAGTGAAGTCAGACTTGAAAATGTTCGCAAAACAAGCATTTTGCAACGAAGGTCGAAAATCGCTGCAACTGGGCCATATTATGTAGTGTGGCTAGCCTTCATCTGAAGTGCGCCTGCGCCGGCCACATTGTGTTCTTTTTCATGCCTTGTCTAGTATTTCACATGACTCATCTTTTTAGATCCTGAACCCAATTATGTGTGCCAAGTGTATTTTTACATAACTGGATTTCAGCAGAAATTTCAGCAGAAAATGCACTTTCATGAGCAGAATATTGAGCAGACCGAAAAGCAGAATGAGGGATTTCGGCGAGCATTATCCGCCTAGCCCTATGTGATAGTGATACTTGATAGGGATGGAGCTACAAAGCTGCAGGACCTAGCTAGAGGAGATTGGTGCGTTGGGACTCGGGTGGAGTCCAGACCATACTATTACATGACTTGTAGATCTACAACGTCAAGTATTACTAGTATTAGTCCATACGACCATAGCGGGGTAGGCACACTCCTGCCCGTGACGCCTTTTTTGTTAGCTACCAAAGCACCATGTTACTGTCATTGACGGTAACATGGTAGCTAACACAGTACTAATAAACACAACACAGTAGGGCTTTTTTTATGAAAGTAAACTGTCTTGTAATATGGCTGTGTGTGACACCAGAAAAAGGCAGAAGGTCTTCTCCAAGTAATTTTCGTCTGGTGATCGATTCAGTTCGTGAAACTCAGAGTTACGAAACCGCAACTGCTCGTTCTTCTGCCATTGTATTCCGCTCTTCGCCCTCTGCGGACGGTGGATGAACTTCACATGGTATTCGTGACGCCTACATATTTGTAGCTGAGTTTGTCCGTTACTTGCGTGTACAGACAGTGCAGACTGCCATCATCAGCTCGATCTCGTGCATGTGTGCGCGACTCTCCTTTGTTTCTCGGTCCCGCTCCCTAGCTAGGGCCGGTAGGGTCAGTCGCAACGACGTACCCACAAATACACGTAATTGGCTACGAAGCATGGCGTTACCGAAATTGGTGGCTCTGGACTTGGACGACACCGTGTGGCATCCCGACATGATAGATCTGGCCTCAGCCAACGGCGGACCTCCGTTCACAGCCGTTGGCGATGGGACGCGCTTGCTGAACGACAATTTTGGCCACCAAGTGAAGCTGCTCGGTGCGGCAGGAAACGTGGTGCATGAGATCAAACACGATCGGAGATGGACGCAGCAAGACACGAAGCTAGTGTGGGTGTCCATGTGTGATGAGCCGGAATGGGCGCAGCTGGCACTCGGAAAGTTCATGGCAACGCCATGGGCCGGCAGTACGGCAGAACGGGCTGAAGGTGAAGATAGCCATTCGTCGTGCACTCCTGCTGCAGCCAGATCCGATGATGATGCACCACCTCTGAATGCTCAAACAGGTGTTCCAATGGGAACCCTAGCCGACGCGTCGTACATCTACGACTCGAGCAGCAAGATCCGCCACTTCCAGCAGGTCCAGGAAGAGTTCCAGATTCCATTTGAGGAGATGATGTTCTTCGATAACATGCGTTATCACGTCCAGGACGTAGCTCGCATCGGCGTGCACTGTGTGCATTGCCCTGATGGACTGACTAAGGAGAAATGGCTTCAAGGGCTGGATGAGTACGCTGCAAGGAAAGAGACATGATGATAAGGAGACCGACCGTTGTCTTGACTACAAACAGCAGATTGGATTCAGTTGCTTCCGGCATAGTGGAGATCCGATCCGGATTTCTTCACAAAATGGCTGGGTCTCATGCCTTGTGCCGGTTCAGTCAGTCTTGAAAACACTGCACAAGTTGTACTGAATTGTTTCCCCACGACGAGATGGGAATCATTTACTATGGCATGCCCAGCGTGCATGTTGGCAACAAGGCAGCCCATCATCCGTTATCAGCCTACAGCAGCAGCTAGATGCTCCCCTACAGATCAATGGAGTCAGTCTAAAGAGGCTATTGGTGGTGTACAAGCGGATTCGATGTACAATATGAGTCGGTGGCTTTGGTCGAGCTAGTGCATCGCTGTGCAATAGCTTTGCCAAAGCATCTCAATTGACGACGTAATCACATAACCTCTATGATCTTTGGTCACCATGGCCACAGACCCCATGCACATCGGAGCAAACGCATCTCGGCCATGGCTTTCCCACGACACGGACTCCTAGGATAGAGGCTGCTTCCGACGGTGACCCCTGACAGAGTGGTACTATGCTGCATGGTGCTCCAATGTACTTTGATGTACTGCAACCATGAGAAGTTGAGAACTATCCAGGCACATGCACATGTATGTAACAGAATCCACTCAAGTGGAATTTCAGACTGGCACTTCTCCGACTGCATCATGCTAGTAGCCACTGCTCATGGAAGAACTTATACTACGGGTGAAAGTGCTCGATGCACGACATGCAGAGCTTCAATAGTCGTTGCCTATTCACTGATGATGTGCCGGGATGTGTGAGTGTGACTGTTTTCACCAGACTGCTGTCTGGTCTCGGTTGAACAGTGCCGGGTCGGGACCATCATTGACTCGTCCGGCGTGGACTGCAGAACGGTGTAGGGGTAGCGTGAGTGCTAGTGTAGCATGCCATGCCGTGCGTGCAGTTTAGTCAGCCGGTTTCTCACACTCACACTGATAGCGACTGCAAGGTGAACTGTTTGTACAATGTACAGTCACGTCACATCACTCTTCATGTGGCAACCTCGTACTTCAACGGTTGTACAGTACAGTGTACTACAGTTCTGCTCAATGACTCCAGTCGCATCCCTCAAGTAACCGCTGGGCGTCGCGCAGCCCTAGACCTGCGAACACAGAACTGCGAAATGGTGCAAGGCACAAACTTGAGTGATGACGTGGCTGGATTTCATTGAGCAGCACTGTACTTCTACCCAAACATGTCATGATATGCGCTACGGTTGTTGGGAGACAGCAGTGCCCTTCAAAGTAACAGTATCATCACCGGTGACCCATGCGGATTTGGCGGCTCACCGTTCGAGTTTATGGTTCGGTGAGGTTGATCATGCACCCTGGCCTGTCGTGTGACGGTCGGCTTTGCAGGAACATCCCTGAAGTTGCATTGGGGTGCAGCAGCGGGATATCCATTTGCAACAGGTTCCTCACGACAAGCAGCAGCAGTAGGCGGTGTTATGACCACGGACTGGTAGCACAGCGCTGGCCCGGTCCGAGGGCCGGCTATGCCGGTACAACCGCGGTGAACTGAAGCTGGAGTCCCTTGGCAACAGGGCCACCGGTTTGCCGAAGTCTGGCAGCGTGGGGAGCAGGGAGTCGTCAAATACCGGTATTTGACGACTCCCTGGTGGGGAGGGTGTCTCGGAAGTTTTCCCGCCCTTCGAATGCATCACGGTGCAACCAGTCTCTCCGAACCAAAGACATGCATCAGTTTGGTGTCATTTTCTGATGTACCCAAACTCCCTGATTATGAGATTGCCATGAGGCATGAACCATGATCATTTTCACTCGTGGCCGCAAGATCCCCCTGGCCCTGTGGCCGAGAATCCATAAAATACAAAAATACAAGATAGGGAGCCCTACACTCTGGTCTACAGCTAGCCATCAACCTTTACTTCAAGCCTCGGAGTTCATAACCCCGGGGGAAAACCATGTACATGTACTGCACTGGTACAGTACTCAGTAGTAAGAACTGAGAATAATACTCTTGCTCCTGCTTGGTAAGAAATAGTAAGCATTGCAGCCATGCCATGGCCATGCATCAGGGAGTTTGACGACTCCCTAGGCCCTGTCCTGGTCATGCATGGATGGGCGGGCTGGATGACCATGGTTGCTGCTGACAACCGAATTATGGCGTCAGAAAGCGCTTGTGAGATCGAGACTGCACTGCTGCATGATGCATGATTCCATGAAAGCTGTAGCTAGGCAAAGAGTTTCAAAAAAATATAATCCAGATTGTTTGCAACCTTTCTTGAGCATCGTTTGCGATCGCGGCCTCTCTCACTCTTGAAGTGTTGAGTTTCTTGTGCCAGGTGCATCTACTGGATTGCCGATTATAATGTAGATCTACATTTCGGATCTACAGTTTCTTCACGCACCCTTCTGGGAAACTCAAACGAACAAGGCACCACTGTTCGGATTCATTCATTCTGTTTATCGGTTTCCAGCAGGATTTCCCCATCTTATCTCGGAATCTCCAACAACAAAGTGCAGCCAAGAAGTTGGCACTTGTGTCTGTGTGCTTAAAGTAAATCACTGTTGGTCAGAGAGTTGCTTCTCTTCTGGCTTGTGCAGTATCCTCTTGTTCAGCCTTTGGTCGAGCTGTAATGATGGCGTTGCCAAAGCTTGTGGCACTGGATTTAGACGGCACGGTGTGGCATCCAGACATGTACATGCTCTGGGGTGGAGGTGCCCCGTTCACGGTGGAGGGCGACGGCACGCGTCGGCTGAAGGATCGAAGCGGCCAGCACGTTGAGCTGCTGGGCATTGCCGGTCACATCATACATGAAGTAAAACACGAGCCGAAATGGACCGAACAGGATACCAAGCTGGTGTGGGTGTCGACGTGTGACGAGCCTAGCTGGGCAGACGAGTGCCTGCATAAGTTCAACGCCACGCCGCAGGGCAAGAAAGAGCCACGTATTCCATTAAAGCAGCTAGCAGATGGCGAGTACATCTACTCTGCCGCGTCGAAGCAAGACCACTTCAAGCGCGTCAAGCGCGAGTTTGGCATTCCGTTTGAAGAGATGATATTCTACGACAATCAGATGAACAACATCAGCTCGGTATCACGGCTCGGCGTGCACTGCGTCTACTGTCCAGATGGCCTCACGAAGAGTGTGTGGCAGAAGGGACTGGATGAGTATGGCAAGAAGCATGCTGCTTAACTGAGTTCACACTGATGGATTTGTTGTGGTGTGATGTCGCAGAGGCGTAAATGCGAATCGCTGTATTTCCTTTCGAGTATGATCTCTGCATTGGATTCTATGCGGCATTGCAAGGGCTATTCGCTCTAGCACGGCTACTGGCAGAAGGGATATTAATTAATTTATCTAGACAATGATTGCAGTTCAGCCAGCATGTCGTTGCATGTATGCCTTGCCCAGTCCCAGTGTGGATGTGCAAGCATAGTTGGCGATCAACAGCAATCTAATTTGCCCGACGGAAGCCCAACAGAGCCGTCTGGTGTTGGCGGCACAATGATGTATGCGGGTATCTTTGGCTCCATTCCAGCTTGCGTATCTGTCCTGCCTTTAGAAAATGCTACAAGTTTGAGTTATTATGTTGAGAGGTCCCTGCATGTACTGTGTTGACAATTTTTTTTTTTAAAGTTTAGCAATACCCTGAGTTTCAACACAAAGCAGCTATTTGAAGAATATTAAAGGCAACTGTTGCCTTGCTTTTTTTTACGTTCTTTGCTTGTTCTATGAGGCCTGTGGGTTTAATTTTGTTCGTAGGAACCCATTTCATGAGCTTTGATGGTGCTCGCTTCTGTTCAGTGTCGAGGCCGACGCTGAACATCTGCATGTATGTAAGTACATGTTTGTAGAGCGCTTCAGCCCGGAAATACTGTTGGGAAATTCCGCCAAGCTGCACTGCATGCGGGTCTCTTGCTCTCTCTCATGTGCTGTGCGCGTATCTCATTTATGCCACGTGGACAATGTTTGCAGCGGTAGTCTTGATATGCTATGTGGCGTCATTATGGAGCATGACTTGATTGTGTAGCTGCTGCTTTTTTCTTCTTTTTCTGAATATGCTCAGAGTAGAGTATGCGTGTAGCTTATGCAGGTCACCATGTGTCCGTCTGCCCATATGCTTCAGCTCTGCCTCAACCTTGATACATGGATTGGGATATTGGGGTGCGACCCGTATGGAGAGAGGTCTACTCGTGCCATACGTGTGAACTTGCTTTACATGCGTGCAGCAGATCTACTGTTAGGCCTTTGTATGAGCTGTTTTGGATGCAGAGTGCTTTGCATGTGCGGTCCATGTAGCGACCGTTTGATGTTTGTAAATTCTGGAATTGAAAATTTGTCATTTCTCCTCATACCCTCCCGACCAGGCCAAGGAGTGCTCAAGGACTCTGCATCCAAGAAACGGCATTGTTGCACGTACTCTTGTACTCTTGCTATTACAATGTATTTGCGTTGTATTTTGCATTGTTCGCATTCGCATTGTACATGTATGAAGGTCACCAAGAGTTTGTCAACCTTGCGACTACATGTACAATGTACTATTATTTTTTGCATGCATACTACATCGTAGTATGCGCATTATACATAATAATATTATTATGCATGATCGATATCGCGCACGTGCACGTGTGCAAGTCGTGCAAACTGTACATGTGACTGATCAAATACGGGTTTTCACGCAAAGATGAAAAGAGACGACGGGTTGACGGTTGTACTTGTATTATGCAAGGCAGAAAGGCTTTTGTTCGGCAGTTGTCCTCCTTACCTGGATCCACAAATCCGGTTAGCTGTCACACCCGACTTGTCTGTCAGTCACTTTGGACAGTTGACCTTGTGGCCCCTTTGCCTTACTCCCGTTTCTTTCGGAACAGTGTGCGGAATTGGACGAATTCGACTAGCCCAACTCTGATCAGAATGGCCGACAGAAAATGGAAAGTATGCCTCATTGGCTCAGGAAACTGGTAAGTTTTCGTAGGATAGCGGTAAACTCTGCGAGAAAAGTGCGAGGTCGTGTGCGTAGCACTTCAGTGTGTCGCGGAGAAAAACTTTTGTCTCTGGGGCATCAATTTTTCAAATGAATTCGTAGATCACTGGGGAAAGCGAAGTGTTATTGGCGAGAAGAGGTCTGTCTGTAATTTCATCATGGCATTCAAGATGATGATGCGTGAATACTGCAGATATCTAGATGTTTGTTTGCAGTGTTGGTCGTTTGCCCAACCAGTGCATATTTTTTTTATAATGTGTGCGAATATGTGAGGGACACACCCTGTTTGACGCAGCTCACCCACATTATACACACCCTCAGGCATGTGTGACGGCAAGAACCATAGCGATCACGTCACCCTTTTGATGCGAAGTATTACTATTAGCGCAATTTTGTGTGCGGTTAGGAGAGGCAGAAACTGCACGATGCCAGAACATAGCGCATCTATTTTATTTTATTGACTGGCCCAGCCATCGCTGGACTTAAAACTGAGTATCACGTTCAAGTGTTCTGCTTCGGTAGCACCAGTCCGAAGCTTGCATTACTACATTGTCGAACTGGCATACATCTGCGGTCAGAGTCCATCTCCTCACTTGATACATGCGCAGTGTTTTACTGCAGCGCGTTGACTTGAGAACGCTCCGTTTGTGTTTGCCTTTGCCTCCTCCATGTGCCGCTCACAGGGGCTCTGCCATTGCCAAGATCGTCGGCGAGAACGTTCAGCACCACAACGATTTTGAGAACGACATCAACATGTGGGTGTTCGAGGAGCAGGTGGACGGCCGCAATCTCACCGACATCATCAACACGGAGCACGAGAACGTCAAGTACCTGCCGGGAATCAAGCTACCCAGCAATGTGGTATGTACTGGGGACTAGTGTACTACAGTCTGTCCACAAAAAGAATGCAGTGTGACTTTTTCATATTATGTAGTGTGCCCGGCCGGCCACGGCCGGGTGCTTGTCTCTGCATGGCTGCCATCCTGTTTGGGAACCAGCTTGACCTAAATTTGGCAGGTACAACTAAATCAAACGCCTTTTGGTCGCATCACCCTACACACAGTCCATCACCTTTTCATGCGCAGGGCAATGGTACTGGGTAGGGCTTGGGCTGGTGCGCGGGGCAGGGCGGTCGCAGTGGGCTTGGCCCGGGAAGACAACTGGGCGGAAAAAATACATAACGAGAGAGCTTGGAAGCTCAGGGCCCTACGCTATGCTTTTTTGCCTTGATGACCTAGACAAAAAAAGCATAGCGATGTTATAAATTCTTATAAATTTCTACTTTTTGTTTTTAGACATAACCTGGGATTCGAGCCCGCACTATCGCCCTGCATGCATCCCCGGACCCCCGATACACTTCGCATACATACTAATTCTTCCAAGTTACTTCACGTTATGATCTTGTATTTGAAAGCCCTATTTGCAGTGCTGCCAAACCGTCCGATTTTTGAAGGCTCTTCCGAAAACCGGTCCGAAAAGGGAAACGTCCGAAAAGGGAAACGTCCGAAAAGGGAAACGTCCGAAAAGCAGCCAAAAAGTCGGAGATCATTACTTTCCTTTGCAGAAGTCCTGTACTTTCACTTTTCAGCGCAACTGAACTTCTGAAGGCACAAATCACTGTACATTTAATATTTGCTTCTAAAAAGGCTAGCGCTTGGCTGTGGAAGTGCAAAGTAACATGCCTGGATCAGGCTGGATGGCATGTACGCTGACAGTGTGTCCAGAGTCAGTGTGCGACCACACTCATCATTACAAAATTCATGACAACTCCGGGGTTACCATGGCAACGAAGCGAATTTTCATGGTGTTTTAGGCGATATGCAGGCAGGCATAGTGGGATGGTCTAAGACCATGATTGAGAACACAGAGGGTACCAGGTTCAAGTCCTGCTTGGAAGCGGGAGGAATTTTTCCAGCCGTGCTGCGACCCACAGTTAATTGGGAACTCGTGGCCTGGCACGAGGGTAACATGGATGCAGCTAATGGGATTTCGGTCTTTGACCACTTGGTGGTGGGTCTGATCTACTCACCTCCCACCGACGTCCGTTTAGGCGCTGCATCTGCGCCTTGATCCTATAGCCAGGGTGGTGGCGTTCCCACGGCGGATGCGGAAAACTCGGCTTCCAGCCGAGTCTCACGCGAACCGTGAAATTTATTATTATTTTTATTAGGCGATATTTTGAATTCTCTGTAAAAAAATGCCGAGGAGAAAAATTCGCACCATGTGGCCGTGGCCCGCCTTGGCGGTGAAGGGTGTCCGATTTTGGGCGAAAATTATTTGGCAGCACTGTATTTGAATATGCATTGTGGCCAGCCGTCTTTGATTGAACGGTACGGTACGGCCGAGGGTATTAAATACGACACCATCTACCACCTTGATGACGGGAAAAAAAGAATAGGGATGTTATAAAATTTTCAATTTTCCTTTTTTTTCAGGCATTACCTGGGATTCGAACCCGCACTATCGCCCTACATGCATTCCCCACATACACTTCGCATTCATACTCATTCTTCCAAGTTGCTTCACGTTATGGTCTTGCGTTTGAAAGCCCTATTTGAATAGTGCGGCCAGCTGTATGTGGCCAGCTGTGTTTGATGGTACGGTACGGGACAGATACGGGATAGCGCCAGGCGTGACACAAACAAACACCAAATTAAAGCTGTGTGGACCCTGGCTAGCGCCAGACGTGACTGAAGTAACGTCTTCTGCATAGCTACGGGAATAACTTGCAAGTCGCATTGGGACAAGCACCTCGGCCATAATATGGAATGTCTCATTTTTATTTATTTATTGTATTTGTTTTTTTGGAAGGTACTACATGCACTCCTACTAGTAAGCAGCAGCTTTCAGCCTGCTCATGGTTGATTTAGTGTTAACTTCATCATATGTGCTCTCTGGCCAACCTCAACCACACCGGCAACACGGCTCCAAGTTGTAGATATTGATTGAGTTCGTCCGGAGAGCGCACATGGTGGAGTCTAAACTGCATTATTTGTATAATTATGGGATGACCCAGAGGCTTCTGACAGCTATGTGGATTACAGTTGTATGCAGGACATTGGAGTTGGTAATTCACAGTACCTGCATAATGTTCGTGAGGTAGAAGCTTCGGCTTTCTGCGAGAGGATTTGGCCGTATGTTACAGTCCAACGGAGTGAAGTATTTTGTTTGTGTGTGTGCGTGCATGCATGATCAATGCAAGTACTTCTACTCTGACTAACTGTGGGGCTTTCTGTTGTCTGTGTTTGTGTGTGTGTGTGTATAGCGTGCCGTTCCCAATGTCGTTGATGCTGTACAGGACGCCACTATCTTAGTGTTTGTCTTGCCACATCAGGTGAGTCTACTCTGGCCGGATTATGCCAATTCGAAAATGCGATCTAGCAGACTATACGTAGCATATAGCTGCGCAAGTCTTAACATAGCTGATGGTTTTGAGCTGCTTCAAAGTAGACGTGAGAGTGCACGTACATACCAGTATGAATTGCTGAGAATATCTGTAACTCGACACAATGTTGCGGACATTGAAGTCCTTTGAGAAGTCAAACGGCCACGGGGCGCTGACCGTTCAGCCGTGAGCACCGCTGGTCCATTTTTACAGTGTTACAGACAATGCGCGTGCGCGCTAATCAAGTAATGTGCCAGTCCCGGTCGTTCCACCGAATGTCTATGTCCACAACAATAGCTAGCAGTTAGTTTTCACAGTGGACTTGTGGCGCACAGTACTGTTGTGCAGGTGGTGTCCTGCCCGTATATGTGACCTGGTTGTGTGTGTGGGTGTAATTGTGTTTTGTGCTTGCTAGTTCGTGAAGAGAATCTGCAGTCAGATTGGCGGCAAGATTGCACCCGGCGCCATGGCCATTTCACTGATCAAGGTGAGCTTGCTTGCACTGCTTGTTGTTGTTGTTGTTTGTTTGTTTGTTTTTAATTCTTTATTCTCACGATGGCATCATCGCCAATAAGAGTTGTTGTTGCTGCTGTTGTTGTAAAGCGGTACGTGTAGTAGTAAGAGTGCCAGCACCACAGAATTCCATGACTGAGATGAAGTATTAGTTATGAGAATGATTTTAAGGCAGTAAACCAGGTCGCATGACTGGGAGACCCGCTACAAAAGTGAGCGAGAGTGTGCATGTTTTGAGAGTGTGTAAAGAGAAGACTGCATAGTGTTTGAGTGACTCCTTCCTCTCTGCTTCCTTCTTTTCATTCCTGTGCCAATGATCAGGGTGTTGACGAGGCTAAGGGTGGCCTTGAACTGACATCGACAGTGATCGAGCGGGAGCTGGGTCTCGATGTTGCCGTCCTCATGGGTGCCAACATTGCCAATGAGGTCGCCCGGGAGCAATTTTGCGAGACGACCATTGGTAGGTTGATCTCAAGGTCTGGCGCTGTGTCACTGTGTACTCATTCACATGCTGCAGCTGTCAGTTTGGTGTTAGCTGCTGCTGTAGACCTGCATGCCACCACCATCGGGGTTCCAAGGCCTAGATTCATGGAAATATCAATATGCTGCCAGTCAATACATGTAGATCTATTTTTTCGAGTACAGTGTGTAGTGTGCTGTATTAAGAGAGAGTGCTTTTCTTCTCTTTTTTTTTTTTTACCTCTGGTCATCCCAGAATGTATCCTAGTATGTGCTTGCACACATACTCAGTGATCTAGCCAAAGCCGGCTGGAGGGCGACCTGCCGGCTGAGACAGTTCCAAGGGTAATTTTGTCCAGCTGCAGTCACCCCCATGTAGACTGTAGTGCACTGCACTAGCACTTGAGTGGAGATGGTGGAGTACAACCCCCCATATCCTAGGCGTAGGTATGTACAGTACAGTACGTAGCACTGGCTACTCAGGCTCAGTGCTAGCTCTTCACTCAAGCTCAAATGCACTTGAGTATGCACTTGAGTATGTCAGTAAAATGTAATAGGTTGGGTCATGGTTCGCTGCTTCTGGTGGTGTACACTGCTGTGGCTAGGCTGGGTCTTGTCAGATGACCAATGTACACTGCATGCAGACATGACCTTGGTGAACACATGATCCATGCTCATGTAGCTGTTTGCTTCCTTTTTCATAATATTATTTTGTTAATTTACCTATAATCACATTGTCACATCTGCCTGATGAATGCCCATAATTGGACGAAGCGAAAGGAGATGAAAGCTGCAATGAAAGATTTGTAGTGGTGTGTGTGTCTGTGTGTCTGTGTGTCTGTGTGTCTGTGTGGATACGTGAGTGATGGCGGGGTCTGGGGGCGCAGCCCCCAGAACGATGCATTTTAACTAGAACGTTGGCCGGCTGGCATAAAATCCTGGCTAGACCTCTGATACTTGTTGGGTTTTCCCAGTTTTCACTGCCCGCTAGTATTACCCCTGGTGGTGTATGTGCCTGTGCATGTGTTTTCAAGGAATCAGCCATGTTCATCTGGAAATCCTGATTGTGTGCCGCTAGATTATCATTATTATTATTATTATGTCGAGCTATGGGCTATGTCTCTCTCTTTCTCTCTCTCTTTCTCTCTCTCTCTCCCTCTCTCCTATGTAGGCTGCCGGTCAGATGTGATGGGTCCCATTCTGAAGCGAGCCTTTGAGACTCCGTACTTCAGGGTGGCTCTCACGCATGATGTCTACACGGTCGAGCTCTGCGGTGCATTGAAGGTGAGTGTTTAGGATGGAGCAGTATAGATCATCACTGCTAGATGTACCCACCTTGATTGCATACATGTTCTTGTCGGGCCAGCTCCCTTCTGCTCCATGTCAACGAAGACTAAAATTTCAGTGTGGTATCTATGTTGTGCATGTACGAAATTGTATGCTGGGTTATTATTGCTCATGTGTAGAGGCAGAGAAATACATGTACGTGTACAGAGCATTGCCATGGGTTTGTGCTGGATGCTCCAGATTTATTTGCACTCCAAGATTCAGATTTACTGGTCTCAGGATGGCTTCTGTCGGGAGAGACGTCTCGCTTTAAAATACTATGGTCGTGCTTGAGGCAGTCCGATCTCATCTGTAACTTGATACCGGGTGCTGTGTATTTCTGTAGCTGTGCACATGCACATTGACGAGAGCAGGTAGCTGACTTGTCACTTCAGCTGTCGTGGTTGTGTTTGCTTTTCTTATTATGTATCATTGATGCTGTAGAATATCGTTGCCTGCGCAGCTGGATTCGCCGATGGATTGGGGTGAGTGTTGCGCAGTGACCTGTTACTTTAGCATTTGGTCTTTCTTTCTTTTTTCTTCTTTTTTCTGATTCTACTCTCCATGCTCCTCTGTCTCTATCTTAACGTGACTGTAATCATACTTTGTAGTCTAGTGGCAGTGGATTGAGATCTGCTCGTGACCATAACTTTCCTATGGGCTTGTTTTTGTCACAGTTTCGGAAGCAACACGAAAGCGGCCATCATCCGCATCGGCATGATGGAAATGATCGAGTTTGCACGCATGTTCTACGACGGCGTTCGCGACGTCACCTTCTTCCAGAGCTGCGGCGTGGCCGACCTCATCACCACCTGCTACGGTGGCAGGAATCGCAAAGTCAGTGAAGCCCTGGTCAGGACTGGCAAGGTGAGTGTAGAGAATGTGTGTGATACCGCCGTGTCTTTTCACTGTATGCTCTTGCTGCAGTACGAGTTTCTGACCGTTGTTTTTTTCTTGTGAAGATGAATACTACATTACAGTAGTTGCAGCACTGCTCTAACCTAGGTCAAGAGTATAGTGTTAGTACCCTCTTGCCTGCGTTGCCAAGTTGTGTCGGGGACAAATGAGGCTACATAGCTGAGCTCCATACTTACAACATGGTGCTGTTGTCAACTTTTGACGAAATTGAATTCGCTATTGTTGCCCAATGTTGGGAGTTTTATTCCAACTGAGCCAGATACAACAAAAGAGTACAGTAGCTGGGAATATCTCCACTCGTACCACAGGTGCAGTCAAGACGCTGGCAACCTTTTCACAGCGGCAGGCTAGGGCATTTTTTTGCGTCTGCTCCTGTTCAATGACTTCTCTTCTTTCTTGATCTTCATATGCTGTCCTGCTTCAGACCTTGGACGAGCTCGAGAAGGAAATGTTGGGTGGTCAGAAGCTGCAGGGACCACCTACTGCCCTCGAGGTGCACAAGTTGCTAGCCGAGAAGAATATTGTAGACAAGTAAGGATGGCTTGGATTGTGTTTTGGCCATTAGCTGCCCTTTGAAGGCATTTTGTGCTTGTTCATACTTGTAAGGGTGATTGTCAGCAGTCATGCGGTTGGTGCCTGTCATAATTATGGTTCCGCTGTGTTTCTTTTCAGCATAGGCATTGTGAGTAGCTTTCAGTTCATAATGCCATGTCAATTGATGTTACACATCTCATGACATGTACAATCTTCCTTTTGGCTTTGACTGCCTGTTGTTGTGACCTGCTTTCGTGTGTGCAAATACAAACACACCCATGCACACGCACACACACACACACACCATCTATCTATCTCTCAACTAGCTGTGTATATTTCTCCTTCTGGTGTGTTCACAACAGGTTCCCACTCTTCAGAAATGTCCACAGCATCTGCTACAACAATGCCCCGGGCAGCTCCGTTCTGGATGGCCTGTAAATACCTCCTAGATATTCATTACCGTTTATTGATTATGACCGCGATTACTTTTCTCATATCGATTATATTATAATACATGTATGACTGAGAATGGGGGGCATGTGGTATTGGCCTCCATGGTGTCAGGCTTTAGCTTAACCCCACCCCACCCCCTTGTCTTTATTTTGTTGTGTTTGTGGAATCTATTAGCACCTACCCATCAGTTTTTAGCTCATGAATACCACCTATTCTAGTTTTTGGTTTCGTCTTATATTTTTTTCACCCGGTTGCAACCTTCTGTTACAGATATTTGGAATCAGTTTTCCAGGCTCTGCGTGCCTATCCTGCAACACTCAAGCCGACTCTGAGCTCACGAGATCATTGTCAAAATTTTCTCTTCATTGTCCTAGGCATGAGCTTGATCTCTGACATTGTCATACCCTGTGCACTGTGCCGACAATCTACCTCACAGCAATTAGTAGGCAAGATTTTCGAAATTGAATTTAAACTCGACTCCCTCGTACGGTCGTCCGTGTGGCGGTTTTCTCTGTGCGTGCAAGTATGGCTTAGCAGTGTTGTTGTGGTCGTCATATCGGCGCTGCTGGCATCTGCTAGCAGTTGATTTGTCCCAATGCATGGTATTTGTTGATATTGTGTCAGTCGGTATCCGAGCCAGGTCATGCTGTGTGTCTGTGTCTGTCTACGTCTGTTTTGCTCGCACCAGGATTGGATCCAGGCTTTAGGTGACACCTGAGCAAGGAACAGCCAGCGCCACATCATGTCACTCGGTAGCAATGCTCTCTGGTGGACGTGACTTGCTCTCTGGGTGTCGACGCATACACCCTTGGGACTGCATAGCAGTTTGCATGGTGCCAACAACGCAGTCGTTTGTGCACGTTCTGCTACCATTATTTGCGCTACAATGGATACTGTTGTTGGTAAGAACATACATGTAGACCTGCATATTGTGCATCTAGGCTTCCTTTTTTAATTATTAGTCTCATCTTATGAGTTGCTAGCCTATAGATGTCTTTGTTCTATTTTGACAATTTTCATATTTTTATGAAATATTCTCCTATTTATTCTATCTATTAGTGGATTTCTGGCTACTGGAGCATGAGCTGGTCAAGTTCAAATTATTCACAATCACACCTCTGCGATACTGAATTGAGTACCATGACGGCTGTGTTGCTGTGCTAGCTTCACACAGTTGTCAATGCCATCTGCCATGTGCACGTGCCTATCACTGAGGCCAAGAGTACCTAACCCCCAGGGAATTATGTACTCTTGGTGAAATCACTGGTGAAACAATCCGTACTACTACACACTCGTTTGGACTTTGTGCACTGACGTTGCTTGTCGGCAAGAGTACATAGGAGGTTCGCATACTGAATACCAATTGACATAAAACCAAAAATGCAGTCACGCTCAATGAAATTATTTGGGCTCATGAATATGCCATGATCCCGGATCAGTGCTCGTACACCTGTACACCGGAGCTGCACAGAACCCCGAGAACGCAGTCAACATGTTTTCAACTCCTGCAACAGCCATGCAGGATTGTTAATGAGATGCCTTGAACTTATCTCACAGAGGAGACCAGACAACACTTGCGAGTAGAACTAGAGAGTGGTAAAGTGACTTTTTTCTTCTTCTTTTTTACGACTCCCTGGTTAATCTGAAATCATGAGCGAACACAAACACACACATACTTGCAAGCATGCATTGTTAGAGGGATTATATTATTGATCAATTTTCATAGCAAACTCAACACAAGAAAAGCTAAAAAGAGCAAATAGCCGGAAAGTCTACCAGCAGCAAGCATTGGCCCATCACGGGGTACCAGTAATATCTAAATGTGGAGGTTAGCCTTTAATATTAGGAGTAGATTGCAAATAAAATCTATTTAAATTTTTCGTGAATTATTGAATATTTCATGATCAAGACTTGGGTGGTACTGTCACAGTTCTACATCTCTCGACGATTTTGAGCAAGTCATCAAATATCATCTTCAACTGGAAAGGCGAAAAAGAATGAATTTGCCATTCTATTGATGTCATCATGCGGTACATGGAACTAGTATCGTCCTCTACCGCCACCACGACCACCCCAGTCACCACCACCGCCACGACTGCCTCCACCACCGCCGCGACTGCCTCCACCGCCACCAGACCAGCCACCCTGAACACGACCACCTCTGCCACCACTGCCTCCACCTTGGCCACCGCGATGCCCACCGCCACGATGTCCGCCTCCACCACCATTGGAATATCCGCCGCCGCCGCTTCCGTTGGAGCTAGCACCATTGCTGTATCCACCGCGGCCTCCACCTCCTCTGCCACCGCCACGACGCTGATCCTTTGGCTGCTGCCAAGACGGGATTTCTTTCTCAGGACGTGTTTCATTCGGTCTGCCACCGCGATCAGGAATGTTGTGATGAATGAGCACTTGCTTGATGGCTGCGCTGACCTGTGTCGAACCACTGGTAGTCTTCCGAATCTCCACAAGATTGTCTCGAGCAGCCAGAACATCAGAAGTGTTCACGCTGGGTGTGCTGCTCAGTAACTGCCGTGGCTCACGGAACATCCGGGCGATATCATCGTCCCTGTTCTTTGCCTTTTCTGACCACCGAAACGACTGAATGGTAACATCAAGCCGCTTCAACAGCATCTGGCGACGTAAACTGTACTCGGCTTCCAACTCCTGGTTTATCTCCTCGAGCTTCTTCCATTCCGCACTGGCAAGGCAGTCTGTCAAGAGAGGCTTCCCCAACACTCCTGGCACGTGAGTGATGCCTTCTTTCACCTTTGCCTCCAGCTTCTGGAAGATCTGTGATGAAGGGACATGAGATGGTGGGTGGCTCAGCTTGAACGTGCTCAGAATTGTTTTCAAACTATCGTCAACAATCTCAGCTGGGGTTTGATTTTTCACTTGAAGGTGGCGCACTCTCTCCACAATATCATCTTGCCTGTCGCTTTTTGCTGCCAGCACGATGGAGGTCTGTGTTTCTGAAAGCAAATAGTCCAAGAGAAGCCAGCGATTCGGTTCACTGTCCAGGCTGGCACCACTACCTCTGGTCAGGACTGCGTGCGGACAATCAAGCTCACGAAGTAGGCCAGAAACCTCCACCTTGAACGCAGCTGCATCTGGTGCACTGCTGGAACACGCAGTAACGCTCTCAACAATTTCCGGAGTGAACAGCCTCAATTTGGCCACAAGCCATGCAACTAGGTTGATAAAATCTCCGCAGTCGGTGCCATCACGAACTGCTTCGGTGAGCTTAGCCGCTTCTAGCAATGGGCCATCATGCTGCAGATGCTCTAGGCGCTCCACCGCCGCGCTGCAAGACGACATGTCGCCAAACAAAGCTAAGTCACTCGCCACTTGCACTGCTCACAGTCTGTTTCAAGAAAGAAGGTCAAAATATAGGAGAAAGGATTTCTTTATTTTTTGAAAGCACTGCAAACTTTTAAAAAATATTCCTTTTGAAGTTAGTTTTGTTCGATCATGTCACGTCATGACATCAGAGTTCATCGATGTGACTGTACAGTGACGTCAATACGGTATTACGTCATGTACACTGTATTTTGATCTTGTTGTTTGTTTTACATCTGTACATCATGCATAAGTAGGTCTACAGTCATGATGAGGCGCTGTTCACACAAGGCATTACGTCATGTTTTGGGCCTTGAAAAACCCCGGGAAAGCGTTTTGGGTGGCAGAGACCTGGCGCATGGCGTTGGCATTTATCCACGAGGTGAAATATGAAAGTAGGAAGCGGTATTTTGGTCTTTCGCCCGGTCTTTTCTTTCTTGTTGGCTGTTGCCTATGGACGCTCTGGACCATGTCTGCCCAATCGTCAGCTGAGGACCGCCTGAAGAAGTCCAGTTCGTTATGGGAATCGACTTTGCGCAAGAAAAACTCTTCGTCATGGAAAGTGGGGGAAATGAGGCTGTACCTGCAGCTGAAAGGCGAAGACGACTCTGGAAAGAAAGCTGACCTGCAAAAGAGGTGAGACACACAAAACACCTTGTCCTCTGTGTAAGGATGCAATAAAAAATTGATATTACTCCTGAAATTGCTGTGGGAATAGTTTCCAAATAATAATAAAATGCGCAATAATATTATTATCATTCGCTGTACACACGTTTTTGTATTTGTGCAGAGTGTCGGCACTGCTGCTGTCTGGGACTGTGACTGGGGAGCTTGAGGATGACACCGCTGGAGCCTCGTCATCTGATGTCCGTTTTCCTGACAGAGGATGGAAGAAGCTGGTGGATGTGACGCAGGAGGAGCTGAAGATGAAGTTCTCAATCTTCTCCCTCATGGACCACTTCATGTGCAGGAAGTCGTCTGATGGTCTGGATGCTGACGACATGAGAGCTGTGTCCTCCCATAGCTTTGGACTCTACAGCAAGAAGTACTGCCGAGATGGAGAGGTGTGCCTGGAGAATGGGACGGTGTATTTCCGTGGGTTTTGCAAGGCAGAGATGAAGACGTCGATGCGGTATAAAATAGCAATGGCAATGACACGCAAGCCCTCTGTACGGATCATCTATGCGTCTTGTGAGTGCCGAGCTGGCATTGGCCCATCAGCCAGCTGCAAGCACATCGGGGCCATGTGCTATGGACTAGAGGAATTCTGCCGACGAGGGATATTCACTGGGATGACCTGCTCAACCAGTGACCTACAGGCTTGGAGCGCACCACCAGGCAAAAGGCGAGTTTCTGACATGGAGTTCGCTAAGCCTGTGTTCAACCATACCCCGAAGTCAACCTCCAGTCGTGCGTCCTTCGATCCACGTGCTGCCACCGCTCCAAAAGACTCTGCACCAGAAGAGCGACAGAGACTCTTTGACTTGTTGAGCTCTTGCTCCCAACCAGCCAATATCCTGGACACTCTGCGGCCATGCTCTACCTCTCCTGCTCAGACAACCACCTGCTCCACTGGATCAACCAACTGCCGGTCAGTGCCGGAGCTAGTGCAGCTGATGAAGGAGTCCAGGACGTACCGCAGCACATTCCGACCTGATGGCAGTGTTGTCGTGGCATGGTGTGATATGTTCATGCGTCATATGCAAGTGTCCAGGCAGCAACGCCATGCACTGGAGTATCGAACTCGTGGGCAGGCTAGTAACCGGCAGTGGAAAATGCAAAGGTATGTCTGAGGATAGTGTACTGCATTCAGTCCAGGAAAGTCTGCAGGCACATAACACTATCCAAAACATGACGAGTGTATACTGTTTTCATGCTTTTGTTGACGACTTTGTTTAGGCCATGACTTTACAACACTTTCAAGTATGTTCAAATTCACCCAACACTGCAGATTGGTTGGTTCATGTGTATGTCCCTCTGGTGTGTTCATTTCGTGCCCTATGCAACAGGTACGGGCGACTCACAGCATCCAACTTCGGCGTGATTGTGAAGTGCAAATCAGCACATCCATCGTTGGTGAAACGCCTTCTATCCCAGTCAGTTATCAACAGTCCGGCCTTGTCGTGGGGCAGAGAGCATGAAGATGAAGCCGTCCGCATCTACTCGGAGAAGCAGCACATGTCTGGCATGAATGGCCTGTGTGTCTCACGGCGTGGTCTTGTTGTCATGCAGTGTGGGTACGTTGCTGCCAGCCCAGATGGAATCGTATTCGTCCCGACCCAGCCGCTGACATCGCAAATGGGTTTACTTGAGGTCAAATGCCCATATTCCCATCGTCACCACTCTCCCCAAGATGCATGCATGGAGTCTGGCTCCAACCCATTCTACTGCACATGGTCAGATGGAGGTTTATGCCTACGGCGACAACATGACTATTTCTATCAAGTGCAAGGTGGCATGGCAGTTGCTGAAGTGCAGTGGTGCGACTTTGTCGTGTGGACGCCAATGGGCATCGCTATACAGCGAATCCCATTCGACGCGGCGTTCTGGAAGGAGCAGATGGAGCCGAAATTGACCGGCTTCTACCGTGGTTGGCTGCTTCCGCAACTTCTTCACCCACAAGAAGAGCCCGTCTGCTACACGGATGTTGCCCCTGCCGACCTCACTCAGCTCAATGTGCCGCCGCCAGTGTCGTGTGCTCTACAAGATGCCGCCACCTCTCCAACGCAAGAGAAGGATAGCCCGCCACGACAGGTGTGCGCTGCAGAAGAAGCTGCCAAGTCTCCAACGCAAGGAAATGTGGACCGGCAGCAACGTATGTCAACCGCCACAGGAGTCTCATCCTGCTGCCAAGGTTGTTCATTTGATCGAGCATTGGCATTGCATCCGTGCAAAGTCTGTGCCCATCAGTTCCATCATATGTGCACGAATGATGACATGGGCAAAGTTTGCAGTTGCTGCTTGAGAGCTCATGGTGACGTCAGTCTTTGACGTGTTCATTGGCTGCCACCATTGCTACATGTATTTCCCCACCCTATGGACGGTGGAGCTGTGGCAATGCATCCACATGAACGGCTACGCATGCATACGGTGTACATACTTATATTGTCAGTGTACATAATGTCTAGTGTTTTATTGCCAGTGTACAGAACATGAAAGTGGATACAGCCCCACGTCACACCATTTTTTTTACAACCATACGTGAACATAGCCCACTTTATTGCCGTACATGACAGCCACACACATGCTTGTGATTTGTGTGGTTGCTTCCATGATCCATTGAGTTACTTTCATAGAACGCACTTTTGTCACTTCATGCTGAAAAGAAAAGAGGAGAAATACAGGCAGTGATATTGCTATGGTGGTGACAGCAGTCACGTGTGGAAAATAGCAACGGATGCATGGTGGGGGGTTGGGGGGGGGGGGGAAGAGGCTCACAGAACCAAACACTGGGACAGGCCATCATGAACCTGTCAGTAACTGAACGCATTGAGCAGTAACGGTGCAGCAAGAAATGGAAGGAAGCTATGTAATGAGCTGCGCACCAAAATCGGCAACCACACAGCAAACCAGAAATATGGCATCAGCAATGTCAAAGTGAGCGGATAGAATAAAATCCAGGATGTGAAAGTTCTTTATTCGTTCGATAGCACGTTCTACATGAACGCGTAGCGAGGCAACGCGGCGGGTCTGCACCAACTCCTTTTCGGTCAGCTGTTGGCCATTCTTGATGAACGGTGGTATGTTGACATAGGCACCCCGTTCTGAGGTAACAAGAAACAAGAAGCACAGTTTATAAGCTTCCAAGCAAAACTTGCTTACACCACCATTTCCAGCATTGACTGCACAACACATCTACTGTGAGGAGGAGTTTACAGCACTGATCGCAACCATAAAGTATTGTTCACCAAAAGGAAACAAAACAGGGGACATACCTTCACAGAGTTCCTTGATTGTGAATCCTTTGTCCGCCATGACTGAGTCACCTTTGTCCAGCAAATCCAGCACTCCACACGTCTTGGTGATTTCACGGTCAGAAACTGACCCACCATACAGGGAAGAGATGAACGAGATAGCTCCACTGGGTGTGATGCAAACTAGAGCTTTGAATGTGTTTCTATTCTTGTACGTTGACCAGGTGACTCTCTGAGTGTCGGGGTCGGAGGGAATCTGGATGGGGAACTCGGTGCAATCGATTATAGTGCGTGTGGTGGGGTATAGGTCGCGGAACTTCTGGGGCATAGCGGCATCGATCTACAGGTTAGTAGATAGAACATGAGCACATAGCACACACACACACACACACACACACACACACCAATGGGACTCAATTCTCGAAAGACCAGATCAAGCACAGACACTGATGCGATCGTATGTAAGATATACGTTAGGAAAAAAGTAAACCAGCCCTATTGCAATCCAAAAGGCTGGACTCACTAACGACCAGTAATGGGTTAGGCTTCAGCTGTTGAGCCACGGGCATATCATCAACAGACATAAATCATTCTGGCATGACAACTAACCTGCGCTCTAGACGGCCAGGCGGGTAGCTGTGCGGACTTGAAGGCGTGGTACATGACCATAAGGTACGAGGTGAAGATGCGGCTCACAGTACCTGCACTGATTGAAAACCTCTGAGCCAGGTCTTCGTTAGGACAATCCAGCCGCAACTTCATGAACGTAAGGAGCAGGCTGTTTTCATCGTCCAAGGCCCTCACACACTGACGTTGCCGTTCACCTATGCAGTGGGCACAGTACATTGAACCGAGACATGTATGACATAGCCCACGAAAAGAAGTTTGATTTGCCAGGAGGATGGAGACTCACAGCACTGAGTATGGAAATTATGGTACCGACACAAGTAGGTTCCGTACTACTGAAGTCATTCCACCTAACAACATTGCAAAGCACAGTATTTACATCATCAAAATCTAGCACAGAGCAGATAACATCCTCACCTGTTCTTGCTCCATTCCATAAGGTCATCCCCTTGCAGTGGGGCTCCAGGAAAGCCACCAATGCCTGAAATTGCTCATAGCTGGGGATACCAGTATAGAACTTGGTGAGGCTGTCACTGTTGCAAATCCTGGCGACAGAAAACTCTGGTGCTGGTACTGTGGCAGTTTCCTCCAACTTGACTCGCAGTGCCTCATTCTCCTGTGTCAACTTCTGCACCTCCATCCGCAACCGTGTGTTCTCCTCCAAACATTCCTGGATCTGAGTTCGCACTTCACTGATCTGCTCATCAACGCTGGGCAGGGATGGTGATGGCTGCTCCTCACAAGTGCTTTCACATGTTTCAGGCTTCGCTGCTGACGGTTGGGGCGTTTTGTCCTGATGTGTCTTCAGAGCCACGCGTTCTTTTGGCGTTTTCCTCGTCTTCTCTGCTGCTGACCATGCGAACAGCGTTGGGATAGGATGCTCCTTGGAGCGCTTTCCGCCAACAAAATGAGCGCCGCAGACCCTTGTCGAGCTGCCCACAACCACACTCGATGTCCGCATGTTGTGGAGCCACTTTTTGAGTGTAGGCTTCTTTCCCAGAGGAAGACGGTGAAAAGAAAGCTTTGTTCCATCTTTCCGCTTGCCACCCCGATTAGAGCAGCCAAAGACGCAGCAAGTCTTCGTCATCGTGTCTAAACGACTACAACCACTTCCTCCACAGTCGACAGATAACCTGAACCTAACTAAACCAAAATGTAAGTTTGTTCTTTCTTCAAACAACGAAGCCCAAAAGTTTTTGCCACCCAATCTGAGCTTCCCGCGCGATGACGTAAACCAATGATGTCACTTGCCCTTGTGTGTACAACGCCTTGCAAGGCGGAGGATCTAGGAAGCACTTACTAGTACTTAGCACTGCCACGGACCTAGCTCGGTGTTCGGAAACAGTGCCCCTTACTTTACTAGTACCGGTACTAGCAAGAGTTATGAACTCTTGGTACTAGGCTTACAAGGCCTTACTCCGATTTTGCTGCTCTCTGCAGTCACAGTGCTCTGCAGTCTTCACTGGTAATAATATCATGTATCTAATATTGACTGAGTACGAGGTTGATTGATTGATTTTTATTTAAGGATTGTCCGTGAGGTCAATAATTCATTCGCAGTATAGGAAATAAAAGCCGAGTAAAAGACCGAGGCGAAGCCGAGGTCTTTCACGAGGTTTTTATTTCCTATACTGACCAAGTACAAAGTCAAAAAGGACCAAAGAACTACAAGTTACACTATTATGTCCACTAACACCACCAGTTACTAAACAATCAGCTCATGCTAGTGTAACTTGTAGTTCCTTGGTCCTTTTTACTTTCAAATAATCCTTGGCTCTCCATCCGAGTTCATTCAAGTATGAAGTCAATATTATACTTATCACGACTAGCCAAAGCCTGTCACGGTTCAATCTCTAAAAAGGAGTCAAATATAAGTACATAGCCCTCTAAGGAGTGAAATATGCATGAATATTTGACTGCTTAGGTATAGCAAAAATCTATAGGAGTGATAAACTATAATAATTATAGTAATGTCTTGGTCAAGTTGGTGTGACGATAAGCGACCCCCCCCCCCCAAAAAAAAGAAGCCATAGGACCGGGGTGAAGCCGCTTGGATATGGCTGAACTCAGGCCATTCCCGCGGCATGAAGCTACCACCAGGGGCGTCGGAGCAAGGGAAAACGGGCGACCATGCACTATAAGGGTACTGAGGGCTGTAGTATCCAGTACGGCCCGTTCAGCCGGTCCAGACCTTAAGTTGACTCGCCGCCCAATTAGGGCAGGTTTTTTGTAAGAATATTCACTTCATGTTAAGTAGGCACTAGATTGGCCAGACCACCCTGCTGGAAACCTAGGGCTACAGTCTTGAATAGCAGTAAATTGTAGGAATCAAGCTGAGTGGCATGTGTGTTGGAGACTGAGTAAAGTGCAAATGGCTGCATGCATACATGGAGTGCACGGGCAAATAATTAATTCCTTGTAGAAAAATAATTTCTGATCAATCAAGTAAGCAACCTAGCGTAAATAGAGCAAAACGGGAATCACAAAAAAAAACTATAATTCTCTTGAAAGCTCTTCCTAGATGCAGAAGTGCAGCTCACACCGTTGAACTTGACCTACCAGTTCAAGCGGCAGCTGCACAGTCAGCGAGTCCGGAAAGGTAGTCCGCAGGTCGCTGCAAACTTGAACCACTTAATTTTTTTCTCTGGACACGCTGTCAAACACATACCAGTTGTCCGCAGGTACTAGCGTAGGAAGGTATATGGCATTGTGACTCTGTGCTGTAAGGCGCCGCTTGACGGTGAAATCGCGCGCCAGCACGGCCATGAAGACGGCAAGCAGCTGGACGGCGTACATCCGACCGGGACACTTGTGCTGGCCGGCGCCAAACACGAGCGTGCTGTTGAACTGTCCATCCTTGGCGCCGCCGCCGTCATCCGGATTGAACACTCCCGCGTAGGGCTCGTGTTCGGCCGCGATGCTGATCGACGGTATGACCATGCTCCCGGCCGGTACCTTAAGCTTTCCGTCTAGCACGACCTCGTGTTTGGTGAGATGCGGCACCATGGGTACGGGCGGGCGTGCTCGAAGGCACTCCAGAGCACACGTGTGTATGTAGGTGCCTGGGGCAACCACCTCGCACATGGGTGGCCTCTCCGACGCCGGTAGAAAGGCACCTACCGCCTGACGCATGTTCTCCAGCACCCGCTCGCCCTGCTGGTCCTTGGTCAGCAGATGCAATGCCCAGACCACTGCGGACGTTGTCGCATCTTGGCTGGCGAAGAAGAAGTCGAGAACCGTGGACGCCATGTCGGGATTGCTTACGGCGTCTTCTTCTCCATCAGTGCGTCTAGATACAACCTCTTTGGCCCAGAAGTCCATGACACACTGTGCCGGCATGGCATCGTTCTCCATGATCTGCTTTGACTCAGCGGCTATCGGTGTGAGCAGAGTTCTAATTGTTTCTCTTGCACGGATCGCCTTCCACAGGCCAGATCCCGGAAAAGCGATGGGAAACGACAGGAATCCAAGTGTGAACGTTAGAATGTCCTCCGTTATTTGCTTCTTCTGGTCCGGTGTCAGGTAGGGACCGACGAAACTCTCCTGACTGGCCTCAGCGTTCATGAGCCTCAGCATAAGCCGAGCGTCTACTTCTCCCTTGCCGACCAGCTTCTGCAAGTGACTGTGGCATGCTTTCTCCTGACATTCCAGATAGCAGGCCAGTGCAGCTTTGCTGTACACGCCGGGCATGAGGAGATTGCGGAAGCGCTTGTGCTCATCTTGCTCCATGTAGATTAGGTTTTCGGCCCCGAAGAGAAAGCGGGCGTTCGGGTGTGCGAACAGCACGTAGTCCTGCAGGTTGCCGAAGACGTGATTGCACAGGCTGCCGTCCGTCACGAACACCATGAACCTGCCCAGCATGGCGTTGACGCTGAAGCCATTACGGCTGTACTCCGCCTGTTGTGTCCAGAACTCCACCGGGCGCAACACCATGGTCACGAGGGCACCAATGCCAAACGGTGTTGTCCACCCAGGTCCGGGCAGATTGCCCCGCATCCGACGGTACCGCACCACCTCCGCTGCCCAATACAGTGCCAAGCACGACGTGATGGCGACGAGCACGTACGTCAGCGACGCGCTCGTCCAGCACATAGCCAAGAGCAGTGCCAGAGGCACCGCTGCTGCGGCGGAAAACGTAAGGACTGCTGCCATTACGAGACAGTAGCAACAGCTAAATCAACAGCTCCCAGTCCGATGTACGTCAGGCAGCTAGCTAGCTAGGAGAGCGGAAAGTATTAATTTGTCAGTCCGCTCGAGGACTACTGCTACATGCAGCTAGTACCGTTCCAAGAGTTCGTACTCTTGCTAGTAGTAGATCTATCGACAGAGAGAGACAGAGATAGATCAAGAGGTGTACAGCGTACTCTGACTTTGTCCTACAAAAGTGTTTCCCGACGTCAACAACGAAGACGCGCACGCATATCGACTTTCGTCGACTCGTCGTCTTCATGATCTTCGAACATGCATGATGCACACACGTTCACGTATAGCAACATACCACAAAAAAATAAAATGTAGCACGTGCAAATGCACGTACATGTACGTAGACTCGTATATTATGATCGTAGAGTCTACAGCCGGCCGGCCGGCCGCGCTAGCGCTAGCGCATAATACATAATATTAAAAATTGCGCGCTTCAAAGTCATGCACGTGGCACGTGCTGCACATCACGTGAAGGAAATCGCTTCCACAAAAATGGCGTGGAACGGAAATGATTTTCCGGAACGCGAAAAATGAATGAGATAAACGAAAAATCAATGAAAAAAGTGCTGTGCTTTTATTCTTTCCATTCGCGATGTCTTTGAGCTCAGAAAGCGGCACGCTTTCTTTCTCCCTCCCTCCCATTCACTCGAATGAGAAGGGATGGGGTCCATGCGAGAAGCCAATAGGCTTCCGAGTTCCTTACCAGCAATACAGCAAATCCGATAAGCTGGGTAAAGTATCGGACTGGACTGGAAACACCTACCAGGAACGTAGGTATATGAATCGTTATAACTCGCAGTTTGGTGCTGGAGCTACTCTGTTCCAATACCACCACGAGGAAGATGAATCTTCGTTCCAGCTGGTAGACACAACCCGTGTTCAGCGCCCTGGATACTTGCGAAACAGAGCTCGTTTCCAGCGCACCAACAATGCTCGCCGGGATCGCGAGCGCCGCGAGGAAAGGAAGATGGAGACGTTGTCGAAGGTGCAGAAGGGTCGTGACCGTGACCGTATGAGGCTGCAGCGTAAATGGCAGAAGCAGTGGTACGGAAGGCGTTGGAATGATCAGCCAAAGACACAGTTGAAGCAACGGCAGGCCAGTGTAGAGATCCATCCTGAATGGAGGTGTGTACACGAGATCGAGTTCTCACAGCTGTCAAAGCTTCACTTTGAAGTGGATGCACCAGAGGACCTCAAGCTGTGCGGTTCTCTGGAGTACTACGATAAGTCGTATGACAGAGTCACAACCAAGCATCAGCGTCCCCTCCAGGGTGTGACGAGGGTGTTCCACAAGGTCACATCAACTGACGACCCCGTTATCCGAAAGCTAAGCAGCGAAGGCAATGTGTTTGCCACTGACGCCATTCTGGCATGCCTGATGAGCTGCTCTCGCTCCGTGTACAGTTGGGACATTATCGCTCAGCGTGTTGGTAGCAAGCTGTTCTTGGACAAGCGCGACAGTTCACAGTTTGACCTTCTCACCGTGTCGGAGACCGCCACCGAGCCACCACAGGACGAAGGCTCCAGTATCAATGCACCCGCTAACTTGGCACTCGAGGCCACGTTCATCAATCAGAACTTCTCTCAGCAGGTCTTGAAGCGTGGCGGTGAGCGTCACCAGTTCGACGAGCCCAACCCGTTCGTGACAGAAGACGACGAAGGCGAAGTGGCATCCGTCGGCTACCGTTACCGAAAGTGGAAGCTCGGAGACGACATCACACTCGTCGCTCGTTGCGAGCACGATGCTGTGTCCACAACGAAACCCGGCGGTGAGTTACAGTACATGAGCATCAAGACACTCAATGAATGGGATCCGAAGATATCCGGTGTTGACTGGCGCCAGAAGCTGGACAACCAGCGCGGTGCCGTGCTAGCAACTGAGCTGAAGAACAACTCATGTAAGCTTGCTAAGTGGACGCTGTCTGCATTGCTCGCCGGCTCGGACATCATCAAGTTTGGCTATGCGTCGCGTGTCAGCCCGCGTGATTCCTCCAAGCACGCCATCCTTGGCACACAGCAGTTCAACCCGAATGAATTCGCCGCCCAGATCACGCTGGATATGTCCAACTGCTGGGGCGTGTTGCGCGTCATCATTGATGCGCTGATGGGCCTGCAGGGTGGCAAGGTGAGCACACATGTGTGTGTGTGTGTTGGGGTGGGGATTTCGAATCGAGAGTTTGCTGGTTCGATTCCTGACGATTATGGTCACACGCATCTTTCTTCTCTTTCTCAGTCTCCTCCTGACTTTTCTTTTATGCTCCTGAGTGGTTACCAACAACCAGTGCATGCCGGAGTATGTGGTGTTGTGCGGGAAAAAGAAAAGACCCCCCCCCCCCCCGCCGCCATTGTAGGGTTCACTGGCCAGAGAAACCCACATTCCAAAAGCTGTGCGGTGTAGACCAGGCTGAATCGTGGCGGTCAATTCTTCAGCCTTGCTAGCTGTTGAGTGGTGCAATTCCAGAACAAGTTGCTATGGCTTCTGCTGTAGCATCATCTCCTTTGGCGATGGGCGTCAAAGTTGTGGGTGTGGGTACGTATGAGCAATGGCCCATGGGTTAGAATCAGGAATTATTGTTATCATATTCTCGTATCTGTCCTGAATGGGACTCACGACGGCAGAATTGACTGTGAGCATGTGTGTGTGAGAGTGGGAAAACGAAATGAAAAAGAGTCTTGTAATAAGGTCGAATTTAAGAAGAACAGTACTAGACTAAATGGCTGAGCAGATGTTACTCCATTGTTCGCGGGCATAACTGCCCAGATCTCGAAGGCAGCTGCTTAAAAATTAGGCTATTGCGCTAAAAAAATTGGGCTATTCCTATCAGGAATAGGGAGTTGGAATTGGGGCAACTCTTCACTTTGCTTCATACTTGAAGTGTCGAAAGTACCCACCACTATATGTGTGCTGAATGGAGTGACTATGAGTTCTCCAAAGAGCCCATCTCTCTTGCCTCTTTCTCTCCCCCTAATAAGAGTAGTCATTGTGACATTTTAAATTTTTCATGGGATGTGAGATGAGTTTGCCAGTGATCCTTTCCATTACTTGAGGGGCATCCGAAATTTTTCACCATTGACCGCAGCCATAGTAACAGTAGCCTTTGCTAGACCCCTCCGCCCCTGAAAGTGAACACGCTGTGTATTATGCACTTGACCATGCGTACAGACGAGACTCTGTATGCAAGACTTTCAATAACAGTAACGTTACTAATGGCCAAACTGCCACCATACGCTTTTTTTTAATACATGCCCATTGTGGATGGCACATTTTACTGGTAGGCCATTACTAACAAGAATGGTTTTCATTTCAATGGGGTCGATCGTTCATAGCTGATGCGGCTCATCACAATCACCATTGGGCAGCCTGTTGACTGTCATCATCCCCCACTCGCTTTGGCCGTATCCGTGTCATTATTGTATACTAGTAGATTGTTGTGATTATATGTAGGTGTGTCGATCATGGTTCCAGACTGGCTGTGTCAATCCCTCATCGATTGTGCTCTTTTTCTCTCTTTTTTTGCTCTTTTAGTATCTGATTGTCAAGGATCCTAACAAGCCCGTGATGAGAATCTACAGTATTCCCCAGAATACGTTTGAGAGCGACGGAGATGAGGATGACGACAGTGAAGAGGAGGAAGATGAGGAAGAAGAAGAAGAGGCTGCGTAAGCTCTCTCCTGCAGTTGCCTTTCTGAGCAAAGACAAAGACACATCAAGAACACCATACCTTTTGTGCCGACTGGTGTGTTAAGCGAATGCATGCATGCGTGGCTATGGAGATATGGGTGTTTGGCTATATGGAGATATGGGAGACATGGTGATAAAGAGTGTGCAACTGCCTGCACAGTGCACAACCTCTATGCTGTGCTGCGACGGCAGAACTTCACATCACGTGACATGGTTCGAAAGGTTACGCTGGCAAACAGTGCAAAGTGACCACAAGAGAGTTGATGGGGGTTATGTACTCTTGCTGAAACCCATAGCAGATCAATACTGATGCTGGCACACAACGGCCCCACTCATTCTCCAGTCTGTGGCTACAGTGCCATGATGTGGGCTGCACGAGCACAGACACTGAAAACTCTAGAGGGCACTATTTATGAACTCCACAAACCCTTCTGGAATCCTGAAACCTGGCGGAAATGGATTCCTTGTTGTCGGTGTAACCTCGAAAACGGTTCCAGGCTACAGTCTTCTGTATACACATGATGCAGGAAATGTGTGGAACCGTTTTCGCGGTGAGGCCCCAGCCCCATCCGCGAACACGGTTCTAAGATTAAGAGGGCTATACATGCAGGAAATATGTGGCAGTCACCGTTTTTGCGGTGAGGCTGGACCCGTTTTCAGGGGTTACCGGAGTATCCCTGGAACCGTTTTCGCGGTCACACTAGCAGTCTTTGCCACAAGTGGTGAGATGAGTCGGTGTGCCACAGTCCTTTACAACCTGCCAAGTCAAACAATTTGTACAGCGCCACCATCGCCCGCATCTGCAGCAAGCTCAGCTTCGCTTTGTTGCGCCGCAGCGTGATGTGCTTGAGAGGAGCAAGGAGTGTGTTCGGCGACATCACGACCGATGCCGTGCCTGCCTGCCTCCGCATATCTAGCTGTTGCTGTGGCCAGCATGGGCGTGACCAGGGAGTAGTACAATATTATACTACTCCCTGACTGCGAGGAATATCGAGAGTGATACCCTCACTTCATACTTCTTTGAAGTACTTGTATTTGCTCTGTGCTCATTGCTTTCACTTGGTCTATTTCATAATGTACGACATCATACCAACAGTACCGTACTGGCAATATATGTTGCCGCAGTGAGGCCATGAAGCGTTACATTGGCACATGTTTGCCGCACGCAGGGCGTTACATGCAAAGTCGCACAGGAGCCGTTACACAGGTTTCTATATTGCCGCAGTCCTTTTTTTGCTATTGCAGGACTTCCTGCTGCGTCCAGTTTTGAACTTTTCACCACGCGGTACACGTGCTTTCACAGTTTTCAGCCTTTTTTGCAATGAAAAGATCGCCGCACCCCGCCGGACGCGCGTTACGAACTCAACGAAAATTTGTCGCACTAGCCTGGTCGAGCGTTACGCCGCACCCCCCTGCGTTACGCGTTACGCGGCAACATATATTGCCAGTACGGTATATAAGGGGGTTTCATAGTCTTGATTATGCTCGTATCAAGAAAAGGAAAGAAAAAAAGAAAGAAAAAGAGTGAATCATGTACAGGGGGAAACAGATGGATGTTCTGTGGTGCGGTCAAATTTGAAGGGGGGGGGGGGGGGGTAAAGCCTGAATGGTGCAGCGCCGCACTGTCAGTGTTGTCACTTATAATATATAGCCCTGCAAACAGATCTAGTTAAAAAATTCAATGGCAGGGCGTGTGTCTGCAGAATGAATCTGCATTTGATAATATGCTCTAAGTCTAAAGGGAAGGCAACACTTTTGAAGGAGAGGGTGTGACTGCACCACTACATGTGACTTCGACTAAAAACATGGGCAATGTGAATGGTCTTCGGACGTGTATTCATTGATTCATCCGTTGATGCAGATGCAAACACACAGTTAATACTTCAAAGGAGTAATAAAGAAAATGACGGTATCTCTGGAAACGCTAGTCTACTGTCGGCTGCCAAAGTGTGCCAATTCCAGCCCATGCTATACAGGGTTGGAATGACTTTGCGATGAGGTCAAAATCCGTTTGGAATTAAAAATAAATAAATAACAACTCCTAGGTCAAATAGTATCTACATGGATAGAGGTGGGTAGAAACCGATGCGGATGAGGCCAGATCAGGCTGTCCACGAAGTGAGTGACCATGTCGCCTTTGCCTTTGACGAACACCGTGCCAGGTCGCTCTGTAAAAGCAATACAAGATTGCAGTCTCTCAACACAGTCATCCGGAACCTGGAAGTGAAGACAGAGATACACAAACACCAACACCCACACAGATGCACACACGGACACACACACACACACACATGCACGTACACACACATCGAAAATGAGAACCAAGGGAAATGGAGCTGCCACAACAAATGATCCAGAATCAATGGTTCCACGACCCCATTTTTTCCATACTCCAAAATTGTCTTGCAAAATTGTCTTGCCACACAAAATGCAACGTACGGAGGATTCGCCCCCGTACCCTCGACTTCACTCCCGACAATCATGTCTATGATCAGTGACTGCATGCGTTTTCGTAATATGGCCTGGAAAAAGACACAAATCGGAAAATGAGTCGGGGGCGGCACGAAATGAAAAGAGAGAAACCCAGTGTGTACTCCACACTCACCTGTATTTTTCCGGGTAGGCCAGTGGAATCCATGCGCGATGCAACATTCACTGTGTTACCCCAGATGTCGAAGAGCAATTTAGTTGAACCAACAACTCCGGCTGTAACTGGTCCACAGTTAAAGCCGATACGAAGAACAAACTCATAACCAACCATATTCTCATTGAAGTCGCGGACTGTCCGCTGCATCTCAAGCGCAAACTCCAGCAGAGCCTTGAGGTGTTGATTTCGGTCAAACTGGTACGGAGGCCGAGTTGCAGTATTCAGGCCCGAGGCTGCCATGTACGTAGCGCCGATTGTCTTGATCTTGGTCACCGTTGCAAACTCCGGCTTGCACAGCAGATCATCAAAGTCACTGATCAGTTCATTCAGGACGCGAATGCAGCCGATGCCGCCCTCAAAGTGTTCTGAGTAGAAGTCGCTAAAGTTGCAAATGGTTGCAAATATCACACCCACCATCTCGTGATTCTCAGAGTAACTTGATGACACCTACCAAGACACGACAGAAGAAGAATGTCGGAAAGGCAATTAGCTACATTCACATACAAATCAACTACCAACACAACTTTCATATGTGATGAGACATAAGGCACAAGACTGGGATTTCCTCCTACAGATGCAAGGATCGAAGATACCAATCCAATGGGGAGAGAGGCGGCACACAGCAAAACTGAACTACATTCCGGTTTTTCTACTGGTACACGCGCCAAAATATGAACAAAACAATCAATTTCAGCTCACAACGGGCTGTTTATTACACAATTCACCAGTTGATACACTGACATCGATATTGTATGATGCCAGAATCACTTTTCACCCAATACAAGTCTGGCTGGGAATGCCCATGCGGACCGTACCGGCACACATGAAAGTGCATGAAGACTCACATCTGCATCCATAAAAGGCCCTACGCATTTGTTGGTCCCGCGTACACCCATACTATGTGCACGTTCTTGTATTGTATGTGCGCAAAGATGTGCCAAAAACAGCAACTTTTCACATAATTATTTTAAAAGCACACGCTCTTTGGGGCGCTGGAGTACAGTACACACAAATACGCATAGTCTGAGGCGTTCCCAGCTTGGAAACAATACAGTGGATACGCACAGTAGTATCAAATACAGCACACCATTATGTACTCAACGGCCGTCAGGTTGGTGGACCAATGCGGATCAGGGAAGTCAGGATAAAGGGGTGTTTGAGAGAATAGCCCAGTATATGACTGTATCTTTTCTGAACCATGTTTCTCTCGGCACAAATACAGGTGCACAACACACAGATCATAGTGTGCACTGCACTCAGACCTCTTTTAGAGGGATTTTCTCGGCCATATTCTGAACTGGTCTTTGCTCCACAATTCTGCTTTCATTGAAGACGAAGTTTATAATAATTATACTAGCACAGTCAAACCTCGTTAGGACAAACACTGATATGGCGAACTTTCCTTTAGTACGAACTAGGGCCAATCCTATGGTTGGCCAGGCATCATACCAAGTCAAAATTATTCGTTTACGACGAACTCTGTATGGCGAACTTTCGAGAAGACGAACTAATTTCAAGCGTGATTTGAACAAAATCAGCGTGTAGTACGAACTTTCGGTCCCCGTGGGTACGCTGGCTGTAGTTTTTTTCCGATCGTCGAGGCCTCTTGTGCTGGCAAAACATGTTACAAGGGGGATGCAATGCTGTCATGAATTCATTGCACATTATACTTACCTGTTGCTGGGTTATGGTACGAAAAAAATGTTTTACATTTGCCATCACATGCACCTTCACACAAATACAATCCATATGATATGCATATTAATTTTTTTGTCAGATCTGGACAAGCAGAACTCCGGATAAGACAAACAAACTTGTTCGGTCCCTTGAAGTTCGTACTAACGAGGTTTGACTGTTCTAGTAGCTGAGAAATAATGGTATTTGGCGTTTTCAGACTTTTCCCGATGCCTGTGATGTGCAGAGGCAGTGCAACACAATACAAACAAATGCATTACCTTGAGATGCTGACAAACATGGTCCGGTAACAAGTTGTTGAGTAAGCTGTCGGCTTGCTCCTTCAGCTGTTGGATTTCTTCAAAAGAGACCTGTGCCAGGAGCTGACTCTTGAAGTTGAGACGGGAAGCGGCCTCGTACTGACGGTTGAGAATAAAGATGAGGATCAGGTAGATGGAGAAGATCAGGAAGGTGTCGTTGTGGACGATGCCCTCTATTGTATTGCCAGTTGCATTACCACTGGTGTAGAAGCTTGCATTGAGGCCGTGTCGTGCAAGTAATGATGAATCGGTGCATGGCCACTCACTGAACGGCACGCGCACAAACGCAATCAGGAGCGCGCAGATACCACAGCACACAAACATTTGGACAATCCGGTGAAGTTGTGTAAAGAGCAGACACATGGTCAGGGATACTTGCAGGATGAAGAAGTTGAAGTGAAAGCTGTCATCGTTGGTAGAAAACGCCACGCTGCAAGGCCAATTGGTGGCAACCAGCGCGGCAGGGAAGGCCAGTAGAAAGACAACTATGAAGTGTGCCACCCACCAGTTGCAAACAATCGGGCGCACAATCTGGGCCAGCCATGTATATCTCACATAGCACACACTGCCCACCGACAGAAGAACGGCTACGTGGAATAGCAGGCAGGCGGCAAACGCAGCTATCGACATGGTGCTCAGGTTTGGCATGAACACGACGAAGAGGACCAGACTGAACATCAAGAAGACAATGAAGGTGATGACGACCTGCAGGAAGTAGGAGAAGATGGGGCTATCGAACGTTGTGTGTGCCGTCACACCACTCGGTGTGTTGAACTGCAGCCTATGCAGTGCTTCCAAGTCCTCATCAATAAAGACCAACGAGAACATATGCAAATCCTTGTTGGAGATCTGCTTCAACTCTATTAGCCGATCCCAAGTTGAATTAAGGACCTTGATTACCAATTTCTGCTCAGCCAAGCGAGTCCTCCGAGCTTCCTCTTGCCGACCCTTCTCGGAGTTGGGGTTGTTAACTGCAGTTCGAAGAAGATCTGTGGCAGCTAGCTCAGAGAGGCGCACTTTGACCCGAGGCGCTTCGTGTGCTTCTCTCTCCTTCAAAATGTCACCAATGGAAGTGGCGGCTATTGTAGAACTGCTGTCAAACTGATACAATGAATTGGGTATATCACCAACTGCATTGTCTATAGTGGACACTTTGAGAAGGGACTTGGAGTTGACATTCCGCGATGAAAGAGTTGTTTGCGATGATACAGATTGGCGCGGTGAAGCAATCCACTTCCTTCTTTCATTGCTGGTAACTGGCACTGACTGAGGTGGCCGATGCCGCAGTGATGATGGAACCCGCTTTTTCCTCACTGTGGGTGACAGTGGTTCAAACGTTGGCTCGGAGTTGCTGCGTTGCATCATACCCGTCCGATCCCGCATGGTAACAAGGTAAGTAGTGACGTCCTTTAGGTGTTCATCGCGTGATGCGCCATCACCTTCCTGGATGTCATAGGCATCTGGATCAACGAGTTCATCGTATGTACTCTGTGACATGTGTACCATACCAGGTACACCGCCGGACTCCATATGATTGGCCAGCTGCACGTCGTGCGAGAAGACATCAAACTTGAAGCGATGCACGCCGACGATGCCGCATAGCACCGTGCCAGTGTGAATGCCGACGCGCATGTTCACGTCTTCTCCCGTGTCCCTGCAGAAGTGCACGATGGCCTTGCACATGGACAGGCCCATCTGTACGCAGCGGTCAGCATGGTCATCACATGGTGCTGGACAGCCAGCTACACAGTAATAGCAGTCTCCCAGCGTGCTGATCTTCTCACAGCCGTGATACTCAGCTAGCTTGTCAAAACGGTTGAACAAATTATTCAGCAGACTCACTAGTGTCGACGCAGACTTCGTTGACGACATTTTTGTGAAGCCAACAATGTCGGCAAACAGGATGGTGACATCGTCCATGCGGTGTAGCATGAGTGGGCGGAAACGTGACGTTTCGTGCTTGAAAATGCTCTGATATGCATTGTCATCGATCTCCAGCAACTCACTAGCAATCACTTCAGGCATTACTGAGTGGATTATCTTCTCCTTGAGAGCCAGCTCAAAGTCCAACTGATCCTGGTACAGCAGTGAGCGACCAATACGCCAAAACGTGTTGCGCCTGTACACTTCTGACAACAGACTAATACTAGCCAGCATAAAGTGCAGGCAAAGGTGCAAGACCAGTTTCATCAGCAGGGCTTTCGGAGAGATGCTGACATTGCTGTTGCTGGCGAGGACAGCCGCCTGTGCTATCTCAAATGTGAGTGAGAAGAGCACGCCGAAACTGATTGCAATCGGTAGGTCTAGCGGCAAAAACACATACAGCACTGTCAGCACTGCCGTTGCTATGCTGAAGCGGCCGACCGGCGAGAATGCAGCTGGCGCAAAGGATATAGTCCCCAGCGCCGCTGCAACTAGACTGGCTGCGAGTGCGTATGTAAGTCTGTTCTCCCACGGGCCTCGGCACCTCTCAGAGAAGCTCAGACCCAGGAAGATGAGAACAAGTATAGCGTAGCAAGATAGTTCGATGACGTAATAGTTACGGTGTGCAGAAATGCCGAAGAACAGGGCATGGATGAAAGAGGACAACACCAGGAAGCCACATGCCAAGCGGAACAGGGCTCTAGCGGACGTCTCCTCACTCTTACGGTACAACTCTTCCAACTCCTCATCCTGGAATTCCAATTTCATGAAACTGCTCTCATTGGATCCATCAAAGAATTTGGGAATGCGGAATAGTCTAGGGAGCCCAGACTTGTCAAGGCCACTGGAGAATGAGGCACCAACATTATCACCTTGAGACCCCTGAACCAGGCTGCCACGTGATGCAACTGCGTCGTACCCTCCACCGCCCCCTGCTCCCTCAAACGAGGACACACTTCTCGCATTGGAAACGCGGCTGAGTCGTGGCTCGTTGAACACATCAGGGTTCAAGGTATTCAATCTGCTGAATGTTAACGAGTTCTGTCTCTTTCTCCACGACTCCGACCTGGCTTCACCAGTCACCGATGTGCTTGGGCGCAGCGTGCCCTCTACAATTCTGGCCTCAGATGACGCGGCATTCAAAGAAATCTTCGATCTGGAGGAAGTTCGATTCATGGCCTTTCTTTGACCCTGCCTGAGTCTGCCTGAGAGGATGAATGCATTTTCCCAGCCACACTCTCTCGGAAATCTCGCCGACTTGACAACAAAAGTGCAAGATCCATGTGTGGCGACTTCGACCTCGACCTGTCACGTCGACCCACATGATGCGTAGCATTCGTGCGTAGATGTACACACTGCATTTGTGAACTCTGCGTGCACTGCACGTTGCCAAGAAAACCAAGCCATGGGAGTCGGGAAATACCGGTATTTTACGACTCCCTGCCCAAAACTACCTTGCAAAAGCTCAGAACGACAGAAGGCAAAAGCAAAGCGACGTAGAGCCTGTGCATAGCTGTTGTACCGGTACGATCGAACTGACTTTTGTGACAAGGGAGCACCCAAACACTTTTTAGTAGACCCTCTTTGTGACCTATTATGGAATCCCGTACACACTATAGTCAATATCAAGAGTCCATAAACCTGTAAACTGTTTGTGCACTCTTGTCATTATCAAGCTTCATAATGAACTCTTGAGTCTTTATTATTAATTAAATATTATTACATTTTTGATAGGGTCTTGTATTGTATTGTGCATCATTATCATGGTTGCATTCGACCGCAGATGCTAGATGATGCAGAGCTTTATTGCTATTATTATAGAGCTTCAATCTCGGTTTATATTAGGTTCACCCTGTGTTTGTGGAGAAGTAAACTCGACCCTGGTTTGTGAACACATGCACATGAGGTGGCCACTTCTTTTTGAAAATATACTGCTGGGCCGGAGCACCGGCATTTCAGGTGATCCGGCCAATTGGCCAAATGGGATACTCAACGGGAATTGAAACAATATTGACAAAAACACCGTTTTGCACGAATTGGGTGGGCCGACTTTTTCGAAATAAGACCCAGACATGGCCGGACTGGGTGCTACGGCCCTGCCCGCATTGGCACATGCCGGAGGTGACCATCCTCCTGATACTGGCGCCTTGAGTGAAGGCAGCGAATGACGTAGTCACCAACAGGCATGGCGTCAGCAACAAAATTGGCACGGCTGGGTTCAGCACGAGTATAGTGGCGTATTAAACCTTCTAATCATTTTGACGTACAACATCATGCATGACAAATGATTTCAATACAGTAATACTCAGTTAAAATGAGACTACCTCTTGTAGTGCACAGATACATCACGGAGGTATGAATAATGCTGCCGATCCTAGTGTGCTAGTACATCTTAGAGACTGGCTAACAGATTATCCAAGTGTTAGAGAACCGACAGGAGTCAAGCAAAAAAATATATAAAATATTCTGTCTACATTCCATGAGAGCTTAAACTTATATGCTGTGGTTAAAAAAAGTGGGAGAGGGGCCGGGGAAGAAAGGCCAGTCCTACACACCAATGTCCTAAGAAGAAAAGAGAAGAGAAGAGGAACCCGGTGGTGACTGGGTCTATGTGGCGTACATGATGCCAGCGTCGCGGTACACTCGGTAGATCTTCTCCAGCGAGCAGATGTACGCTGCTTGCCGCAAGTCCAGACCTAGATCGTACTTGGATGCGGCTTCAATGATCTGCTTCGCCGATCGCTCCATGGTGTAGGCGAGGCCGGAGTGGACAATGTCCTTTTCAGACGCACCAGCCATGCGCTTCTGGTACTCGGCTGTTGGATAGACGGGCAGCTTCTTGCCAGGGAAGTTGTTCTCCAGTGCCGTCTGTACACTGTTGAAGAGGTGCACATTGCTGTCGTGCTCGTACTTGAACGTCAGGCGGCCAAAGCTAACATGGTTGAGGTTCTTGAGCCACTCGAAGTATGACACCGTCACACCGCCGGCATTGGCGTACAGGTCCGGGATGACCAGGCGCTTACGCTCCAGCAGGATGCGATGGGCGGCAGTGGTGGTGGGGCCGTTGGCTCCCTCCGCAATTATTTTGGCCTTGATGTTGGGCGCGTTGCGGCTTGTGATCTGCTTCTCGTTGGCACAGGGAACTAGAATGTCGCACTCCGCCACTAACAAATCATCGGTTGCAGCGTCCGCTCCAGGGAATCCCTTGATGCCGCCACTCTCCAGTTTGTACTCTTCCAGAGCTTTCGGATCAATACCTTCTGGATTGAAGATAGAGCCATCGCGCTCAATGACGCCAATGCACTTAGCTCCTGCACGGTGCAGGTAGCGTGCCGAATGCAGACCCACGTTGCCAAAGCCCTGAATGATGAACGTCTTGTCTTTGAATCCCGGTTGTAGGTCGATCATATCCATGAAACAAGTGTTGTTAATAAATTGCTCGACGCTGTGGAACAGACCGCGGCCTGTAGCGGAGATGCGACCGTGAATTCCACCCTGTGTGATGGGCTTACCGGTGGTTACGGCGTGAGCGTCAAGACTGCCGTGGCCAAAAGACATTTTGTATGAGTCTACCATCCAGGCCATTTCCCTCTCGCCAGTTCCCATGTCTGGTGCTGGTACGTCAATGCCGGCACCCAGGAACCCCTTCTTGGTTAGCTCCAGCGTGAAGCGGCGCGTAATCTTCTCCAGCTCCATTGCGGAGTACTGTGCTGGGTCGATCTTGATTCCAGCCTTGGCACCGCCAAATGGTACGTCCACCATTGCACACTTGTAGGTCATGAGAGCAGCCAGTGCCTTCACTTCATCCGCGGACACGTGGATATTGTAGCGCATGCCGCCCTTGGTGGGTGACCTGTGCTGAGAGTGCTGTGCACGATAACCCTGGATCATTTCAACTTCTCCATTGTCACGACACACGGGAAAGTTCACCTCCAGAAAGTGGTTGCAGGGCAGGATGACTTTGAACATGCCCTCAACCCTTTTCTTCTTCTGTTCTGGCGTCTCTCGCGGAGTCTTCTCTTCCTGGATGAGATGCTGACAGACCTGTTTAGATGCATCGTCTACGAAGTTCATCACCATTTGAGAAAATCCCATGTTGTCCTCATCGTTCGAACAGCCAGAAAGCTTCTGTGATGAGCAAGCAAACTGACGATGGCTGGCAAACAATTGCCGCTGCCTTTGACTTAAATTCCTAAGCAAAGCCATGATGGATTGCTGGACTTTGCAAAGTCCAAGAATCTGGACCAGAATGCAGAGCTAAAAATAGCTCAACCACTGAACACTTTCGAAGTCGGAAGATGACCACTCTCAACAACGTTGAACATTGTACACATCCGGCCTTGTGTAGCCTGGCCTAGAATTAGAAAGCTGGGTCTTGCTCCTACTAGCGCGTATCGCTGGAGCTACGAGCGTGGCTAGCTAGAAACCCGAGCTGCGAGAACCTCGCACAGGTAACGCATGCAGCAGATGCGGGTTGTGTGCACGCTGATGGCACGGGCCGCGGGCGCGGGTCGGCCGATATCGGAGGTATATTATGCTCGGCAGGCCGCGAAAGAGAGCCCGTTACCGGTACCTGGACCCCTACTCGCGCGGGTAGAGCGAAACTGAGCACCCTGGGATGCGAGCAGCTTTTTAGTACTCCCGGGTCCAAAATCTCACCACCAGGCCGGGATGATCAAAACGTCTGCCGGGTCTGCAGCCTACAATTTACAAACGTGGATCTGCCGACACTGTGCTGTCGACGACATGTCCGGCAAGGCACCTCCTTGCGTGAAAGCAAGGAACGCTTTTTTTTTTAGAAAGGAAGCTTCTTCTCCAAAATTTAAAATTTTTGAAAATTATTCCTTCTGAAAATATCATCGCGTTCTTGACCTCGAAGCTGACTGCTGAATGCGATTAGGAAAGAAGATTCCTGAAGATACACCAGACTGATTCTGGCAAGCCGTCTGTCGTCTAGATATGCAGTTGTTCGTCATGCATGGTCAGCAATCTTCCTCGTTCGTCCTTTCGTTTTCCTGACCACGATGATGACAAGCAGCTCTCATGCTCAGGTTAGTGCTGTACTTGTATGTCTGGGCACACAACACATCTGAGATTCACCCACTGACGTTATCGAACTGAAGAATGCAGCAAGGGTTCCTCGGATTCTCTTGATTTCGGAACAAATTTCCTTCACTTTCACCCTCTCAGTCTCTTCCCCATGCCCTCCATGCATGCACAATGCAGCTTGCATTTCAATTGCTGTTTTTTATACTTTGGCAGTGCCTCTGCTACACTTTCATATAGAGTGAGGTCCTGTAAATAGGATCGAACATTGTTGGTGGTGGTGTGTGTGTGGGGGGGGGGGGGGGGGGGTACGTTTGCAGCCAGGATGTAGGAATGACACTTCTGCACAGCAGGTGGCAATAGTCAAAACTGGTCACTCTACAAATCCCATACCTGCCAACCTTTGCAAACCTGAGATCCAATGACATACCTAGGCATGAAAATGTATACAAAAGAAGCTCGCGGTGAGGCATGGAACTAGTGCACTTTTGGGTGCCTATTACCGCCCTCGATATCGGGACGGTCCCGGCCAAATCGGGATGGTTGTCAGGTATGAAATCCCAACCGAGAAAACCATTTAATAGGGCTTGAAAGTGATGACGTCAAAAACGGCCAGGGAGTACTAAGTTGACATCAGATTTCTATTTTGGATCCACTAAGGTGTGACTTTGCTATTGCCTCAGTATGTGGGTGCATAGCAACCCACTCATGTCGTATGCAGGGGTGACTTTTACTTCGCCACCAGTTGTAACCCCGCCCCCAGTAGCCAAATCAGTCAGTTTCACTGGTAACATCACCTTGCTGAGAGTAAGACGGCTTGAAATGTGCTTGGATCCATACAAAAACTGGATCCAAGTGGATCCAATTTTTGAATTTTTGAAATTGTTGCTATGCTGTGACGTAGCACTTTCAAGCCCTATTAAAAGATAAACTCGGCCAGGACATAGCGACTTTCTGTTTGCCGGGGGGGGGGGGGAGGGTCATCGTCCGCAATATTGGTAGAGTTACGATTACATTGTATATGTAGATACATGTGCATCAGGGATTCATAGCACCTGGGGAGACGACATGAGACCTAAGTACCCAAAACGTTGTGAGTTGTGACCCCGGATGGGGTAGTTCTACGTGATCTGTGTTTCTATAGACCTTATTCGATAACGTGATTTTTGGACTCGCCTCCAGGGATTTGTTGTAAGCTGGGGCACGCGTACGTGAAACGAGTGGCAAGAAAGGCCCAGTTCGTACAAGGGAGTAGTAAAATACCGGTATTTTTCTACTCCTATGTTCCCACGCCGAGTCCACTGTGCACTGAGTGCAGGTCTCTTGCCGCTCCCTGGTTCCCGGGACCCTGGTTCACGTGATTGTGACGTTTATTGAATAAGGTCTACATGTATATGCGGGCATGCATAAATCAACCCTTCCACAAGGACGGCTCAAACAAGCAGCCAAGGAGTGAAAATTTCGCTCCTGGGGCTAGGAGTGAAACGAAGGCCTCAATTTGCCAGATGAACCTTCTCCATCGAAACGAACGAAGGTGTCGAATAATTATTTTACCAGTTCGCAGTTGCCGTTCACGCGCACTCCCCGGGGTGGGGGGGCTACTATGCACTTGTAGTGATACTTACCGTAAGCCAAGTGGAACACGACTAGTTGACTGCACAGACTACAGTACAGTATACATGCACATGTATACAGTGAAGATCAGTGCGTGCATGCCTGCCATAATCGTATGTTGACCTTCGTTCGAATTGAAAAGAGAGGGTCGTTTCGAAAAAGAAAAAAAGCTCGATGGAAGTATGATGCTGCTGACAATTCAAGACTCACTGAAGTCGCCTTTCTGGAATGGATCATGCACTCTAGGTTCATCCAATTGGATATGGACTCAAATCATTGTTACACCATTATTGTTTGGTTAGTTATTGTACATCCCATAGCATGTACAATCAACCTTGTGAATAATCTACCTCGGGTTTACAAAACAACTCGCAAATAACGACACAATCTTCAGATCTAGTGAACATTTGATTGCATACTTCCAACCTCACGAGTAACAACAATGCGAATAGCGACACTTTTCTCATTCACAATCGAGGGTCAGTATTCCCCAGGTTGACTGCAATTGCCAATCAAACAGGAGGGGCGAAAGTCGACCACGGCTGAAAAGGCATAAAGAAAAATTAATGTATATCATGAGCTAGATGGCTGAAGGAGGAAGTAGGTTTTCTGAGAAAGCAAGAAACAGAGGTGAATGAAGCACCAGGTCTGTCCATGCAGTGGATAGAATTATTGCATTGAAAGACAGGCTCTTTACATCAGCTTGCTACTATTATACCTACATTTGCTTTCTGCCTTTTTCATGCAGGATTCTGAAAGCTGGAGCAGCTCTGCTTACCTCGACCACTGAACTTACAACTAACTTCCAACCAAGTACAAGGCAATATTATGATGAATCAAGCACGCTTGCCATCATGTTATCATTGCAAAGTACATCGACAACATAGATTTGGTGCCGACTATGTATGATGTAGAGTGTGCTCTATGTATCTATACTACTGATTGGCCTACATTGTACTTATGTGGGCTGAGAGTAATCGATTGTGCTATATGGCAGTTTACTTGTATGTCATAGATGTTAACATTGCACACAGCTTCTGAAATGCTTTCTGTTGCACTGGCCTACTGCGGCCCACTGCAAATAGATTGTAGTGGCATGGGCCATGCCATAATTATAGTAGTATACCGGTACTACACCAACAATTTCACTGGTGCACTGTACTTACTGGTACGAGTAGATCTACATCATGCACAGCCTTGTCACTGCTTTTCTCATTTTTTATTAATTTACTGTACTGTACACATTTTGGCACAGCTCTTCCACAAAGAGTTACTAGTATTTTCTTCTGCATACCTACTGTATACAGTGACCTGACTGGTAACATCTATGGCTGTGAAATCACAAATTTCTGGGTTGACAGCCTCGAACCTATACGATTTGTTTCTAAGAACGTGCTATAAGAAATTTTCTATTGAAGTATTCTACTGTAGCTCGCAGGACATGGAGTGCAATTACGTAAAGTTTGGAACACCACTCTTCTGTGATTTGGATGTCAAATTATGAAATTCAGTGTGTGAGGTAAACCCATGCATGGCATACACTGCTATAGTATGACTCGGGGTAAAGTGTTCCAACGCATACTCATTATAGTGAATAGTTGTGTGACCAACGTTGTTGCTGCTGGATAAATAGTACATATTCTGAGATAACTGAAGCTACACAGCCATCTGATGTTCAGACATGCATCGAAGGGGCCGTAACGAGATCTGCAAGGCATGATTCTATACCTGTATTTGATGCTCTCTAGCCTAGGACATTCACCTGCCTCATTTTCTCTGTGCTGCATTGATGAGTCCATTAGTAACTAAAGGACGAAACAGCATGCTGTCTGCAGATTGGTAATTGTGTAAAGACAGACGTGTATGTAGTGGTAAAGCTCAGATACATGTGCAACATAACAATCCCGGTGTTTGACAACAGCACAAACCTACACCGCAATTCTTAATTTTGGGCTGTGGTGTTCTTAGTATTCCAGGTTGAATGTTCTGTAGGCTTCCACGTTCTTGGGCGCACGACTTTACTGTGCCGAAGAATATTTTCAGCCAATGAACCCAGAGCTTGGTGGCAGATGAGTGCCATGGAACAGCCTTTTGCATGTGGCTTTCACTACATGCACATGTATAACGTTCAATTGATGCGGAAAAATCAGACGAGGACTTTTGCAGTTATGAGCAAGGTCCCCACGAATGGTCATGTCACTTCACAGAATACATGAACTGATAGAGTAGACCTCGGTCCCCTCAGAGAACGCTTGGGGAAGTCGGGTTCAACCATAGATTTATACTTAACAGAGAACGCTTGGGGAAGTAGGTTTCAACCATAGATTTATACTTAATATTCTTTACTGTCCCTCCAGGAACTTGCGATTCCGCGGCCGCGTTGTTTTCCGCGATTTGAACAAAAGTCCGTGATATCCGCGATATTTGAAAAATCATCCGCGTTATTGTAGAAAACTGTCCTTGATACTTGAAAAGCACCGCGATATTTCGAAAAGCAACCGCGATATTCGGGTCTTTCATCGATGTTGTTTAGTTCTTCAAGCTCGTCAGTAGTCTACTTGTGAGATCGACAGCAGAATGGAGAAGTTTCTGGGCAAATCAGCGGCTGACAAGTCGCAAAATAAGGCTCGCGTCGAGTGTTGTCCGAGGATGGAGGAAAGCTGTCTTGCAAGCTCCTGTCAGGCAGTTGAACACAGTCAGCGCAGCACACGTTCTGTTTTGTCATGCATGATTTATGCTGTACGACTCGTACATCGTACACCACTACAGTACAAGTACCAAAATCGGCCGCAATTTTACCACAATAATCCCGCAATATTTGACAAAATCCGCAATATTCCCCGCAATTTGTGGCATTTTACCTCGCAACTTTTTCCGCGATATTTCCGAAATGTCTCCGCAAGTTTCTGGAGGGACAGTCTTTACAACAAGGATCGATGTGTTCCTTCGGATGCCCTTTATCGACTTTCACACACTTCTCCTCTCTCCTTTCGTCATAAGCACCATCTCTGTACACTGGTTCATAAAATATTTCTTCATAAAACCCCTTCACACATAATGAAGTACAATTGGTTTTCGACAAGCTCAACCCGTAACGCGCTTATCCTGCCTCTTGTTAAGTCAGCCTGGTATCTAAAGCCCCCCTTGTTTTCCGGTTATTCTCATTGGTTAACTGGGGACATGTCCAAAACCATACTAAGTACTTGAGCTGCTCATGAGCCCCACAATTATCAGGCCCGCCGGTCTGGTTGGTCAGGTTATCACCAGACCAACTTGTTGGCCACCAACAAACGTTTCCTACCGTGGAGGACGTGTGTACCCGCCATGAAACTACCGGACCAATCAAAAACTGCTTCCGGCGGTACTGATTATAGTACAGGTTTAAGTTAAAAAGCGGCTCCATTTTGTCATACATTAAACCAACTCTGTCATTGCTATGCTACTCAAAAAGAGTAGTGATGTTTATTCACAAATGAATCACAATGCTATCAGAGAAATTCGATATTCTCCAATTTTAGGGGCACTGCAATACTATCCAAAATTAATGCTGCATGGTCATTGTTATGAAGCAGTCACCTCAGTACAGCAATTAAACAGGCTGATTATGTGAACGAGATTCACGGCAAATCTTCTTCCATCAGTGCTGTTCAGTCTTGAGTGGTCCACTGAGACAGGAAAACAACCTGTTCGGTCCTTCCATACGAGAAACAGAAATTGAACATGTTCCAGGGTGGAGGTGGCGAGTATCGGCAATGTAATGCACCTTTAGGCCAACATGACCATCATTCCGACATGGATTCTCAAACACCTTCGCTCGTGAGAGTGCCTCAGAGTGGTATTCATCAACAGATGGCAATCCTGTAAAACACATGAAAAGACATAGCAGCAACAGAAAGAAACCTAATGTTATAGAAACGAATTCGAAAAACAAAGTCTACTATTATTCTAATACAGTGAACCAAGGTACAACCACACTCCAGGAGGCAAGCAAAAGAGCATATAATCCGAAGGTTGCGATGCCTGTATGTATTGTATTTATGTATTTACGGATTCTCCACAGGCTAAATCGAGGGAGTCTTTGTCATGCCACACTGGATACAACATGCTACCAGAATCACTTTCCCCAGAATTGATGATCTTTTCTTAGGGTGTTATATAAGACACATCTGTAGCCACTTCATCTTGCTCACGAAATCATACACCACCACACAAACGGGTCCTTCGGCTATTATACTTTGGGTGGTACATGGTGATGTATGATATTGATAATCTATTGATACCATATTCAAGTCTGACTCTCACCGTGAGATCCTGGCAACAATATTACCTGGTACACGACATATTCAGACACTGACATAAGCATCTTTTTGGAACAACAGGTGTGCCTATCTGCTAGTGTAATGTGACACACATGCAGAACACATGCAGAATCAGTCATAGCTAATTTTACCCCCTCACTGTTGTATGCGCAGACTCCACTTCGCGGTGTCAAGTACTCTTCTTTCGGTGGGCTACTCCACTAAGGCGCTTGTCTAAAAGGACTCACATTCATCCTGCAAACCAACACGACTTGCATAGTTTTCACTGTCGGCCAAAGTGCGTGCATTGCACACATTGAGATTCACTCCCTCCGTACAGGCCAGTACAGAGCTGCCCACCAATTGAGTCTGTTTTGCGTACTCAGACTTCTGATTTTCCGTATCTTGCAGTGTTTTGCGTACTGCCGTGTACATTGCATGCATACTTGCACTGTAATGTTTTTTGACACGCACATGCATGTCGGTGGCTGCATTTGGTAGTGTAAAACATGTGTGACTTGCACTCACGACATTATTATTTTTGTGCTACATGTACATGTTGTTGTGGTACGGCATGCACTCGCTTTGGTACAAGACTATTCATCACTCAGCTTACACTTGCAATGCTTCTACACAGCTGATTGATCCTCTCCGATTTTCTATACCATTTGCTCAATTTCTGTAGTGCGCACAAGGAGTGATTTTCCGTACAAATACAGAAAATATGGAGGGCTGGTACTGGGTAGCACTGCTAGTATGGTAGTACCAGGCTAAGCTGGCTGGAAGATCAAATACTTCTTTGGTTCTTTCAGTCATTTTCACGACATATGTTTTCTTTATCATGATCCCCGGGGTGTGACATTCTTATGAATGCAGAAACTCAGTCTTTCTAACCGAGTCTCACGTGCAATGTGAATTTGTTCTTCTTTTCTTCACAATGCCATGTATCGATTCATCGCTTCTTCCCACCCGAGATCCTATGCAACAGCGATTTAAAGATTGGCTTTATCAAATAGTTAATTCAGAGAGAGAGGATCAGTTGTGGATGCTGTGACAGCATAGAGTGTAGATTGGTGTAAACATCATTGCCCAGCAGAACCGTATTCACAGGGATCTGCGTTTAGCATATGGAAGCTATTTTTTTAGAATTTGTACACGTCCAATAAGCCTGAAGAGAAGAACACCTAACTTAGACTGTCCTAACGTTATCGAACGCACTGCCAAAGTAAAAACAACATTTGAAATGCAAACTCGATTGTGCATGCATGGAGGGCATGGGGAAGAGACTGAGAGGGTGAAAGTGAAGGAAATTTGTTCCGAAATCAAGAGAATCCGAGGAACCCTTGCTGCATTCTTCAGTTCGATAACGTCAGTGGGTGAATCTCAGATGTGTTGTGTGCCCAGACATACAAGTACAGCACTAACCTGAGCATGAGAGCTGCTTGTCATCATCGTGGTCAGGAAAACGAAAGGACGAACGAGGAAGATTGCTGACCATGCATGACGAACAACTGCATATCTAGACGACAGACGGCTTGCCAGAATCAGTCTGGTGTATCTTCAGGAATCTTCTTTCCTAATCGCATTCAGCAGTCAGCTTCGAGGTCAAGAACGCGATGATATTTTCAGAAGGAATAATTTTCAAAAATTTTAAATTTTGGAGAAGAAGCTTCCTTTCTAAAAAAAAAGCGTTCCTTGCTTTCACGCAAGGAGGTGCCTTGCCGGACATGTCGTCGACAGCACAGTGTCGGCAGATCCACGTTTGTAGGCTGCAGACCCGGCAGACGTTTTGATCATCCCGGCCTGGTGGTGAGATTTTGGACCCGGGAGTACTAAAAAGCTGCTCGCATCCCAGGGTGCTCAGTTTCGCTCTACCCGCGCGAGTAGGGGTCCAGGTAACGGGCTCTCTTTCGCGGCCTGCGGAGCATAATATACCTCGATATCGGACATGGAGCAACGAACCGCAAATCTTCCCTCCCGTTCTAATCTGATCCCGCTGTTTTTTTTTCTCTCTTTTTTTGAGCACTCTCACAGTATTTGTGTCAATCTTGTTGCGTGGGGTTCCACATCCATCGAAGGAATCATGGCCACAACTCCCGAACAGCTGGCTACGGCCTTTTGTACTACCTACTTCGGAACGTTTGACCAAAACCGTGCCAACCTTGGGCCTCTCTACGTAAGTACCATTAATTATGTTCCTGTTTTTTTCGTACGCAGAAATAGCATTGTTTCATACCAAATTTGGATGAACTTAGTTACTCCAATCATGGCCTATCGGCAGAAAATAGTATACTGATAACCACAGTGCAGTGGTGACCTATGTTCTACACCCATCACGACCTTGTACCATGGAACGTCGGCCTCCTGTACAGAAAGTTTAAAAATTGAGAACACCATTATTAAACTCGGGTATTGAGCCAATAATAAAAGTAGAAAGGAAAAGGACATATGGAAACGAGTTAAGAGTAACTCTCCACCACTGTAACTAGATACTATATACAGTCAGAAAGTGCAACAACTAGGCACAAAACTGACAGAGTACTGAGACATTCGACGTCCTGACACCTAGCTTCAACACATCTCCGTAGCGCTAACCGACAGCCTTCCAACTTGGAAGGTTCAAGGTTATGGAAAGACCAAAGAGGGGAAGGCAAGCACAACGAAAACGAGCACAGACCACAGTCCCAACGGAACAAAGAATGTCGATTGTCACTGGACGATGACGAGACCAGTAGGCGATTTGACAAAGCGGTCTAACTACAATTCGAAGCAGCAAAGCAGCACACCACCCAACTTGGGTGGTGAATTGTAGTTAGACCGCTTTGTCAAATCGCCTACTGGTCTCGTCAGCGTCCAGTGACAATCGACATTCTTTGTTCCGTTGGGACTGTGGCTTGTGCTCGTTTTCGTTGCGCTTGCCTTCCCCTCTTTGGTCTTTCCATAACCTTGAACCTTCCAAGTTGGAAGGCTGTCGGTTAGCGCTACGGAGATGTGTTGAAGCTAGGTGTCAGGACGTCGAATGTCTCAGTACTCTGCCAGTTTTGTGCCTAGTTGTTGCACTTTCTAACTGTATATAGTATCTAGTTACAGTGGTGGAGAGTTACTCTTAACTCGTTTCCATATGTCCTTTTCCTTTCTACCATTATTAAAATTTATTAATTTTGTAAAAAAAGATTTTGGAAACCTTGGGAACACACAAATTTGTATAAATGACAACATGAAATATCGGTTGAACTATCCATGGCCATTTTGCGTTTTCTTGTAATGAGGGGATCGGACCTGTGGGACAGCTGAAAGCAAGGTCGTAACGAATTTTGTCTACAAACGAATTATCTCTTATCTGGACGTGCATGTACGGCCGTTGTCTACAAATGAGATGTGTCTTGTAACCGATGTCGTACTAACGAAGGTAGACATGTACTGTGACCGTGGGTGTGTGTGTGTGGGGGGGGGGGGGGAGAGTCAGGTAAGATCAAGTCAATTTGCCTGGTTGGTCTTATGCAGTACAGATAGCGGAGTGAGCCGTACACGTGCGCTTTGTTTTCATCATGATTGATGTGCTGCAACAGTGCGACAGCATGGTTATCCCAATGCAGAGCGCATTTCACGGTTTGTGTACTCTCCTAGTCCTGGTGCTGTATGTTTTCTTCCTGGCTTAGGCGCCGGAGGCAACAATGACGTTTGAAGGTGCCCCAATCAACGGTCGTGATGCAATTGTACAGAAGCTGGTATGTGTGTTTCATCCTATGGCAGAGCGACTACTGTGTAATGATTTCACAACCATAACTGCACAGATGCAAGTCTTTCACCATTGTCGGTTTACACCGTGTGTGTCACTGTTAAATGCTCATTTCACAAACATCCTAAGCAAGTTTAGAACGCGCGGTGTTTGCTATAGTCGTTCAATCCGTTCAATTTTGTTCTGGTCTGCTCTTCTTTGCCCGTAGACCTCATTGTCTTTCCAACAAGTTGTGCATGACGTCACGACACTCGACTGCCAGATGACACAGACTGGGCTGCTCATTTTCGTCGTCGGCCAACTGAAGGTGGGTTTCAAATATAGTCATGTAACGTATGAACGGGTGGGCGTGTTCCTGTACACACCGGCACACTTTTTGTAACAAAATGTTTCCCAAATTCCCACGTTTAAATATCTGGGAAACCTGTCGTTTCCACTTGCAAATCTGCGTTTTTCGCACCATCCCCTTCAATCCTGGTTTTGATTTGTGATGAGCAAAGAACTGGGGCTAAATCGTAATATGTCAGTGACCTCATTTTTTTGGCCAGGTCTTGGCATAGAAGTGCACAGATGAGAGGTACCCTGGTCGTGTTCTGAATGTGAGTACCAGTACCCATTATTTTAGAATCAAATAGCGTACACAGTGAAAACCTTAAAAGAAGGACAATATGCTCAATGCCGAAGGTAGAGCAGCCAGGGACACATAGTTGGTCCCCTCAGTCTCAACCTTCATTGCAATGACATGGATCACATTGTCTACAAGTACATCTGTAGAGAAGGGAAACGAGAGAGCTTGGCAGCTCAGGGCCCCACGCTATGCTTTTTTGCCTAGCTCATCATGCATGTTACTAGAAGTAATGGAAATGTTTTTCCATTGATTGGCTCTTTGCACTCGAGGGTAATACTACACCATCTGCTACCGTGATGACCTAGGCCAAAAATCATAGGGATGTTATATATTTTTCATTTCTCCTATTATATTTTCAAGACATAACCTAGGATCCGAACACGCACTATCGCCCTGCGCAGCTGCATGCATTCCCCCGATACACTTCGCATACATACTCATTCTTCCAAGTTGCTTCACGTTATGATCTTGCATTTGAAAGCCATATTTGAATACAGTCAGACCTCGCTTATCCGGTCCTCTTTTATCCGGATCCCTCACCATCCGGAAGAAAATCGTTGGTTACCGATTTACAGCATATGCCATGCATAGATACAGTGTGTGTGTTCGATTATCCGGTTCCCTCGCCTATCCGGATATTTTTGTGGAAAACGGTTGTGTGCGGTTATGCGAGGTCTGACTGTATTGTGGCCATGGCCAGCTGTCTTTGATGGTACGGTACGGGATAGCGCCAGGCATGCCGACGGCACAAACAAACACACACCTTGATGGTATGGTACGGGATAGCGCCAGGCATGCCGATGGCACAAACAAACACGGAATTAAAGCTGTGTGGACCCTGGCTAGCGCCAGACGTTACTGAAGTAACGTCTTTTGCATAGCTACGGGAATAAAACGTTGTTGCTGTTATCACAGTTTCGCGTGCTAGCAATCACAAGGGTGCGTTCATAAATCCTCTCAGAAAAGTTTGAGAATTGTTCTTATAATATAAGTTATATCCTCTCTGATTAATTTTTAGGAGACTCTCCAAAGCTCTCCAAGCTCTCCGAACTTCAGAGGTAGTTGAAACTTGGGTATTCCCGCGTTTTGGGATCAGCGCATTCAAACTACTGCTAAAGCCACGTGTTGATCACGGGTGTACGACTTTCCCTTTTCGCGTACGCGCAGTGCGTACCACATTCATGTCACTCAAGATCACGGCCGGCTTTGGCGCTTCACAGGCGCAAAAGATCTCTAAATTCTTCGAGACCCGTTCCTACATTATTCCAGTTTTTTCGACTTCCAGGAGAAATTTCTCCGAGAAGCTAGAGAAAATAAGAACGCATTGTAGACAGCACGGACTACAGTGGCCTAAGGGTGTGTTTGATATAGGCTGCAGCAAGCCTGGGTGCAAGTATTCCATCCTATTTTTGGAACAGGCTTCTGCAGTGCTGCTCAATGAAATCTGATCGAATGGGATAAGTACACGCCGGGCGCTGTGCAGCCCTAGACCTATGAAGCCAGGACTGCGAAATGGAGCAGGGCGCTAACTTGATCGAATTTCATTGAGTAGCGCGGTATATAAGACAGGAGTATACAACACTTCTCTCTCTGAGCAGTATGAGGCATGTGGCCTCTAATTTCCTACTACTTTGAAATATTCCGCGAAATCCAACTTTTGAAATTATAATTATACTTGTACAACACAGTTCAGTAATACTTCTCAGTTCGACAGGATAGGATTGTCAACCAGTCTAGTCAGTTTGATGTGTTCTCGCTAAGACCCACAGTGATTACACATTGGTCAGTGAAGGTTATACTGAGGTTTCTGTGTGTATGTGTGTCTATGTGTGTGCATGCACATGTGTGGCTTGGTGTGATCACGTACAGACGGACAATGACCAGGTGCTCGGCTTCAGTCAGTGCTTCCATATCGTTCAGGCTGGGGAGAGCTACTTCATCTCAAATGACATCTTCCGGCTGGCGCTCCACCACCAGTGATCATTAATTTTTATTTCCGCACTTTTGCATAAAATTTTAGAGCTCTTTTTTAAATAAAATACTCGTTGGTTGATGAGGCTAATAATTTATCACCGCTGCTTGATGAGATCTTGATACCGTCGCTGACTTGAATCTGTTATGTTTGTGCGCACTCTACTGGCTTTCACTGTGCATGCGCTTATTGTCCAGCTGGTATAACGTGATGCAAATCTGAGAAATTTTAAAAGACTCCATCTTGTCTACTTCGAAGTACACATTTGGTATCAAGCAAAAAATATGCCGCTGGCTAAAGGGCGATTCACAATACAGGTCGTCCCCCGTTAATACGAGTCCGGTTAGTACATAAACCCCGTTAGTACATAAGAAATCTCAAGTCCCGGACGAAACGTGGTCACTTCCATACAAATTTTGTCGGTTTAGTACATAATTCGTTAGTACATAAACCCCGTTAGTACATAACATTTCTCTATACCCGCATGCCACCTACCTCAATAGTACATAATTAATTTTGTTGGTCTTTCGGCCTTCCAGTGGAGGCACATTGTGTTCTAGTTTCTACTTGTGGACGCCATTAGCTCAGAAATCAGAGCGCACATCACAAGCCGACAAAGCTCTGTTTTTTTTCGAGTGACTGTACAGGTGCGGCTGGGCATGTATCATGTAAACTGTAGAATCTTCGCTGACTGTGACCGTTATAACATAATTTTTATGTTATACTGAGGGAATCAAGAATATCTCGCTCCCTAGTCATCGTTACGATTCGTAGCAAGAAACACTCAGAAAAGTTGAAAAAAGTGAAAATTTCTGGTACACAAGCAAGTTTAGTACATAAACCCCGTTAATACATAACATTTATCAAGTCCCAGAGATTATGTAGGGACGACCTGTACAACTTTCTGCGACGCAACACGCGATTTGCGACAGTCGCGAGCTGTCGCAAGGCACCTGTCGCAGAAGTTGAAGAAAGTTCAACTTTTGCGACATGCGACAAGCAACATACACACATGGAGTACAGTGTCGACCCTGGGTGCACGTGCGTAGTACTACTTGTGCATGCGGATGTCGCAAACATGAAGAATATTGTGAACCGTGTGTCAGCATCACACACAATTTCAAAATCTGGCTTGGTTTTGAACACGAGTACTATGCGAACCGAAATTGACCTATAGATGATCTAAAAAGTCTACAAAAAGCGTACCGTAGAGTTGCGCACCGAAGAACTTTGAGGCCAAGAACGTGGTTCTCTGGCAGCATCTGGGATACATAGTCATAATAATAATGATTGTGTACGAATTGTTTCTAAGAATGCAGCCGGACTGCAGAATAATAAGAACATCCGAGGCTCAGCGTTCTTGGTTGCGTGACTCTACTCTGGCGATTTTTAAAAATAATATGTTTTTTGAATCGATGTGAAGTATCTTGGGCTTGCCTTGGAGCGCCGTTTACTGTGTCCAAAGATGGCCGACACGAGCAATGGTCAAACATAATGGCATGAAAGGCGTCTACAGTTTAAAAATATATGTTTACAACCCGAAACCAACAACGTAAGATTCTCAACAAACCCAAAACATGGTCTGACAGACAACCGGGGCTTTTCATTTTACAATTTTTTTATTCACTTTTCGAAAGTATAAAAAGCAGTAGAGCCAGACGGACGGCGGACTGAGAGCTTGGTGGAGGAGTCAGACACAGTGATCAGTTATCGGTAGCCCTTCTTCTCGGTGGCCTGCATCACACTCTGTGCACGCACGGACAGTCCCTTGGTCTTCTCGATGACCTGCTCGTAGACTGATGGCGTAGGAGCGGCCATGACAACATGACCCTACAAAAACAAAACAAAAGATCATAGAACAGGAAAGAGAGAAGAGAAGAGAAGAGAGAGAGAGAGAGAGAGAGAGAGAGAGAGAGAGAGAAAGAGACAGACAGAGAGAGAAAGAGACAGACAGAGATAGAGAGATAGAGATAGATAGAGAGATAGAGAGAGCAAGAGCAAGCAGGCGATCAGGAGCAACATTAAAACACTTAGTTGAAGGCATCACTGGTCAACACACAGCTGCCATTAAAAAGGGGTTTGAACATTCCGATCATCGTAGCCATATCACAGGATAAGCTTACAAGGGAAAAGGCCTCGGGTACACTGTACTGTAGTGGTCAAACCATGCATAAGGATAACGGGATGATCTTCAGCCCACAAGCACCTACAAATGTCTACCAGATCGTCACAAGCATCATTTTGATAATCTGAAAGTGCACATACCTTCTCAGAGTCGATCTTGGCATTGAGATGTGCATTGCGGATCAAGTCTACGATCCACTGCTCGGCACGCTCTGGAGTCATGTTCAGTTTCTGTGCCAGTTTGCTACACAGGCCAGACAACAAGACAAGAAGACAATCAGACACACACGCCACACACACACACACACACACACGCACGCACACACACCACACACACACAGGAAGATGAGAACAACTACATGCAGTTCCTACTATGAAGTAAAAACCTCATGTCCATAGTGCCATCTATGGTTCGGGAAGCACGCACGCAAGCACACACAAGCTACACCAGGACCAAAGGCAACAAACCAATAACAGTCTAAACGCCGCATTCCAAACAGAAGCAGAGTAAAAAGACATAAAGCAGCGATTCAGTGCTTTCAAAACAGACGATGTCTGAAAGTGGCCGAAAGCCCAGAATTCAGCTGCTTCCATGGAAACACAAACGCTTTCCAGTGGCCGAGTCACCTTGGTGTGACTGCGACATATGGCTATGAAAATAAGTACTTACTCGATGCTGATGCACTGGTGAATGCGGCAGAAGATCTCAAAGATAAGAAGACGGGCATTCTCAACGAACGTCTCTTGGCATGCAACCAGGAAGAAATCGTGCTCCAGAACCTAATGCATAAATAGTTCAAATTCCACCAGCATCATGATTAATGACTGAAAAAGACTAAGACAAATCGTAATTGGAACATTGGTATTTTTCTAAGCTAGTAGCAAGTCCAGAAAATAACACATCACAAACACCAGGCAGAGGAACACAAGCACGGACGCATGCACATGTACCATGTACCGGCATATGCCCGTAGCAAGAGAAGCACGCCAATCTGCAAATGCACACCTACAGATTTTCTCTTATAGCAACGATTGCGGACAAGATCTGACTGAAACAGATAAAGACTAGCGCCAGATAACTGAATAATAATTAGGGCTGAAACGATCGTGGATTTTCATGTATCGATTACTCTTTAGCTTAACGATCGAGTAATCGATTATAATCGTTAGCAAATAGAGTCATAATTCTGTGCAAACATTACTCTGTTTCCACAAACTATGCCTTCATGATACCAACAAATCTGCATTAGTGAAAGGGTAGCTCCGAAACATGGCAGTTTTGAAGTCAATTTAACCTCAGAACATGAACCATACCCCTGGCAACTGCATACTCCCAGCGGAAACTGATTTAAACTTCACAAAACGAGGGTTTACAGTACTTTCTGGACACATATTTAAAAAACGCAAAATAATCGTAATCGGTAATCTAAACGATTGCTCGATCGTTAGAGTTATCAAACGAGTAGTCGATTATTCGGTATAATCGTTTCAGCCCTAACAATAATCCACATACATGCACACACACGCGCGTACACACACACATACACAAACACAAAGCACTTACCTGTTCGCACTCTACCAGCTTTTCCCGCGCACCGTCAAAGTCAAAGCTCACATAGAGAGCCTCGACAAACTCAGTGATGGGGTCACTGTACGAGTAGGATTCCTGCACGAAAACAAACAAAAGCCAACATAGGATCAGATGACTGGATACACAACGCACCTCTACATCATCCATCCGCCTTTGCAACTTCTGCCAAGAATGCCGCACATAACTGCTTAAACCATGCAGTTACGAGGTCTGGAGACCTATTTCTACTACCCCTCCCCAATACCGTAGAATCCCGCGGATAAGCCCAGGGAGAGTTCGAACACCACAAAGCTTCATCGTACAAGCCCATGGGCCTAAATCGCACCAAGAGTCCATAAATTATGGACTCTTGGCCGTACCGGTATACCATGTACAATCATGTACGTAGTATAATAATGTAGTTTTTTTGTACATTTTAACACAATCATCGGCTTTTTCCGCTTGCACAGTGGCTTTCAGCAATGTGCTTCTCACTTCCTTGGTACTTTTCAATGCACACTTTTGGCGTCAGCGTATAAGCCCATGTTCTTGTACAAGCCCACCGAAATGTCCTTGTGAAACAGATAAGCCCATGGGCTTATCCGCGGGATTCTACGGGACCTTCCTCTCGGATTGTGGTGTTGGCTGGCAACAAGATAGTGAGATCGGACCAAATGAAAAAAAAACCAGGATTCTCACTAAAGGCTGCAGTAGCAGCACTGTACTGAAGGAGACTGCACTCTAGTGCTTAGCTTGCCCTGGGCCACTGTGTGGAAAAGGAAGAGCTAGAGTACACAATACATACATCGCCAGAGTCGACTATGCACCCCCCCCCCCCTCGTTGTCACAACTGATGTTGAAGTGAGGAAGGAAGGTGGCTGCTTTCTTACGTAACTGGTCACCTCAGCAAAAGCAGAGACAACGGAAACTGCTCAGTATGCATGGCTTGGCTACGGTGTCACCTACACGTATCAATCACGCTGATGGCTTGATTGGTTGAAAAAAGCAAGAAAGCAGAATAGGATATGTAACACAGCACATCTAATTTTTTACGGCTTGCGCGACATTCAGGGGACTAAATTTTTGGTCTTCGCATCTGCAGGAACACCACCACCCTCAAGGTGGTGAGCAGGCACAGTTGCAGTACATACCTGTCGGATAACCTTGACCAGGTCCTTGAGGATTGCAGTGCCGTCGGGGCGGCTTCTGTGACTGGTGATGATGGCCGTGGTCAAGTAGCGCAGGATGTGCGGGCACATTGTCTGAATAGCGTTCAGGTAACTATAGTAACCAGAGCCAAACAAGCAGTCAAAGGTTTCCACAAGATCTAACACTTCAAAGCAGCCACAGTAATTCAGCACCAAACATTTCAAATGAGGGAATGATGCTGTACATACATGCGCCAACAAGACAGAGTACACGTGGAATCAACAAAATCACGGCAGGGTCGCTAACCGAGAGAAGCATTCCGGACATTCTGACAGCAGCTAAATTCGATTTGTTCAGTACTAGTGTACGTATTGTGATAGAAGAAGCTAAACCACCGAAAGTAACAGCCGCCGAAACGAATCAAAAGTTAGACATGAAGTCGAGACACAGCTGCCGTCAAGTAAGGCGAGAGCACTACACCGTAACTTTACAGCCAGGGAAAGGAAAATTGTGTGAGAGAGTGCAACGAAGTGTGTACAATGTGAGAACCCAAGCGTACTAAGGTCACACTTTGCATGTTGTTGTGCGAAGCTCGCCTCCGGTCGAAGGTAAACTGAGTAGAGATTGACCGTATAACACACAACGTGGGCACAAGGTACGTGTCGTATGACCTACAGACAGTTCAATGAATCTCCAAAACATGACCACAAAAGGGAGGTGGTGGAGGGGCGCTGTGCCTGTACCGTTAAAGTACCACGAGAGTGCCCCACCATCTCGTCCTTTCGAGGTCGCATTGTGGAGGCGGTGTCCTGCCTGTAGGGCATACAACACGAACCTTGTACACACATTGCACGTTGTGCAGTCAATCCGTACTGGATTTACCTTGGAGCGGACATGAACTCCACACAAAAACTGGCTAAAAGTGACCTTAGTACACTAAGGTTCTCACACCGTCCAAACTTCGTCGCACTCCGTCATACGATTTTCCTTTCCCTGGCTGTAAAATTAAGGTGGGGCGCTCTAACGGTACTTTACGGTACATGCACACTGGTGGGTGGACAGGAAGACTGCCCTGCTCCAAATCCCCACCGTGCACTATGTTCCTCATATGATACATGAAGAACAGTTCGATTACAAACAGAACCCTTGCAAGACCCAGAGCTGAACAGTACTTACGACTGGTTACGCAGAAAGAGGTCGATAAGACCATCGCATCCTTTCGGATGGTTGAAGTACACAAACAGGCTCCAGTGGATCAGCCACGAGCGCTGCTGAAGTACCTCCAGGGGTGCTGTTACAGACTGTAGGCAGGTAGGACGAAAGAAATCAACACCAGAGACAAAGCTATATTGTCAAAGTCATGCTGTCAAAGTGAATGCAAGCAACAGGCAAGGGCCAATGACCGGTACCAAGAGTACATAACCCAAGAGTGTGCAACTCCAGCTATGGGGTCTGCGACGGCAGAACTTCACATCACGTGATGAACCCGTGCACTCTAGTGCATGATAGATACTGGGTTGTACGCAGCCCAGCTTTGGGTACAACTCTCTTGTGGTCACTTTGCACTGTTTGCCAGCATAACCTTTTGAACCATGTCACGTGATGTGAAGTTCTGCCGTCGCAGCACAGCATAGAGGTTGTGCAGGCAGTTGCACACTCTTGGTTATGTACTCTTGCCGGTACTGATGGACTCCAGCTTGCCGCATCCGACAGTCTCCGCTTGAACAAAGGACAAGCCACGATTCTAAGAGGATGTTCATATTCGTGTAAACAACTTTTTCTAAAGGCTTACAATGTGATTGTCGATGTGTTCAGCGAGCTTGGTAATCTCCTCCAGAGCCACATCCCAGTTCTGCATCAAAATCTCTGAAGCCAGCTTTCCCCACAATGTGTTCAGCATGTTCTCGTCTGTCGGTGGAATCTACATAAGATCACATAACAACGCAAACACACACCATGTACCACACACACACACCATGTACCACACACACACACCATGTACCACACACACACCATGTACCACACACACACCATGTACCACACACACACCATGTACCACACACACCATGTACCACACACACCATGTACCACACACACACACACACACACACACACACACACACACACACACACACACACACACACACACACACACACACACACACACACACACACACACACACACACACACACACACACACACACACACACACACACACATCCATACAGAGTTAATCAATTGCCATGTGTAAAGAGCTATTATGTCTATCAATTGCCAGGCGTCAATTTCATAATTATGGTGTCTAGTCCGGAGAACCCTCCATACCCACCCCAGTTGGTAGTGTCTAATTGCAGAATGAAAATGAAAGACCCATCCGGCACGACTTCATCGGTTGATATCATGAGTACACTAGTAGTGCACTCTTGCCGATATTGAGGTTTCAATGACAGAACTACGCAACACACCAATATTTCATACAAGATTCGGTCATGAACATACATGACATGTATGTTATTGTACTACTGTCAAAGGCATGGCACACGTACACACTAACCAGCTGTCTGAAGATTTCCAAGACTTCGGCAGAGCCCTGGTAGTTACCGCACTCATAGCGGAATTTGGCCAATTCGTACAGGTCGACAAATGAGTCTGGCTTGATCTACATGACCCAAAGCACAGGTGAAGAAGGAAACAAATGGATTGGATTAGTCATGACAGTGAAAGCACGAGAATGCAGGGTGCTAGCCAAGATAACATAGTAGAGGGACATGGGAAACAAACAACCAGTGGCGTAGCTCGGAAATATTTGTATGGATACTAGATATCTTTGGCCAACCAAGTCTAGATGTATTTGAGGTCCTTGATACAGATAACACATGTTATTCCAGTTGAGCCTTGAGGCTAGGCGAAATATCTGGCAGTTGTAATACATGTATACAATACAGAAGCGTGTAATTGATAGCAAAAGTACCAAGTTAGTACACTGTTTCAATTGATATATAAACTGGCAGTAGTACAGTGCATTTCGACATGTCCTGGCCAACCGCGTATGGATACCTGACTGCAAAGTATCCACTCTGGCTACGTGCCTGAACAACTCTCCCATTTTCTCCACACAAAATCACCTAGTCACACAACACGCAACGTACGGGTAAAGTGTGCACGCGGAACAACTGATTTGAGGCCGCATTTTCATTGTAATACTGTAGTGCTTACAGCGCGTATGTTTCGTACACCGAATAGGGACAATTACGGATAATCTCTTAACTCGACTTACATTGAACTCTTTTTCAAGCATCTCGACAAGCTGCGACTGTTCTCTGCATCCAAGGATAAAGACAAGAAACCAAAAGAACCAAAACATCATAGAAAGGTACTTTCGGACAACTTCATCATGCCGCTAAGATCGCCTCCATTGCGATAGTTGGGTTTTCAGCCACTTTTCCTTACCCAGTCAAAGTTCGCATGCACAGGTCCAAGCGAGTATATTTCTACATCACTACTCCTCGATGGACTTACACTATCCATGACCTGTTGGAAAGATAGATCAGGTACAAGTGCAGCCAACCAGATTCTAAACTGGACACGCATATCGGGGCCACTTCCATGTTCTCTCCGAGCATCCCCATCATGCCTCAGAATAGAAGAGGTCCAAGCGCTTCACAAGGTGCTTATTACGCATGCACGGTGTGCCAAATCCCTTCGCACACGGACATTTGAAAACCAGAAGCTTGAAACCATCGTCAGCGAGTGACATGTTCGATTTCTGGCTGTTCTTCTTGTCGCCAATCAGTCATACTTGGTCCTATCACAAATTATCCCTGGAAAGCTGAGCTGAAGAACTTTCCAATTGTGTATAGTTTGTTGAAGTCTGTTGTTGTTTGCCGGGTATGATTACCTGTACACTCTCGCACATGCAATGTGATGTACAGTATACGTCATCCACTAGATGGCACACCGGTTTGTGGCATCTGAAGACGTCACCCGCACTGAACGGGTCAAGTACACCCAGCAGCAAGGCTTCCACTACCTCTACAGCATATTGGTTGGAGATTTCTTTGCGATGGACGTACATGCATATCACGTACAGTGACTACTGTCTCAGGTAGGGCATAAATCTACGTCCCGAGTGCGCAACGCATACATGGTGGCTTTAGAAGGATTGGGTATGTTCTAAAAGCAATAATTCTTCGTCAATTTTCATGATCACAATACCGGTAGACTTCAGTATGGATCAATACACATGCACTCTGGACATTGGCATTATTACGGAGGTTTAGCAAGACGAAATTCGCGTTATGAGAAGGATTAGCAAACAGAATTCGCACATGCATGCCGTTGACACGTCGTGCGTGTGCATATGTACACAGGGTTCTAGCCAAATGGGGGGGGGGGGGGGGGGGCTACTCATTTTCCGATTTTCTGTTTTTTTCATGCCATTCAACAAAAAATACAGTCGATAGTCAGTACTAGAGGGTTCATAAAGGCACATTTGCCTGGGGTAAAGTCAGGTGTTCGCCACGTACGTTGCATTTCGCATTGCAAGACAGTCGTTTTGAAAATGGAAAAATGGGTTACGGGGTAACTGTCCCCCCCCCCCCCCTACTATTTTGACCTGGCTAGAATCCTGGTACAGACAGAACAGCGTAATAAATTTATGACTGTCCCAACACGAATCTGCTAACACAAATCTGCGATTCGTGTTTCGACTACTTTTCCGAACGAAAAATGCGAAAGTTCACAATCCAGTTCGCGAACCAAAAAACGTTCCGCGAACCCGAACGCGAAATTTGTTATGGCAAAACTCCGTATTAGCAAGAGTGTGTCTTATAAGAGTACGCACTAAGTGAGTTCTGTGCAGGTGAAATCCTGATAATTCGAACCTCAAAATGCCAGGAAAAAACTTCTAAGTATCCGGACATTCTAATTATCCAAACATGAACCCACAACACAATAATGTATGTCAAAATGCTCTCACGGTCACGCAGAGTTGCGCTATGGACCTTAGACACAAATTTTACGGACACTGAACTGACCGGCACAGCCTGCTCGTGCAAACTGAACTGACCAGTACAGTGTACAGTGAACTTCGAATTACACTTTGCTAACTTCGAATTATCAGCACAAATCCCACACATTTTCTATGTAAGTGGAATCTGTGGGACTTTCTAATTAACCGGACATGTCGAGTTCGAGGTTCGAATTATCAGAAATTTTTATGTGGGAATCGTATTGATAGAAATCGGTCCTGGAAAAACTTTTAATTAAGCGGTATGTTCGAATTAAGCCATATTCGAATTATCAGGATTCCACCTGTATCAAAATTTTCGTAGTGCTCGGGGTACGGAGTTGCATGGTTCAAGTTTGGGAATGTTCTCCAATCACATGGCCTTCAAAACCAGATGCTATTCATTATAAAAAGTGTATGCTGTCGCTAGTCATGGCAATGACGGCACAGGAACACGGCGTTTACTTGCTCTTGGGTATCTAACGAACAATTCTTTGAAGCCTCCACATCAAACAAAAAAAACCCAGGGGGTGTTGTTCTGCATGAATTTCTTAGTTCCCAAACTTTAAAAAATGTATGACAACATGCAGCTGATTCCTACCTGATTGTAGAAATTCTGTGCTGTGTCTCTGTATCTGCCAAAACTGCGACCACGTGTGACGTTGCCTCCTGTAATTCCTTCAGGCGCTGTACAACTTTGGACCTTTTATCCACCATACCTACACGGAGTAGTCACACGAATACAGTAGCAGGTCTTGGTCAGGTCTGACACTTGCTAGCAATTAAAGCCATCAATAATCTTACTCTCTGGGGGATTTGTATCTGGGTGAAGCTGGCTGTACACATCCATGGCAAAGTCTACCATCTGAGTGCTGGAAAGCAACTCCACCTTGGCTTGAAGCATCTCCCTCTCATCGTAAATCTGTTGGGCCAAAGCATACTCAGTTATAACGAAACGAACCAAAAACATTCAATTTTTCGTTCAAAGTCTAACCTCCTTGGCGGACAGAAATTCCAGCAAAGGAAACACTAAATGGCGATCCAGATATTTTCCCACCTCGGAGGTGAGATCGTACTGGGCCATCTTGGTGAGCTCCGACACCACTCACTGCAAGACGTTCAACTCCAAGATCGCCGACTGAGGCTTACAAAAAGCTTTTTCTGAAAAGGAGAAATCTTCACACAAAATCTATCTCGTCGAGGTCAAGCTTCGCAGATTGAGTGGCAAGGCGCTCGCTATTGTGCAGCAGTCGCCATTTTCGTGTGTGTTGGAACACTCGAGCCCAGACCGGTTGAGGGATTTGCCATACAGTCATCAGCAGGGAGCCCTACGTGTATGTGTAGGGCTCCCTGGTCATCACTCAGGTCATGCATGCAGTACTACTAGTACTACTGTACTGTACTAGTGACGACACGGCCACTGCGCGAAATAAAAAGGATGTGAGGGTCACTAAGACATGGATATTCCAGGCAGGGGGACTAGCTCACATGGTAGAGCGCTCGCTTAGCATGCGAGAGGTACGGGGATCGATACCCCGGTTCTCCAGATAAACTTTTTTTCTTCTCAGTTCTCTTCCTTTTTCTGTTCTTTTTTCCGTTCTTTTCTGAACTGAAAATCAGAACTAAAAAAATTAATGCGAAGACAAAGCAATTTTTTTCTTCTCTTTTCCAATTCTTTGATTTCTCGCAAAATAAACTTTTGAATGAACAACAAACATGACTGTACGCTACGAGGCAAGAGTACGTACTCTTGGTACCGGTACGAGTACAATGTACACGCCAAACTTTACTGTTTATTTTGGGAAGAGAAAGATGAAGGGGATAGATACACGTACAGAGCTACAATTGTAGAGACACATCATGCATGTATAAAACGATGGTATGGCCATAATAATTATTATGATATGGAGCGGAGCTACGGATACAGCTAGAGAGTAGAGGATAGGAGGTACTACAGGTCGAGGGAAAAACAGATTGTCATTGACCACGTTCACATGTATATGTTCTGTTTCCATGGTTTATGTCGACATGTATGATTTACATCAGGGAGTAGTCCCTGATTCACATGTATGACATGCATCACACGAACAAAAGATTTGAAAAAATGCATTGGCCGGGAATCGAACCCGGGCCCCCCGCGTGGCAGGCGAGGATTCTACCACTGAACCACCAATGCTTCCACACTGGATACATGTACCACCGCTGCAGATTTATGACAGCTGATGTGAGAGAGCTAGAGACGATCGACCCAGCCAAAAAACCCGACTGTGCGCATGCATATGTCCAAGAGTACAATAAACCTGTACTCTTGATATGTCAGTTTTATTATGACGTCGGGTCCGGCCGGGCCTGGTACTAGCAAGTACGGTACCGGGTATACCGGTAGTTCCGGAGGTGAAAAAGATAGCATGACCATGATGACATACTTTGTTGTTTATCTTTCAATTCCAAGTACTGTACAAGCAATGCAGTAGTAGCAGAGCATGGAGCCGTGGAGGACGAGCCACAAGTTCCACAACACTCTCAATTTCAAGTAGACTTCCAAAAAATCTTCTTTTCATAATAATATTATGTGTATTGTAGTAGCAGTATTTGTGGGGAGAAGGAATATGTTGGGATTCCGAAATTACCATAAATATTTCAAATAGTTGACCTTGATTTCCTCTTCAATATCTGCTCCGTCTAAATATTTACCATCCTGTGGATTCAGTTCTACGTGTGGCCATGGCACGTCAATTCAGAGTGGAGAAAGCGCCGTCTGACGCCCTGTCACTGACGAATCGTGCTATTTTCCACCCCAAAGATGTTAAAGAGCGTGATCAGTATTTCCTGGTAACGAGCTCTGCTGGCGACTTTGTTCTGACCCCGCAGACGTCCTCTGACGTAAGTCCAGGGTGTGTAGCACTCGGTCTATATCAGCGTAAATGGGTGAGTGCTGCCCAAGGCGACACGGTTACAGTGAGGTCCTACCAGTTCACAGACGCTACATGCTATTTAGAGGTGCTGACGGTACGCGTGGATCATGTAGCCCGGACTGCGCAGCGCTCCGGCAAGCAGCTGAACTCTGACCGGATGACGGCGGAGGTAAGCTCTACGTATGCCAGCGTTGCTGTATCTGTTGGACAGCAGCTGCTCTACCGGGCGCAGGACCACCCGAGGCCGCTGTACCTCACCGTTCTCTCCCTCCAGGCTGCCGACCCATCAGTGCTGACAAAGACCAAGGCAAGCCCCAGTAAGCGAAGCGATATATCATGCGGTATAATCCTGCCCGACACCAACATACTATTCGAGGGTGGTGAAGGTGTGACAGTGACTGGTAAACACATTGCTGGCGCCGCAGTCCAGGGCAGCGTTATCAGCACCAGCCTGGACTTTGTCAAGATGGGCATTGGCGGACTGGACCTGGAAGCAGCCACGCTCTTCCGCCGTGCTTTTGCCTCGCGAGTCTTTCCACCGCAGGTCATTGAACGACTTGGTGTCAAACATATCAAGGGAATCCTTCTCTATGGACCGCCAGGATGCGGAAAGACACTGATGGCCCGACAAATTGGCAAGATGCTCAACGCCAGAGAACCAAAAATTGTTAATGGACCTGAGATCCTCAACAAGTATGTTGGTGAATCAGAGGCGAACATCCGGCGGCTATTTGCTGATGCTGAGGAAGAGCAGAAACGTGCCGGTGCGAACAGTGGCCTTCACATGATAATTTTTGATGAAATGGACGCCATCTGCAAGAGGAGAGGTGGCGGCTCTGACAATACCGGCGTCCACGATAACGTCGTCACACAGCTCCTGTCCAAGATGGACGGTGTCAACGAGCTGGACAACATCCTCGTGATCGGCATGACCAACCGCAAGGATCTCATCGACCAAGCTCTGCTGCGCCCGGGTAGATTCGAGGTGCAGATGGAGATTGGCCTGCCGAACCGTGACGGGCGCGAGCAGATTCTCACTATTCACACTCGTAAGCTCCGCGATGGTGGAATGCTTAGTGATGATGTTAATCTCGAGAGCTTCGCCAACAAAACTATAAACTTCAGCGGTGCCGAGCTGGAGGGCTTGGTGCGAGCAGCCACCGCAACAGCGATGAATCGTGTCATCAAGAAAAGCTCAGACCAGGAGAGCGCTGTGTCGGTCAATCCTGAAGAGGCGCTAAAGATGAAAGTTGTCAGCCAGGACTTCCTGTATGCCTTGGACAATGATATAAAGGCTATGTTCGGCGTCAACATGGAACAAATAAAATACTATCGGCAATGTGGCATCATTAATTGGGGTGCTCCTTTCAGTGAAGCATACAGTAACTGCAAGCAAGTGATTGGGAACATGATCAGTTCCAGCAGTGATTCGCTGATCGACAGTTTCAACTCTCTCTTACTGTTTGGTACCGAGGGATCTGGTGCATCGTCACTGGCTGTCGATCTTGCTTTGGATGCTGGATTTACATTCATTAAGGTGAGTGCGATTTGCGATTTCATCTGCGATGTTCACTGCGATCGTATTCTGTTTGTACAATCATGTACATGTGTTGATGCCCGCTGTTCTGATAAAAAGTGTAATACACGATCAGGAGACAACAATGTGATGACCACCGTTTTACATTGCTTGAATAAAGTATACACAAATGCCGATTCAGCTTGTCCTATTGATTGCGGTTAAAGGGGAAGTTCACCCTAAAATGAAAACTTCACAACTCGTAGCGAAAAATGCACTGATTCCAATGGTGAAGGTCCGAGGTTGATCAGAGCAGCCGTTCCCGAGTTATACCAGCTTGAAGTTTGCACTAAATTTGGTGACATCATGATGACGTCATTAACTTGCCCAGACCACGAGACCAGGCCGGATTTATGACATCAGAGAGATAGACTTCGTATGGGAGTAGATGGGGAAAAACCAATTTCCTTCATGTTTCTCTGCAACAATGAATTTCATACTAGAATTTTTTCCAGTCGGGATACCGGTAGGGTGCCATATGTCCCATACCGAAGTTTGAAAAACATCCGCCTTCTTTGGGACAATGGAGAGCCAAAATACTGAAATTTCCCCATCTACTCCCATACAATGTCTATCTCTCTGCCGTCATAAATCCGGCCTGGTCTGGGCAAGTTAATGACGTCATAATGATGTCATCAAATTTAGTGCAAACTTCAAGCTCGTATAACTCAGGAACGGCTGCTCCGATCAACCTCGGACCTTCACCATTGGAATCAGTGCATTTTTCGCTACAGGTTGTGAAGTTTTCATTTTAGGGTGAACTTCCCCTTTAACCCTTTACCATCCGACCAAATTTCCCCAGCAGTCCCAAATGCAATAATTCTCACCTTATTCTGAGAATATCTTCGGTTCTAATCAACCAATTTTCACAATCTTGGGCATTCTGGAAAGCTCTCCACGAGCTGCGTACATTGAGTTCAAACAGGGCACTACCGAGATCACATATCCAGCGCCAGGGAGCTTCAAATACACCCCATCGCTGTATATACGAGGAAATTCTCTCCTCGTCAGCCATTTCTCGCTCCTTCATCGTAAACATTCCAAATGTTTTGCTTGAGTTTCTTTTCATGCTGCCCACGCGCTCGAAGCATGCCAAAGTGACTCAGCATGTCAGGAGAGGGGAAAATCCCCGCTGAAGGTCAGTCACTCGGAAAGAAATTCGACTTTTGCCGTAGTTGAAATGTCGAGCAAAATATCTTTGGAATGCGACATCGCAGCTCTTTACCGATTGATGCAATGGAAAGCTGGGTTCTTCGGCTTCTTCCTAGATACTTAGTTCTTTAAATTCCGCCAAGAATCGATCGAGTTCCGAATGTTTTAGTGTATGCATGTCCATCGATCTCTAGAGATCGATTCAAGTACACACGGATGGTAAAGGGTTAATACACGCTCATAATTTTTTCCCTTGACTTATGCCAGACGAGAGCTTCTTGGACATTGCACGCAGTGGTCAGCTACTTCGAAGTACATGTACATGTATGTTGTTCAAAAGCGTGACTTCTGTCTTTGTAAAAGTGGCCAATCACTGCGTTTGGATCGTGTTTTTCTGTAGGTTTGCTCGACGCTGTTCATCAGTGGCACGACCGAAGTGTCCAAGGTGAATTCCATACACGAGATCTTTGAAGACGCGTACCGCGCTCACAAGAGTTGTGTAATCATCGACGGCATTGAAAACTTGATTGAGTATTCACCTATTGGTAGTCGCTACTCCAGCCACCTGTTGCAAGTGAGTGATGGATCTGGCCAGTTTGGCCTTCTTTCGCCAATGGGCGATCTTTCCGAGGACATGTACGGTATTTTCCGGAGTATAAGCCGCACCCAGATTCTTTTGTCATAAAAGACAGGCATCTACCCTGCATTTCACGGTTCATTTGACCATCGTAGTATATGCCGCATCAGCTTTTTTTTGGGTGAATTGCAAGCGTTCAAAGTGCAGCCTATACTCCAGAAGATACGGTAACGTGCTCTCCCACATTATACTAGTACATTCAAGGTTGCAGATTGTAGGGGGGGGGGGAGAGGGAGTACTTTTATCAGCCCTCTGCGTCCTCGGGATGTAGAGTGCTGGTGATGCCATCGGTAATACCGATTTCCTCAAGGGACCAGAACTTCTTCAAGTCGAAGTCGTCATGTTTGTGTACGTCCGCTGCAGTCACCATCATGATGCCGACTTCGGGTAGATTTACAAACGTTGGGACTCGAACTGTTGGGACGAATCCGAACTTGGTGTAAAGACGAACCAGGCCATCCAAGAATCTTTGACATGGTCGTTCCCAATGATGTTATAGCAGTAGTCGCTACTGATTAGTACGTCTATTGTTATGACGTCTGGTCGATCAATGATAGGTTCTGCCAAGACCCTTCGTTGCAGGCTGGGATGTTTCTTCGTGTCGATTGGCAGGCGTTTCATCGTTGGACTGATATTCGGGGTGATGTTTGCTGTAACTGGAACGCCACTGCCATCGATGGTTTTCACTTTGAGTTGGACCCGTTTCAGAACCTTGGTCTACCTCATCTGCGAACCAAACTGATCGATCGACTGGGCATCTTCACCAATGACATCGGCATTCAAGGTGTTCTGGGTTTCCTCGCTGATGAAAGACCGTGTAGATCCGGTGTCGAAGACCACTTGTTTTCGTTATCTGTTATGTCATCTAATGCCATCTGCATAGCACAGCCGATTGGTCTGTGTCACTCATGTGGATTTCCATTGATTCAGGCTGTTTCATTTCGCAATCGGCAAGAGTTGCTGCTTCTGTCCGTGTGTTCACAGATCTCGATTGGAATAGTTTTGCATCTCCGTTCAGTGTGTTTGTGCCGTTGCCGCCAGATTTCTCCAGGCACAAGGATCTGTCATGAGTGTCACGTCGACAATGATAACATGGCCGAAGATTGTGACAGTGTCTTGCGTTGCGCCTTGACCCTAGACAACTGGAGCACCAGTTTTCTGTCTTTGCTTTCCTCTGTTCTAGAGTCACAAACTTCGTGCACTCGTCTGTAAAGTGGGAATCTTTGCAGTAAAAGCATCGTGTGCATCTAGTGTATGCTTCTATCAAAGCAGTGCACTGTCTATACTGGCTACCCTAACAAGTGTACAGTAAGATCGGGCGCCGAAGAACACCTCGCCGAAGAACACCCAGGCTGGAAAACCGGCAAAATTTAAGAACAGTCCAGGCTAGAATTATCAGATTTAAGAACACTAGATCTACATTGTACGTAGATCTACATTGTACATGTATGGGAGGTGAGTACATGTCATGTACACGTGTAAACAGTAACTGCTACATGTACAGTCATTCCCATTTACGACACCCACTAGTTTAGAAGTACTACATTGCACTACATGTACATGTACATGACAAACGTCATGACGTCACTCGACTCGCCGCGCGCGTGTGAATAAGAACGGTCTGGCTAGAATCAAAAATTTAAGAACTTTCCTAGGCTGCGCTGGAGCCCCTGCGTTCTTCGGCGCCCGATCTTACTGTAGGGTGTGCATAGGTAACTGCCTCGGCCGTCCTATTCCGATGTGCTCCGTGTGGTGTAGAGTGGGTGTGCATTGGGGATCGATTCGCATGGTTTTGCCAGTTGTGTGGATTAGGCAGTTATCTGGCGCTAGTCTAGATCTGTTTCATTCAGATCTTGTCCGCTATTAGGGAGGTTTCACTCTACGTATTTTCGTATGAAAGTCTGTATATCGTACGCACCTGGGAGCGAGGGCAACTTTCATACGTAAATCTCTCTACGTATTTCCGTACGAAAGCTCTTTCCTACGTTGGGTCCTCTGTAGGACTTTTTGAATTTTTTTCTCTTTTTCCGGATTTATCCATGGCAACGATCAAGCCGCACAAAACACAAGTACACAACACATGGACAATAAAATGAAAACGTGGTTTCGGTTCATGGTGCGTGCGGTGGGCGCATGCAGCCAATGGGTCTCCAAAGCAACAAGGCATTTGCAGAAATCTAAGTTCTTCAGTGTGTGACTCGACTGTATTCTTATTTCAATCATACAGTTTGCTGTCCCCACAGGATAACGCGGACGAAATCCTAAAATTATGCGCATAATTATGCGGGCAAAAACAGGCCATTTAGGCCGTCATCACACCACGTTCTCCGACTCCCGTTTACGTCTACGTCTATGGTGAAAAAACCAAAACGGGTGGTCGTGTCATCAGACAGGCACAGTTCTTGACGCGTACACTCAGTCAGGTTTTTGGAGAAATTTGAACCCACGTACATCGAAGTACAGGGTCGCTCGGAAAAAGGCTGGGGTAGATACGCACGTTCATACAAAAAGTCGTATACCCCCCCCCCCCCTCTCCATACCACGTCTACGTCTCCCGTTTCCTCTGCTCCCGTTTTCACCCCGTATACGGATCATCATGACAACCGACCAAAAACTCCTTACGTGGACGTAGACGCAGCGCTTTGTACCATGGTGTGATGACAGCCTTATATATGCGGCAAATATGCGGAATTATGCGGCAAATATGCGGTATAATGCGGTCATTAAGGACGTTTAGCAATGCGAAAGTTCGAAAGAAAATTCGAGTCTGGGAATGAGTACAGAAAAAAAGCTCGAAACTTCGAAAACTTGGACGCGAAGTTGCAGTGATTTGCGAAAGTAACTTTCTCTTTTCTCGGTACGCATTTGACTACAGGGAGTAGTAATTTTACAGCCCCTGCTTGAGACTGAGCTGCATACGGTACGGTACTACAACGAAAGTACAAGATTCAAATAACTTCGAGAAAAAGTCATTTCGCATTGCTAAACCTCACAAGTTTTCTTTTTCGAAACAAATTTTCGCGAAATATCACCACCACAAAAAGTTCGAATTTTCGCATTGCTATTAAAACGTCCTTATTATGCACGAGTTCCCTGTGTGTCATTTGTACAACTTTAGCATGTAGTTTCATGCAAGTATACAACTTTGTCGTACAAACTCATGCACCGGGCCGCGGGACAACTTTGTAGTACATTTTTAACATCATGTGCTATTTTCTTGTACATTTCCGTGAATAACGTGGGTTTTATGCAAAATCTCTCGAAAACGCGGATGACAACCAATAACGCGGAAAATTGCGCGTTCGCGGAATCGCGGTATCCTGTGGGGACAGAGTTTGAAAAAGTATTCATGAATATTTGAGGCCAAAACTGGGATCGATTTTTATTCGTAATTTGACTTATATTCACGGCTTTCGAGAGAAAATGCTGTGGCATATACACCACACATGTAATTTTTCTAGTGTGTTGTGTGCCTCACCGTACCAGTCAGTCCAGAGTTCAGTCTGTTAGCATCGGTGCTGTCTTGCCCCGCTGTGGTGAATAAATAAAATGAGCTTTGTCGTTTTGTATTATTACAGGGTGCGACAGAGCTCTCTGCCATTGAAGAAAATGTTGAGTCATCTCCACCACCACACTGCGCTCTTTAGCCGACTAGACCCTCCTGCACACAACCATCACCATTGCGAGGACACTTCCGTAGACGATATTGATAAACTCCTTCAGACAGCTGTTTCGCTAATACATAGCTCATCAGTGAAGGTAGATGTTGAATGATTAAAAATATAGACCAAACTGCTATTATATAGGGGGTTTCCACATACAAAACTGGCATAGCTGAGGTGATAACGCAGGAAAAGGAAAGTGTGAAGTACTGTTGACGCGCATTGGACATGCATGCAGCGTCGGAAATTCGGCGCAGAAAATCAATCACTATTCAATGCAGAAATAACGTGCCAGAATCAGAGTACTATGTAGCTAGTAGTGAGTGTCTGTGTACTAGTATTGCAGTTGTCCGAGCGCCATGAAGGCCTGCGAACGCACCTCACGACTCGCCGACGTCGACAGCCACAGCAGCCCCTGGGGCATGACACTGTACTGCTCGCCCGTCGCGCCAAGACGCTTGGCAGTCACTAGGCTTCATGCCACCGATGTTGTCCGCAAGCTACCTTGTTATCTGCCCATCACCCACTGCCGCTGACACGCTGGGAGGCCCCGCGGCATTCGCCCAGTATATCGTCGTCAGAGCTGTGTCGACGGTACAATAACGCTGGTAGAAACAAACAGTTGGTCGTATGGTATTGCGTCCTCCGGATTGTCCCTTGACTCATCTTGTCCCGCTTCTTGCTCTGACGCTAACGGCGCACGTATCATATTATTACAGGGTGCGACAGAGCTCTCGGCCATTGAAGAAAATGTTGAGTCACCTCTACCACCACACTGCGCTCTTTAGCCGACTAGACCCTCCTGCACACAACCATCACCATTGCGAGGACACTTCCGTAGACGATATTATACCAGCGTTATTGTACCGTCGACACAGCTCTGACGACAATATACTGGGCGAATGCCGCGGGGCCTCCCAGCGTGTCAGCGGCAGTGGGTGATGGGCAGATAGCAAGGTAGCTTGCGGACAACATCGGTGGCATGAAGCCTAGTGACTGCCAAGCGTCTTGGCGCGACGGGCGAGCAGTACAGTGTCATGCCCCCGGGGACTGCTGTGGCTGTCGACGTCGGCGGGTCGTGAGGTGCGTTCGCAGGCCTTCATGGCGCTCGGACAACTGCAATACTAGTACACAGACTCTCACTACTAGCTACATAGTACTCTGATTCTGGCACGTTATTTCTGCATTGAATAGTGATTGATTTTCCGCGCCGAATTTCCGACGCTGCATGCATGTCCAATGCGCGTCAACAGTACTTCACACTTTCCTTTTCCCGCGTTATCACCTCAGCTATGCCAGTTTTGTATGTGAAAACCCCCTATATAATAGCAGTTTGGTCTATATTTTTAATCATTCAACATCTACCTTCACTGATGAGCTATGTATTAGCGAAACAGCTGTCTGAAGGAGTTTAACAATATCGTCTACGGAAGTGTCCTCGCAATGGTGATGGTTGTGTGCAGGCGGGTCTAGTCGGCTAAAGAGCGCAGTGTGGTGGTGGAGGTGACTCAACATTTGTCATTTTGACCTTTGATTATAGTTATTTATTTAAAAAAAAAGTAAACTATCGTGTCCGTTCCCGAAGGGAACTCACGACAGCCGCTAACACCAGGTAAATCCTAAACCTTTGATTATGATATGCCTACAGAACAGAACAACAAGGACAATCAAGGCTTGTTTGCTGCGACTTGAAGTTTCATGCTCTCGTATATGCCTTAGCAGCCTATATACTTCTAAACCAGCAACAATGTTGTGATGGTTGACTTATGTTTGGAGTGGTCTCACGATTGGGAAAATATGTTGGTATACTACTAGCTTGTGGTTTGAACTGTAGAGCCATGTGTTTGATTGCAATGGGTCACTGCTGCGACTGAGAGTGGTCGCTATTGGTCTTCTTCGCTTCCATGCCCTAGTTGCAACGGACTATGTTTTGTTTGGCTGTTGATTGCTTTCACTTTTGTATTTTTGTTCACATCTGATCGGCTGCCATTTCTGTCCCTGCTTTGGTCTTGTAGGAAATTCGTATCCGTGCTGCTCACCCTCCGCCCAAGGGCCACAAGCTTCTGGTGATTGGCACCACGTCGCAGAAGGCTCTCATCGACCAGCTGAAGATACGCTTCCGTGTGACGCAACCAGTGCCAACGCTCACCGCACCTGAGCACATTGAGACTGTCCTATCCGAGTTGTCTCTTATGGCGCCGGATGAGATCAAAGATGCTGTGGCTGGACTTGCTGCCTTTTCGTACAGCGTAGGCATCAAGGAACTGATTAATGTGGCTGATGAAGCCCGTGGTAAGCCTAGCTCACAGAGGCGCATCGAGAAGTTTGTTGAGATGCTATGTAGAGACAGGTCCACTGGCGCAACGGATGAGTTCTTGTACTGATCGGATTTCTCAGTGCAGGTATGTGAAGTTGCCGTGTCTACATGCGTACTGTGCGATTTTGTGTTCGCTCAGGCGTGCGTGCGTGCGCGCGCGTGTGTGTGTGTACATTGCGAAGGTCCTTCTTTTTGCATGTTTTTGGATATGGTGTTTTCGGGTATGTCGACCCACCATATCGCGATCCTCCTGGATCTGGTTCACACTATTGATAAAGTACTTTGCTGTTGTACGTACATAATCTGCTATGTTTATTTGTGTAATTCTTGTATTCAAAGGGAACGTTGGTTGTTTGTGGGTTTTTTTTAAAATATCTCAGTCAATTTCTGAGATTGACTCCTGAAAGTGTATTTTGAACTCTATTCTCTACCTCTTTGTACATACCAGTATCTTGGTACTTGTTGATTATTGCTGCGCCCTGCTTGTTTTCCTGCTGCTCAAAGCTTACTTTTATTCAATGCTGCCTTTGTAAGTTTTGTACTTTCCTTCCAAAAGTTCTATTTGTAACCCATCATTGTTCATTTGTAACCCATTCATTGTTCTATTTTTTTTTTTGACAAATGCTTCCTAGAGAAGAGCATCCAGTCGCCTTTCACTATTCTGATTCTCACCTGTTGTTCGTTTTCTGTCGTCTAGGATAGATTGTGCGGATCATAGCTACTTCCCCTCCTCCTGCCCTTTCCATCATTTTTCTGCATTTTCGCTTGTGATAAGTGCCTCTCACTCTCGGTGCTCTGATGTAATTGTTTCGGTCTCGAAATATAATTCTGAATGCGACTGAGGCTGCGTTCGTTTTTTAGCTATCTGGTAGAGTAGAGACTAGAGTAGAGTCATTCTACCAATAGCGGTAGAAGGTAGAGGTAAGTGCACGGATGCTGTCCTACCGGATTGAGTAGTTTTTCATGATAATATGTACTAGTACGTGAAATGTTTCTCTTCAACTCCTTGGTTTTGCTGGAAATCACATACCTGTACAAATTCTACCACCCCCCCCCCCCCCCCCCCCCCCCCCCCCGGGTTATGTACTCTTGGTTCTACAGACCTCTACCAGCGTTGCAGCTTCTATTTCAAACCTGGTATAGTACGTGTAGATCATTATCCAGTAGAGTAGAATCTACTCTTTTGAGTAGAAAAAGGAACGTATCTACCGAAAGAAGTAGTTTCCACCCAAATCTGTTGATCAAAAACGAACGTCTCCTGATCAGTGAGTGAATCAGATTCCAAATGGGGCCTGGCCCACGTCACGTGCCCACAGATATCCTGATGACATGATGACATCACTCAGAAAGGAGTTGTAATCCAACAACTCCTTCCTTTTGAAGTGAGTTTTGGTTTTTGTGCGTTTGTCGGATATGTTCAGTAGATCTACGCAGATACGATCAGATCTGCAAAGTCCTGGTACAGTACATGATCATACATGGTTCACCTGCAAGATCGCACGCACTTCAATGACTCGGAATCGGATCGGTCAAGCTGCAAGGGGTAAAAACCATATCCAGGTAAAAGTCTGTACATGTTGTTGTTTTCTGGTTTATTGTGGCAAGACGTGGTGAAGGTGCGTAGATCTTGTAAAGTATCTGCGGAGGAGTCGTCAGCCTGGTGGAATTGAAGTAGCCGTGATTGTTTTTTGTGGTGGTGCTGACATTCAGATCTGGTCATCATGGCTTGCTGTCGCAGTTTTGTGCGTGTGCTGAGAAGTGGCCTCAGAAATGGTAGGACTTTCATCCAGTTCATACAGTTGGGGTGTATGCTTTGAAATTTTGAGCTTGTCTTGTTGGTCCACATTCCGTTGTCATTTGCAGAGGCGGCTCTTCGCTCATTCTCGGTCTCCGCTCGCTGTGAGTATCCGGGTAGATTGCAGTGCTGTGCTAAACGCCTGTGGGTGTGTATAATTGCTCATTTTGATATATTTCTGTATGGCTTCTGGTACGAGAGGCAGTTCTACTCGTGTCAGTGCCTGTGTAGATGGAGTGACTTCACGGGAGCGTGTCCCTCACTGCACCCATCTGCCTTTGTGCTCAACATCACACTTGAACCTGGTGGTTATACTGGGCAAATCTCCATGGCTTCTTACATTGTTGTTGAAATATCGCTTTCGAAATTCAAATGCTCGCATAGGATTTAATGAGTGGGCTAACCTTTTTGTTTGTCGCAAAGGCAAGGCATACAACCTGACATGAATCTTATCCAGAGCTGCATCAGGAAGACGTACTGTACATATGCGCCGTATCACCTATGTGGAACAACAACTTGCGTCTGAAGCCCCTATTTTCTGGTATATCCTATTACGTCATCTTCTCCCTTTCGAACCCCTTTTCGCGTTTCCCGTAGACTGCACATGGTGACAGTCCACCACAGCACCACCCTCCTAAACATTGAACATGTGCATGACTCCGCGCCGCGTGATGAACTAACGTTTCGAAATTGCAGAAAGTCCGGTTCTCACTGCTGTTCTTAGAGATTAGCATGCGTTCTGTGTATCACATACCGCTATCATGCGTTACTCTCGGGGTATTACAAGTTGTACCATACAATGCCCTGGCTGGCGGCTCTCTTGCACCATTCTGCACTCATGCACAGTCTGCGGACCTTGAACGCCCATTGCCATAGCAATGATAGCGATGGCTTCCTCACGCTGAGGCTCTAAACCCGAAATCTGCAGTATGGCGCATGCCGCTTGAGGTAACCAGAAACCTCTGCTGACACACACATACAAACGCACGCATACAGTTTAAAGCACTGTGGGCCTTGGCTACGCCAGACGCCGCTTCGTCACTTCTTTGGCCTAGCTCCGGAAATACGTGACTTACGATCTGCTCCCTTCTTTATGTTTTGTGTGGACATCTATTTTTTGCTCTCATGTACCTGAAGACTTCGGACCTATCTCGTCTATCAAGACACCCGGCTTTCCAGAGAGTGTCACAGAAGGTGATATCCGATGGGAAAAAGGTATATGCATAATTATGCACTAGCCAGGCACTCCAGCAGTACATCACTGTTGTCAAGGACTTTTTCTGGGATATTTTCTATTAGATGCATGAAGTGCACGCATGCTGCTAGCATACATTTGGCAAGTTTGAGTGTAGGTTGTAAATTGCTGCGGGCTGCTGCTGCCCGCGGCGTCTGTTCTAAGCCTCCTTCTATGCGGTGCAATCCTTTTATTGACCACGGTGTACGTATTGTGGGGCCGAGACAGTACATTTATTGTGCAGAAGCTAGAACCCGTCTCCCTGTATGTTGCTTGCAGCCGTTGGAGACAGCGTCAGTGCCGACGAAACCATCGGGGAGATCGAGACTGACAAGGTCTCCATCCCCGTCACTGCCCCCGGCAATGGTGTCATCACCGAGTTGCTGGTTGCCGATGGTGACAAGGTAGTCGCCAACCAGGACCTTGTCAAGGTAGAACTCGGAGAAGGCGGTGAGTCACCTATGCAAGTACAGTCATGTACAGTGCTGCTCAATGAAATCCGATCATGCGAGTCAATTTCACCCGGTCACTGTCCAGTCCCAGACCTGTGGACTGGATTCAGGGCGCGAACTTGACTCACACTCTCTCTGCTGTATTTAATCCATTGTCCAGGTTCATTTGATTTTGCCTGTATTTCACCTGATGATAAGACATGAAAGTATACTAGTGAAAACTTTCAGAATGTTCAAGAGCCTGACGTGTGTATAATTGCATTTTTGTCTCCAAGGAAAATGTTGCATCTCCTCATCAAATGCCTCCTTTTTTCTGTTCTGTTCCAGTACACTCACTGATGGCTGTCTCTTTCTGCTGAACTCTTTTCTTGTCACTCTTGTAGCTCCTGCTGCTGCTGCTAGCTCCTCAGCTTCACAGTCTGCTCCAGCTGCCAGTGCCGCTGCACCACCAGCTCCAGTGGCGGCAGCAGCTCCACCGCCAACATCAGCTCCGCCAACACCAGCACTCAAGAGTAAGGAGCTGCGCTTGTCAAGTTCTGAGTTGTGCAATCCAGGCTCGTACACAGCATTTATGTAGCTGAACTATAGAAAACGATGCTGGTCCTCACTGACCAGTGTTACCATTAGAGTGCTTTGTATACCTAGCATGTGTACTTTGTTTGACATTCTGGTCTTGTTTTACGTGCAGTGGTTCCTTGGTCACTTGACATCATGTGTGCTACGAAAATGTTGCTGCATTAGGGACGGTGCTGGATTAGCAAATCAATCTACTGTTTTACAGTGCATGAACGTGAAAGTTTGATTTTTGGAAATACTGCTGGTTTACCAGTGGCTTATCAAATCCTGGTCACTGTAATGTACCGTATTTCCGCAAATAAAAGACCGTCCTCGTATACAACGCCTTCCTCGAATACAAGGCCGGGGCAGGGGGCGATTGAAAAAATACAAGACCGTCTCCGATTAGAAGACCGGGCGTACTAAATGAGTCTCAAACTGTGCTCAAACTTGTGTTAAAAATAAAAGACCGTGCTCAAACTGTGTGGCGAAAAATAGAAGACCGGGATTGAAAGAATAAAAGACCGTCCTCGAATACAAGACCGTCCTCAATTATAAGGCCGGGTTAGGATGAGTTTGAAAAAATAGTAGACCGGCCTACTATTTGTGGAAATACGGTATGCAGTAGCCAAGAATAGTATATTGTTGACATACTACGAAGACAGAAAGCCGTTACACAACCTGATGGTGTTTTCCTGCTGCTTGTCGGTTGCATTGCAGGTGCGCCAATGGCTGCCACCTCCAGCACTCCGCCAGCTGGTGCAGCATCTTCCTCCTCGACCGGCGCGCCAACGGAGGAATCGCGCTCCGAACGCAGGGTTAGTGTTGATGCCCAGCATGCACGACATTGGCTTTACATGCAAGTACAGGTAAAACTCCCCAGGTCAGGGCACTTCCGTCTACCAGGCACCTTTGGGGACCTGTTGCGATGTGGAAACGACTGATGTGGCGAAGGGTGCCCGAATCTCAGAACACTGAGATCCGGGCACCCTTCGGTCCCAAGCCACCCGGATCTGGGGAATTCACCTGTACTACAGTTGTAAGCATGTCTTACATGTCTCGGTGATCCGTGACATACACGGTACATTACACATTCACCTAGTCTCTGGTGGTAAACGCACTCCTGTTTGTTGCACCGGCTCCGTTTCCAATGCGAAACTCTCTATGTTCACTCTCTTTTTTTCTACCTCTTAGGAAAAGATGAACAGGATGCGGCTCCGCATTGCTGAGCGCCTCAAGGACTCACAGAACACTTATGCAATGCTGACCACGTTCAATGAAATCGACATGACGTAAGTTTGTGTCTTGGGGTACTGCTAGTAGTGAGCATAGACGTGCAATGAAACTTCAGGATATCATTGACATACTTCAAGGAGTACCATACTTTTCTCTTTGCATCGCATGTAAAGTTATTTATTTTATTTTTAAGACCCTGCATACTGTAATTTCACAAATTTTCGGTGTAGTTTTATTTTCGGTGCTTTCGGTGCGTCTGTTTCACACCTAAAATTTCAATACACAAACACTAACACACATAATCCAAAAGGGAACTGCTTCTCTGTACCGAAAATTTCTGTTCACCTAACCTAGCCTGTTGCCCCAGACCGAAAATATTGAGCACGGAAATTTTCTGAAATTAGAGTATCCCTTTTCAGTCATTTGATCTTGGATATACATGTACAGTACCTTGGATAAAAGAAAGTACAGATTGTTTTGCCGCTGGAGGTGTGTGATGCGGGATTCACAGAAGCTTTTTTTGCGATGCGATGCTAACTCGCAAAATACCATTCATAGAAGAAGTCGGCAATGCGACAACACCTTGCTGATTTTGCGCGACGTTCAATGCAGGTGGGTACGTCACCATGGTATTTGTGTGGCTTGGTACAACTTGTACAAATTTATAAGCAACTCTTGAACCTTTGAACAAATTTGCTTCAGAAAAGGTCAAAATCGTACGCCACATCGCAAAAGTTGAGCCAAGCTCAACTTGCGATGGCCCAGTTGCGTGAGCTGCGAGATGGATGCGATTTGGGAATTTCCCCGTTTCGCGACTGTCGGATCGCGTATTGCATCGCAATAATGCTTCTGTGGATCCCGCTTAGGTGTGTGTGTGTGTGTGTCCTATTCCGATGTACTCCGTGTGGTGTAGACCAAGTGTGCATTGGGGGGTCGATTCACATGGCTTCGCCAGTTGTGTGGATTAGACAGTTATCTGGCGCTTGTCTTGATCTGTTTCAATCAGAATCAGATCCGCTATCGTTGCTATAAAGAGAAAAGCTATGGGTGCACATCCAGTGCATTTGCAGATTTGCGTGCTTCTCTTGCGACGGGCGTATACATGGTACATGGTACATGGTGTGTGTGTGTGTGTGTGTGTGTGTGTGTGTGTGTGTGTGTGTGTGTGTGTGTGTGTGTGTGTGTGTGTGTGTGTGTGAGTGAGTGAGTGAGTGAGTGAGGGGGGGGGGGGTGACAGGCGAGAGAGAGAGAGAAAGGGAGGGACGGACGGACGGATGGATGGATAGGGCAACTGTAATGTTAGTAGTTCTTTCACTACTGCACAACATAGCCCCCTCGTTCTCACCTACTCACTGTACACTGCGATCATGCCAACATATGCCTAGAAGTTATTGTTGTTTTGTTTTCCGCTTTTCTTCCCCAGTAACGCTAAGCAGCTCCGGGAGCAGTACCGTGGCGCTTTCGAGAAGAAACATGGCGTCAAGCTTGGCTTCATGTCTGCCTTTGTGAAGGCTACTGCCTGTGCGCTGAGGGACCAGCCTATTGTCAATGCTGGTACGCTTGGTTGTGTGAAAGTGGTGTATCTGGTATTAGCTATGTCATATGTTCAACTCTTTGGAACTGCAGTCTGGCACTTCAACGCCTTAACGGTGCATCGAGCTTTGTTTTGTCTTTGGCTGATTCTGCATCATGGTCTGAAGCTGAGTGTACTGTGTGCTGTGTGCTCTCCCTGTAGTGATCGATGGCAACGAGGTGTTGTATCGCAACTACGTTGATATCAGTGTAGCGGTGGCCACTCCCAAGGTATGTACAATCCGGCTGTGCTTAGACCATGGTACTGTTGCATGATATTACTACTTCGAAGTCCACAAAGGACGAAACAGTTCTGTCCGCAGATTGAGTACTTCGAAGTACTGTAATTTCACAAATTTTCGGTGCACTTTTATTTTCGGTACTTTCGGTGCATCTGTTTCATACCGAAAATTTCAATACACCAAACAAACACCAACGCACATAATCCAATAGGGAACTGCTTCTCTGTACCTAAATTTTCTGTTCACCTAACCTGGCCTTTTGCCCTCGTACCGAAAATATTGAGCACCGAAAATTTCTGAATTTAGAGTAGTCAGAAGACTTTTCGTGAGTTCTTTGTGACTGTGTTCTATTGCCCCTTTCTGACGTGCTTCAGCACCGCAATTGTTGTTATCTAGTGGGTGAGTTTGGGGATTTACCGTAAAATCCCGCCAGAGCGCCCCTACCTCCGCAGCTCCTCGACGCTTCGGGTGGGGAGGGGCGGATGGGCGAGTCCTACTTGCCGCATTCAGTACTGTACATGAACAAGTACTCACCCTACGAAAACTGTTCGTGCATCTCGTACACCGACCAAAGGTCAAGAGCCAGGAGTCGTACAGACCCGTCAAAACTCAGGTTTTGTGCGATCCCTGGTCAAGAGGGTGGGCACTGTTGCGTACATTTCCAATGGGGTCGAGCCCGCGTCTGCAGTACAGTACGGCATCACAGACTGTGACAGAGTCATACGAGGATACAATCAATCACGTCCCTGACAAGAAGTCAGGGAGGGGCGGATGGGAGAGACGGGGTGCTCTGGCGGGATTTTACGGTACATGTATTTTGCCATGTTCCCGCTTGTGCTATTAAAGTCATCTGTTTTTGCGTGTCTTACCAGTGCTGGGCATCTTAACTTACTGTTGCGCTTGTATGCGTGTGTGTGTGTGTGTGTGCGTGTGTGTGCGCGTATGTGTGTGTGTGCGCGTATGTGCACGTGTTCAGGGTCTGGTTGTGCCTGTGTTGCGCAACGTTGAGAATATGTCCTACGCTGACATTGAAAAGAACATTGGTGCTCTTGGTGTAAAGGTAACTTTGTTCTGGCCCTTCCTTAATCAACTGCTTGTTTTCTTGCTTATGATACCAGATTTGTGAAATTGCCTAGTTAGGCGCCAGCCATAAGTATCGATCTTTTACACGAAATGGTACAGTTTGTTTATGGGTTGGTGGGTCGAGGAGATTTCGTTTCGAAAAAAATATTGACAGCTGAAACATCACAGAGGCAGTGCAGTGCCTTAACCTGCTAGAATGCTCTTTGCCTCCGTTGGGCAGAGCGCAGTACACAAGAATACTTTCCTTTGTGTACCTCTTGGATGGCTGAAACAGCAATCCATTCTAGCTGTCTCTCGTTTAATGTGTGAAGTTAAAGCCCCTTTATTACCGGCCTGCAGACTTATCTTCGCAACTCCATCGTTTCTTGTGCAAATTCAACAATCGAAGGGTCTATTTGGTATCGGAATCTCCAAACTATCCAATGCAACAATCGCCGAAGAGTTAGGCTGTGTTTACATGAAGCGTTTCAACCCGGGTTGAGTTCGACCCGGGTCATATTTCAACCTGCCATGTGCACAAAGTGAATGGCGCGTTTACATGACACATTGCGCTTGACCCGGGTTGAAATTTCGCCCCGGGTTGATTTCAACCCTCCCCACAAGGGGAGGGTTGAAATCAACCCGGGTCAAGAAAATCGTACAAACGTACTTCTGTGCGTATCTCGCGCCAGGTTTGAACAGCACTGCAGATGCAAATTTCGCGCGAACGGATTCACGTGACCATACAGGACTGTAGAAGTGGACTTTTGGCGGCATATCAGTATTTGACCCGGGTCAACTGTCTTCATGTAAACGCTCACCTCTTTTGTTTGTCGTACAGACTTTCAACCCGGGCTGAACTCGACCCGGGTTGAAATTTCTCAGGTAAACACAGCCTGACGATGTCGAACGCCAGAGATATCGCGCGCCGTATTCTTACGTCGGCAAATTCAAATTTTTGATCGATCACTTCACTTTTTGGGGGGAAATCCCTTTTCGTGTGCTCTTTGGACGACTAAGCACATGATAATGACGTAGTCGGCTGAAGTTTGAGCCTTCTACGATGAAGGAGAGTGGAATGGCGTTGATAGGACGCATTTGCTTGCATATCAGGCTTGGAGACGACTTTGCTGCGTTACCGCGCCTGATTTGTGGCGACTGGATAATGGAGCTTGGTACTCTGGTGTTGCTCTCGCCAAGAGCCTTCCTACGTGCCCTGGATTGTGAAAATCAAGCGAAGGAGACCAAAGTTATGACCTGGTGAAGTTGGAAATTGTGCTGGAATTCGTAATTCTGGTGCATGCTGTGCTAGTAATCCGCTAATAAAGGGTTTACCTTAAATAAACACAAACAAACGAGTCAATTTATTCTTTGTTTAGGTGGGTGGGTGGGTGGAGGAGGGTCGTAAAGACTCTTAACTAAACTTTTTCGTTCTGTGAAAATTATCGATACTGCCGGATGGCCTCTAAGACAGTTGTTTCATTGGAAATTACGTGCATATAGGTACTGTGTGTGTGCATCTATTTGCTCACTTGCCTGGGAATCAGGGATCTTTGCATGACCAGAATGTACTTGTCAGGATGATTTGTGAAGATGTGCCATGTGAACAAGATGATGCTAACAAAAGCAAAACGCTGAGGGGTTGTCACAAAAGTTATTTTGTCCCTGAAACGAACATCGTTCGCTTTGTACTCGGGACTCTCTCCCCCCCCCCCCCCCCCCCAATGAACGTAGCTTCCTGTGTTAGATGACGCAAATCGCATGCAAATACCTGTGCATGTGCAGTGTCGGTTGACTTGCGATTTTGGTTCACCCCTCCCCTCATGGACGATATTCGTTTCAGGGACAACTATAATTTGCGACAACCCCTAAAACACTGTTGTTGTTGTGTATGTTTATCTCTGGTACTGCACCGCATGGTGGCTGCTATAGTCTTCCCCGAGTCTGTTTTTTGCTGTATTTTGAAATGTGTTTTTCATGTCCTCTTGTGTTGAACACAACAGGCAAAAGAAAACTCCTTGTCCCTCGAAGACATGGACGGTGGCACATTCACTATCTCCAATGGAGGTGTGTTTGGCTCTTTGATGGGAACACCCATCATCAACCCACCGCAGTCCGCCATTCTGGGAATGCACGGTACATTTGACCGTCCCGTCGCTGTAAATGGAGAGGTAGGCCGTGCTGTCTGGATAAACCTGCGTCCACCCTGTTTCGTTGGATGTTGCTAATGCATACGCCCATGCTTAGTGTCTATGTCGCATTTGGGGCCACCAAAATGAAATGAGAGAAATTACAACTATAAACTGAAAGATGAGTTGTTGTTGTTGGGTCTTACTTGATCAGGTGTGTAGCGTTCCGTTTGGAACTGTCAGGGTAAACTGAAGGCGATTTGGCTGATACGGAACATTGGTTTGCTGTGGACAACGTTTTCCACCTGTTATTCCCTCTTTGAAGGGTTGTTGTTGTTGCTGTTTTTAACCCAACGATTGAGCAGCAGAAGTGGATGCTAGTTCCATGTTGGTACATTGACATGCCTGTATACTGTGATCTGTTGTTGCTTGCTGGCCTGTAGGTGAAAATTAGACCGATGATGTACATCGCTCTCACGTACGACCACCGGCTTATCGACGGCAGAGAGGCTGTCACCTTCCTGAAACGTGTCAAGACCTTTGTGGAAGACCCTCGCACCTTTTTCTTAGACCTTTAATTTGTTTTTAATCTTTTGATGACGATGATGAAATGTACATATTTTTCATTCTTTTCCTGCTGCCCTTGTAAAGCAGAAACTCAACGTAATTTAATGAACTGTATTAATTTTATACGTTTGTACGACTCCTGGCTCTTGACCTTTGGTCGGTGTACGAGATGCACGAACAGTTTTCGTAGGGTGAGTACTTGTTCATGTACAGTACTGAATGCGGCAAGTAGGACTCGCCCATCCGCCCCTCCCCACCCGAAGCGTCGAGGAGCTGCGGAGGTAGGGGCGCTCTGGCGGGATTTTACGGTAAATCCCCAAACTCACCCACTAGATAACAACAATTGCGGTGCTGAAGCACGTCAGAAAGGGGCAATAGAACACAGTCACAAAGAACTCACGAAAAGTCTTCTGACTACTCTAAATTCAGAAATTTTCGGTGCTCAATATTTTCGGTACGAGGGCAAAAGGCCAGGTTAGGTGAACAGAAAATTTAGGTACAGAGAAGCAGTTCCCTATTGGATTATGTGCGTTGGTGTTTGTTTGGTGTATTGAAATTTTCGGTATGAAACAGATGCACCGAAAGTACCGAAAATAAAAGTGCACCGAAAATTTGTGAAATTACAGTACTTCGGCCGGCCGGGCGCGCCAGGATGCAGTCGACATGGCGCGAGCGCGCCCGCGCGCTGGGCTGCCCATGACATCATAATCTTGCAAAAAGAAGCAACAACAAAATATTATTCTTTGTTCATCGTTCGAAAATCAAGCGCAGTGACTTGCTGTTTGTATGATCTGAGCACATGTGAACAAGAACTGACAAGAGTCGATAAGAATGCTTGGAGAATTTTGAATATCGAGGCAAAGCAACTAGCAGTTATGGCGGAGTACGGACAGGCTCCCGCTGCTGTCCCCACGTCCAGTCAAAAACCGATGGTGTATATATGTGGAGGTGAGTGCTGCACTAAATTTTGTTGCTTCAACTGGGACACTCGAATGAATTATATTTTTTTGCTTTGATTTCTTTCGCTGTATGCAAACAGAGTGCCACCATGAAAATGAAATCAGAGCCAGAGACCCGATCCGATGTCGAGAATGTGGTTGCCGTATTATGTACAAAAAGAGAACCAAAAGAAGTATCCTCAACTGCAAATGTGTGTCAATATAACTTTGTATGTCACTGTAACTTTTAATAAGTATGGACGAATTTACTTACGCTGGTATTATAGTATTTACGCGGGAGCTCCCTTCGTCGTTGAGTGCGGTCTAGTACCACTCATCCGACCACTATTGGAAACAGGGCCTTGTTGAATATCTGAATCACGAGCATGCCAGACGTACACCATTTTTAGGTGTGATTTTTAAAGTCATTAAAATGTGTGCATACTGCATAGAGATGACAAATATTAGACATGGTTAGCATTTTTATCGTTCAAACAGATTTTCACAATACCCTTTGCCCGGTAAGTGAAAGAGCATGAATTTAGTATCGTTTGGACGTTATTTGGACCAAAATATGTAACTCTCAAGGGTACAACACGCATTTTGATGTCGTGTGTAAAAAACTCATCCTCAGTGCGTATGTATGCATGTACATGCACACACGTGGGTTCCTGTTCCTAAGGTTCCAGAATGAAATTTGCGACAATTTTCCGAAATGTGGACACGCGACGACTTCCGAGATCTTTGCACATGCGAAGCGCCAGTGATTCGAAAGTAGTACGCATGCGAAGCACCACCAAAGGGGTCGCAGTCTTGAGTGACTCAAGTGTAGTAAGTACTGTGCATATCAAAAAGGAAGATGGGCCATGCGTGCGCTCATGATGAACACGTGGCTTTTAGCAGTACAGTGGAGATTGGATATAACGACCTTGGGTATAACGACAAATCGAGTTTAGCGACACAATTCTGTTGCCCAAGTCGTTTAGCAAGTCCTTTCTGTACATTATAGATCGGGTATAACGACCTCGAAAATAACGACAGATCGAATTTACTGACACTTTTTTGGTGCCCGAAAACCTGACAAACAGTGAAAATACATCGGATATAACGACTTTCCTCTTGTATCAGGCAGACTGGCATGTCTGGAACATGGTATATGGCTAGTGACACGTACCCGGACCTCCGGGGCCCTCTTTACATTGCACGTTGTAGCCGCAGTGCAGCGGTGCGGGATGACTTTACCTTGAACAATGCATGCAAGACACATGTATATGTACATACACATCTGTTATCCACGTCATGTACATGTATATGTATATCTACATTTCTGTCATTTTGATATACATATTGCATACTAAATGTGAAGATCGGGTTTAGCGACAGATTGAATATAGCGACATTTTGCTTTCTCCCGAAGGAGTGTCGTTGTATCCAATCTCCACTGTAGTTCGCATGCGCTGGCCCCGAAACCCGGGAGTCTCCAAGTTTCAACCACCTTTGAAGCGCGGAGAGCCGGTAGAGCTTTGGAGCATTTCCTAAAGTTCAGAGAAGATATCAGAACACTTCTTCAACTTTTCGTTCGGAGAGTCTTTAACATTTTTTTTAGAGCGTATCCTTAGATTGTTCATACGAAGGCTTTACGTCGGAATTCAGGGCTTGTAGCACGCAGGTTCAGAACTAAAAGGTGCACAGAAGGGTAAAATGCTTTGAGAAAGGGCTATTGGTATTGCCAAATACTGCATACATGCATGCTGGTATGAACAAATGGATTGAATTTTGTCATGCACAAGAAAGGAGCCACAGCAAGATTCACGAATAGTGACCTCTTCTGGACCAGCCACTGAGCCAGTCCTTTCTCACCCTGCCCTTTCCCTAGTCTTGTCTCCGTTGTGCGCATTCCGCAATATATTTTTGGGAAATTTTTCTTCAATCTCTATCAGGAGTAAAGCCGCTCCCGAAGGGTGTGCAACTCTGCGTATGGGGTCTCCGACGGCTGAAAATCACATCACATGTTCCGAGCACGTTACGTACAACGAAGGCCAGCGTGCGCACAGTCTTACAGGCCAGGATCATGCTGATGGCTCGGATAAGCGAATTGGGAGTGCTATTTTCATCATTCCGCTGCTCGCTATAAAAACGGGTGGGGAGTGGGAATAAACAATATGGACACTTCACCATGTGGTGTGAGTTTTGCCGTCGGCGCACTCCGTAGAAAGGGTGGATCCAGATTTGCACGCTCTCTCGAGCTTATCTACTCTTCTCGCTATGCGAATATGAATGTACTTGATGTGTGATATTGATATTGTCTGGAGATTTCCTTGACTGACTTCTCTCTCTCCAGTTGTTGTGTTCGACGCCAGATAGCGACGATGCAGACGCCCCATCCTGGACAGATATGCTGTAGATACGCAATGCTTTGGCTTTTCACCATGCTGACAAATAAAACCATGTGTACAAAGGATATTTGTAGTGTCGTTGTGTGTGGATGTGTGGTGCTTGTACTACATGTACGTGGCCGCAGCCAGGCGCTTTTGAGGTCAGGTTTCACTTGCCACCACTGTGGGTGTGAACTGTGAAGGTACGAGTACAGGTCAGACCTCGCTTTAACGTAATCTCTGGGGGATGGGGGAAATTATGTTATAGCGAGGTTTGTGTTATAGTGAGTTGGGCACACCAATATGCAATATGTATGTCAAAATGACGCTCTTCACCTACTGATTACAACTGTACTGACTGTACATACAGGTATGATGATGACTAGCAAAGATGTGTACAGACTACAGGCTTGGCAGCGAAGGGGTGACATGAGTCATGTAGTACGTGTACAGTCTGTATCGGCTATAGCGTACCCTTTTGATTTCCGTGATATCACTATATCCGATGCATCACTATATGCGATACATCAATTTTTTTATTTTTAGGGGCCGTCCGTAAATATCGATGTTTTTTTAGAGACGATATTGGTGCTTCTCTCCCTTGACCCCCCTCCCCAGAAGACGCCCATGTACATCTAGATCATGGAATCAATATTTTTGGATGCTCATTTTTTCCTTTTTTTGGTCTCCTGCAGGCATCGTTCGGCCGATTTCCACTATCAATAGCTCATTCTTTTGCTCTTGAAATTCGCCATGGGCGTACAGCTTCCAATTTTTGATTTTGTTCTTGTGTCGCGAGTTTTAGCTCCGCGGACGGAAGCTGGTTTCACATTTCTTGTATAGCCATTTAGACGTCCGCGTGCAGGGATCGGCGAAACTTCAGATATTTACATCGATATTTTTCTGATGCTCGAAAAGACGCACATGGCTCAAACCCCCCCTTCCCCCCCCTTCCCCCCCCCCCCCAGACGCACCAA